AGAGCTCAGTTGACTCGGTCGTGAACTGTGGAGGCGGCAGCGAGCTCAAGGGGGCTCGGCAGTGAACTGTGGACAGCTGTGTGCTCGAAACACAAACGACGGTGTGCTCGGCTATGGAGATAGCGAAATAGGCCGGCGAGCTTGGAATGGACGGTGGAATGGACCGGCAAGCAAGGTGAGTTGAACAGAGGGCAAGGCGGTGACGGCGATGGGCTGACGCAACGGTGCAGAGAAATGCGATATATATGGGTGACGGATCTAGCGAGTGGTGCAACGGCTATGATGGAGCTATGATAGAGACCCACCGATCCCAGCAACAAATTCCTTGGCTTCATCGTCCCTTTCAGTCAATCAATTCGCACAGATGGGGTAAACTGCAAAAAAATATATAATTCAGAGGGGTTTCTTGCACATACCCCAATAGTTTAGGGGTTTTTTTTTGCAACTTTTATAGTTCAGGGGGGTTTTTTGCACACACCCCAATAGTTCAAGGGGGTTTTTTGCAACTTTTATAATTCAGGGGGATTTCTTGCACATACTCCAATAGTTCAGGGGGGTTTAATGCACTTTACCCTATAAATTATCGATTATTTATGACCAATCAGCTATTCCTGCTTTCTCGTTGGTGCAACCTCAATTTTGTTGAACTTTGCCAACCGTAAGGAGCTAAATCTGAGAAAACCTAACGCATAGAATGTGGTGGTATGTCCTTGGATTGAAACTCTCGAGTTGTGAGAAAATTATGTTTGTTTGGAGAAATGTCACAATCTTTTTAATTGATATCATAACTACTATATACATTTGGAGATCAATGTGAAATATTTCCAATTTCCTTTTAAGGTTGAAAATACTATCAATATGATTGTCTGTGTCTCCAATATTGTTATATATATATATATCATGAGACAAGCGGTTAGCATCACTCACCATGTGTAAGAGAGAGAGAGAGAGTGTGTGTGTGTGTGAGAGAGAGAGAGAGAGAGAGATCTATGGTTGGTATTTCATGGTTAAGGTGTCAATCATCATCTCCATTAGCTACATATACTACCAGAGAGAAAAGCAGACAGAAAGCCAAACTCTAAGGCTTTGTTTGGGCCATATAATTGAAAGGGCATGAAAGTCTCAACACAAGTATTGTATAATTGGGTCGCGCACAAATGAGTTTGGAACTTGCAAAGTTTAGTGATTCTTTTTAGTTGGGGCTCTTTAAAGTTGGAATATTCTCTCAATTTTGTCAAATCTTTATTGCACTCCCCCTTGAGATCTATAAACTCACTTGACTTGAGTATCATCTCTTGTTCTCTTTACACTCTTCACCTTTGAGCTCAAACTTACATTATATATTCCATATATATCTTGTCTCCATTTCTCTTAGTTTTCTAATTAGTCCTAAAACCACTTTGCCTAGCCAAAATTGATTAATTTCTCAACCAAATTAATCAAAGCCCAAATGATTCTTGTTATGCATTACAATCTTTTACTATAAAAAATTAAACAAAATAGTGTGGTGGAAAAATGATAAAAGCTCTTGATCAATATTTTACTGATTAATGCGTTCATTGTTGATTTGAACACTTTGAAATGAGAAACACATCTTATTTATCACTAATTAATCAGTATTTTACTGATTGATGTGTACATTATTGATTTGAATACTTTAAAATGAGAGACACATCTTCTTATTAATCACTAATTAAAATTTTTTTTTAAACACTATAATTAAAATAAGAAAAAAAATAAATCGTCAAGTGTAACATAACTCTAATTACTATGTAAGATGGGATGATGCATTGTCAACCCTCAATATATAATTTTTTTTTTCTTGAGGCATGTCATGTTGTGATGATTAAGGTATCTTCTTGGCCTAACTTGGGATAATTAGGCAAGGTAGCTAGTAGCTTTTAAAGTGATCTACTAAAAAAATAAGCATTGGTGGCCATGTGCACATTTTGGTAGATCATCAAGAGGACTTTATTTTTCTCTCTAGTTATATATAGTACAATATTAATGAGTTGTAAAAAAAACAATTAGCTAGAAGGGATCAATTGCTAGCTAAGATTGTAATCTATAACCATTCAATATCTTGTACTTCAGACATAGTATCCCCACTGTCTAGTATTGTTTCCATTGTCCCCATGAGTTTCTCTCTCTCTCTCTATATATATATATTATGTGGCATGGTTAGGGACACAGTAAGCAATTGGGGGTTTGAGATGATTCTCCTTAAAATTAGGGATTCCATGCAAGTTGGGGAGATTTTTATCTCAACAAAAAAGCAGTTTGATTAATGGTGTCAAATGTACCAAAACAGATAGAAAAAACATGTGGTGGGTCAAAGTGGACACACGGGACCGCCTAGTCCACACAACTAGCATATGTCCGTAAGCAAGTGCAATATATTCTTATAAGATTCTAAAGAGTTCAAACTCGGCGTGAATGGCCCATCTCAACACCCACAATGCATGACCAAACCCTACCCCAACGCCATCACTTTTCTTGACAAAGCTACAGCCAGTGAAGTTGGGAGCTGAGAATGGAAGCATCTTTTGGGAAAAAAAAAACCAAATCTCATACATGCATAGGAGTTTTAACTGTACTTATAGTGACATAGTCAGCATCATGTGTGCAGTAGTACTTAAGATACCCTCTTAGGGAATAGAGAGAGAATAGGGGGGCCTTAAAATGTGGTGGGTAATGGGATTTCTATTTGTAAAGATATGTTGCACTATTATAGGGATGTGTATCATGTGCTAAAGAAGAGGCCATGAGGGGAATAATATGACACACTAGGGTTTTTTAGATTCCATTTAGATAGATGAACTGAAATTAATGGTTTAGTTTTATAGATTTAATAATGTGTAATTGTGAGATTGTGTTTTGTAAGTTTGTTTATACTTTAGTTAAGCTCTCCAAATTTGTATATAAATCTCTTGTCAGACGTTGTCGGCTGACGATGTTAAAGAAAAGAATGAAATGATTAATTTACTTTGAGTGACCTAGTTGATAAAGCGCCCGGCTCCCCAAGTGGGAGTGCCCGTGTTTGAGTCCCCCCTCCCCCTAATTCGCTGGGGAAAAAAATTAAATTAGAGGGAATGAGGAGGGCAATAAGGGCATTATAAATTACTTTTTTAATGATGTCGAGCGAAAAAACATGTCTGTTACACGAGGGAGAAGACTGATTTGTGTAAAAAATAGAATAGGGGTCTGACTGAAGATATGCAAATTTGGGAGTCTAACAAATGTATAAAGAAAATTTCAAGAGATCTAAATGAATTTTACTTTTTCTATTTCTTTTTGACCGATTGATCGTGGATTCTAAATTCTTAGTTTCTATTTTAAAGGGTAGTAGGGTATATGGTGTGGTTCAAGAGAAAGATGAAAGCTGACATAGGGAGTGAGAGAGAAATAATTGGGGGTTGATAATCTGTAATTTTTTTTTTTTATTCTCCTAGTTAAATCTCTCTCTAATTTTCATCTTAGACTTAAATTATACATTGAACTACGTAAATTTTTGTATCTTTGATTGTGTTCTTAGTTTTAAAATGTTAATGACAATGTGAAAGATGTAAATGGTGGGAGATGAAGATTCATTGAAATGAGAGCTTTGGGAATGTCAAAAGAGATCATACAATTGAGGAGTTTGACTAGACCTCTCAAAGACATTTTGCTAAACATTTTAGATTATTATACACAAAGATAAGTGGACTATGGGGCAGTAAAGTATCGAGTTTCATATGCAGATCTTTTTGTTGAAAGTGTCTTACGTATGTGATTGCGTAAACTTTTCAGTGATTGTTCTTATCAAATGTATGAAAATCCTAGAAAGGAGCATTGAAATTCTACCAAGTGGATATGTTAAAAATATGTTGTATCAACATTGAATTTGGATAAGAATTATTTGGGTTCCACTTGTTTAAAGTTTAAAAAACTTGTTTAAAATCAACTTATTATTATTTTGGAGATTGATGTGCTGCTTAGTTTTAGATTGTTCAAAATCAACTTTAATGAATGGAGCTAAGAATTATTTGGATTCCACTTATTTATTACAAAAATTGTTCCTAAGATGGAAAATTTTGTTTTCAAACGTTAAAAAAATATAAAATAATAATAAAAAAGATAAGAGATTTTTGTGATGCTTATTTTATTGTGTAGTTGGGTATATAGCAATTGGGAGTTTCCCAATAACGTTTTGTTGGGGTCAAGAGGAGACTCCTTGGTGACGTAGCTTTGTGCCCTCAAAATGTTTTTCCAACACGACCTTAGTGGTTACATTTTAGGCCACTCAATATAAAACATTTTGTTGTGAGAATTTGTTTTCTTCTAATACCATTAAATTTCTTTGTGATAGTTAAAAATTACACCCATGCATGCATCACATTGTTTCATATGAAGTTCAAATTGTTCACTCTTATTTATCTATTTGTTACGGTGATAATTCACTTTGTTTATTCAAAGGTTTGAATTTTTTACTTTTTACACTTAAGTACTACTATATTTAATGATTTTTTAATTACTCATGAGTCTCATATGCTCCACAATATATTGGAGCTCACGCTAATGTGATGTGTGTTTTCAATTACGAAAAATTATTACGTGATTTTGAGTTGTGCTAAAACATAAATTATTGTGTCAATTTTATGTCTACTTCATTTCAATTTTCACCTAATACTATGTTAATATGTGATTGGCCGGACCAAATACACCTTGCAATAATATCTCGTTGAATTACAACTTTTTCATTTTGCTTCCTTTAAAATGTACCAATGAACCAATCACAATTGGTTCATAGCAATTGTTTGGTTCTATTTGAAGAAGACAGTTCATGCCATTTGAACCAATCACATTGCTTTTTGTGGCTGAATATATTTCATGCGCCAGAGGAAATGTAACACAGAATTCACGTCCATAAAACTTGTGACCCGTGATTTAAATCAACATGATTTGTATTGATTTTGGTACAATAAACACAGAAAAAGTATAAATGATAAGATATTACAAGTACAACCCATTATGATTCGGAATTGGAAAAAGCAGGAGAGATATTGATTGAAATGATGGACAAGTCTTTTTATGTTACTACACTCCATGGTAGGGTCATATTGTGAATTACAGGACACTAGGTGTTATTTCACACACACAACCCATGGGAACTCCACGTTAAAGGGGGGAGCAAGAAAGCTGGATTGTCAGTTTGGCGTGCATAACATAGCAAGGTGGGTGTCTTAATCCTAATGGCCTCAACCCAAATCTGAGCAATTTCTCAGGAAAATCAGAGAGAAAACCAACCAGAAAAAAAAGAAATAAAGACTATCTGAAGAACCAATTTGAATGGGTTTTCACTTTTGCTTTTGTCTTTGGTCAGACAAAGAAAAAGGGTACTAGTAATGCTGAGGAAAAGAGAGTGGTAGTGGTGATGATTAAGAAAACTGGTAAGCACTTGCCCTCATCTTGGCTTTTTGTGTGATTTTGTTGTGTTCCTCTGGGTGCTCTGGTTTTTAATTGCAGAAATGAAGAACAAGTAATTTTCTGATGGGTGTTTTTGGGTAATGTTCATTAGGTATTTGTCTGTTGGTCTCTGTGACTGTTTCTTCATAATGGTATCCAACAGACTTATAAAACTCGTGTGGGTGACTGTTAAATTTACTCTTCTCCACTTGTTTGATCCTTCATAGGGTTCCTGAATGAGTTTTGCATAACACTTTGGTATTGCTTCTCTTCTATATATATATATATATATATATATATATATTGTACATATAGTGGTTTGTATTACTCTATTTGAAGTGGGTTTCTTGTGTTTCTAAGTCTTGGGTTATGTAGGGGTTTACATGGAGAGTGGCTTTTGGGCTTTGTCTATTGATTACAAGTTGATCATGACTATATTTCTCTTTCATGTGGGTTTATAGATTTGTCCACGATATGCAACATATGATGATCATGGGTTCACTTATTTTCACTAGATTTATGTGATATCTTTGCGACGATTCTTATGGGTTCCTCAGATTTTGTTGGTACTTGATGTTTGATTGTTCATTAATGATATGTATATAATATATGTAACATCTTGTTTTTGTGATATTCTCATTTATTCCTTTACCTTTGCAAAATTATAAAGGGAGATGCTTGTTGTCCACCGTTTTGGTGGTTTATTCAACTGATACCAAGATGCTGTTTTCTGTTGCAGGTTTTTCAAACTTAAACAGTAAAATAAATATATACACATGCAAATGTATTTGATTTATATATAGCGTTTGGAACTTGAAACTTTATAGAGCATTGGTGCTAGTGGCTTGAATCTTTAAAACTTTATATTATAAAAGTATAGAAACAGAGAAAGCAGGGTAGGAGAGAGAAAGATAAAGAAATAGAGGGAGGTGGGGGTGTGGAGTCAGATTTGTGCTTGTGGGTGTCTGGTTTTCAGAATTATTTTAGTGTTGAGAGTCTGTTGGCTATGTCTCCTGGGCTGGCTTGGTGCGCCCGGAGTCCGTGGGCTTTGCCGTCGACCAAGGAAACAGCCTATTCTTTGGCTCTCTTCCCATTCAAGTGATCCCATTCTTAAAAAATTCCATAACCCCATCTTTTCTTACTCTCTCTCACATTCAGATTGCTCCTACCTCGGTTGTTGTCAAGATTCGGTCACACCACAAATATATCCTTCACCTCTTTGAGAACCTATTACCTTCCTTTGAAGTTCAGACTATGGGTCATATTCAGTAATCTGGTCCCCACCACGCCTTTGGTCTAATTTCCATTTCCGGGAGGCTTTTCCTCGATTGGGGTTATGTTTGATCATTGGGGATGTGTGGTGGAGACTGCGAGGTAGTTAATTTAGCAGCGAATAGTTGAGTGTTGGGGAAGGATTGTTTTGGGGGTATCAGTGGAGTAGCAGAAATAAGGGTTTTTTGCTTGCCAAAATGAAGTTCATGAAGCTTGGATCGAAGCCGGATTCCTTTCACACTGATGGTAACAATGTCAGGTGAGATCTTTGTGACTTGCTATTCTAGCTTTATTTTTCTTTTGTTCATTCCTGAAAATTTTAATTTCAGCATTATATTCACATGAGTTATGGTAACATGAACATATTTTGATTGGTATTTTCTTCATTGATATTGCATTAACTCACTCATTTTCCCTTCGTTTTTTATTCAGTAATGTTCACTGTTGGGGGGTCTGAAATTCTCAATTCTTTTCTAAAAATACAATCAGTATGTAGTAATGAGCTAAATAAAATCCAAGGACCTCTCGCAAGCATCAGTTAGTAGCTGCAAATCACTTTAATTTATGTTTTAACTAAACATATCCTTAGGCAGGCTTGTGAGTTGATTTGTTTTTTTCTTGTTCTAACTGGCCCATGTTCTTGCCCTAAAATGATTCTATCGTTTTCTGTAGGTTTGATTATTGGCATCCTGTCCTTTTCTGGTCCGTTTTTATATTAATATCAGTGGGGTCAAATTAGAAAACATTAAGGTCTGAAAGAGGTGCTCAAATTTTATACTTGTAACTTACATTTCTGTGAAAAAAAGAGATTGATTTTGCTATCAATTAATATTTTTAATTATTAATGGAATTTCCAAAATAACCTTCAAACATTCTGAAAAAATTCTTTGCGGAGGAATTAGGCATTTCGAATTGTTCAGAATTGGTAATGTAGTATTGTTAGCTTAGTACTTCTAACAAGTACCTTGGTGCTTGGCATTACCCATCACTCTGGTAGGTTTGAATATTGAATTGTTTTCCAGAGTGAAAGATTGTTGCATAGTTTTTGTTAAAAAAGGTGATTATGGAATAGTTACAGTAATTTTTTTGATCGATAAGTATTTTCTTTCAAATGTTGAAATCAAGTATAACAAAAAGATTCCAGTATTTGAAGAAAGGGATCTCAATCTACAGATCTAGACTTGCTCAGACTAACCCTGTCGTCACTTTACAATGTTTAGGCTCGACTCAGCTATAGCTTGGAATGGTGAAACTAGCTCGAGCTCAAGCTTGTGTTAAAAACTTGGCTCAAATTGGATTTTTATTTGGGTTAATGAGCAAAACTGGAAAGGGGGAAATGTGAAAGGGACGACTAATTTTACTTTGTACTTGTGTTTTTAGTTTTTTTCAGATGAAACTTCAAATCATGGTACAAATATTTGGAATTTTGGACATTACTTCTAAAATATTTGCTTTCTTTAGGCTTAACGTTTCTAGATTAGAAAATCTATGTAAAGTGTAAACATATTACTCCTACATTTGTAAGTATAATCATTTAGCTTTGTATATAGTGACGCTTTACTTTTATCCCTCAAACAAGTGGGTACAGGATGCTATCTCTTATAGCCTGCTGTGAATTACGATGTTTAGAAGTACCACATGGCCTGTAAGGGTCACTAAACCACCCTAAATAGATTTTATCTCCAACATTTTTTTTTGTATGTGTTCATATTTTATTGTGGCCGGATATGTCTCTGTTTATTTATTTTTAGAATTCATTAATAAAATTACCAAATAAATTCCCATGTGCAGGTCTGTGGCAACTGAGTTGGCAACTGACATTATTGTTAATGTAGGGGAGGTGAAGTTTCTTCTGCACAAGGTATGATAATATTTAAGCCCATGTACGCTATTTACATTTTTTTTAGGGTCAATAATTCAGAGTTAGTGGTTAGTGATGTTAGAGACTTGCCAAATAAATAACTAGAACAATGACAGTGAGACTCCAGCATATTCAGGCTGTTTACATTTAATCTCTACTGGATAATTTGAAATTATTTATGCAGGGAGAACAACACTGTGAACTGATCCTTCTACTGAAGTGCTGATGTGGGTTCAGCTGGTGGTTCAGATATATAAAATTATTAAATAAATTTGATACATTGAACACACTTACTAAAAATATCAAATATTACATTTAAGTTGTATTAGTAATAATTGGGAAGGAATAGTTGTCTATACATTTTACGTTATATCAAGCCATTGATGAATGCTAGTTTTAAGTAAATGCTGATGAAATATCAAGTTAAGCCAACCCAAGCCAAGTTAAGCCGAGGCCTATTTTAAGAGTCAAGTGACAACCTCGACCAGACCTGGGAGAATTTGTCTCAAATCAGATCATTTATCCCTACTAATTCACACCAGTTTGTTTATAGCAATACATATCACACAAAACTGATGACTGGAATATTTGTTTTTGCAGTTTCCTCTCTTGTCCAAGAGTGTCCGCTTGCAAAAATTGGTTGCAACTGTAAATGAAGAAAACGGTGATGAAATCCACATTAATGACATTCCTGGTGGGCCTGTGGCCTTTGAAGTATGTGCCAAGTTCTGTTATGGCATGACAGTCACCCTCAATGCTTATAATGTTGTTGCAGTGCGCTGTGCAGCTGAGTACCTAGGAATGCATGAGACTCTTGAGAAAGGAAATCTCATTTACAAGATTGATGTTTTCCTAAACACTAGCATTTTTCGCAGTTGGAAGGATTCTATCATTTTCCTTCAGACTACAAAGTCTCTATCTCCTTTGTCTGAGGAACTGAAGTTGGTCAGCAACTGCATCGATTCTATAGCTTCCAAGGCCTCTGTTGATGTTTCGAAGGTGGACTGGTCCTATACCTATAACAGGAAAAAGCTCCCAGAGGAAAATGGGAATGGTCCTAACTGGAATGGTGTCAAAAACCGGGTTGTGCCAAAGGATTGGTGGGTTGAAGACTTATGTGAGCTTGAAGTAGATTTATATAAGCGGGTTATAAGTAATATGAAAGCCAGAGGGATAATTGCTGGTGAAGTGTTAGGAGAAGCTTTGAAAGCTTATGCTGTGAGAAGGGTTCCGGGATTTGATAAAGGTATGATCCAATGTGGAGATTTATTGAAAATTCGATATATAGTGGATATGCTCGTGTGGTTGTTGCCTGCAGAGAAAGGCAGTGTCTCTTGTAGTTTCTTGCTCAAGTTGTTAAAAGCAGCCTGTTTGGTGGATTTGGGGGAAATGGCGAAGGGAGAACTGGTAAGTAGATTAGGGCAGCAACTGGAGGCAGCTTCTGTGAATGATCTTTTGATTCGAGCCCCAGAAGGGGCAACTACAATGTATGATGTCGATATAGTGAAGAAAATACTGGAGGAGTTTATGATGCAAGACCAGAATCCTGAAACTCTATTAGCAGAGGACCAAGAGATTCAGGAAGTAAGAAAACCAGGAATTTTATCAGATGCTTCAAAGCTAATGGTTGGAAAGTTGGTTGATGGGTACCTTGCTGAAATTGCAAAGGATCCTAATCTCGCTTTGTTGATGTTTGTTGATCTTGCTGAGATGGTGTCTGGTTTCTCTCGTCCTGCTCATGATGGACTTTATCGGGCCATTGACACATATCTCAAGGTAAGAGTTTTCGGATTGTTTTAATTTTGTTCACTTTATATGATAATATCTAGTTGGAATTTGAATTGTGTTTTCATGATAAAATCCAAAATTAGGCATGACAGAATGCTGTTATATGTTGATTTGTGTGAGAAGTTTGTTGTGAGTCTTTACTATATGCTATAAAAGTTCTCCTAGTATGTTCTTAGACAATTGGCAACCTTTTGTTTTTTTTTTTTTTTTTTTTTTTTTGAAGTTAAATCCTATCCCCCCTACATCAATAGAGTTCTCTAACATGCACAGTAATTTTCCTTTGTTTCATGGCCGGATAAGGAACTTGTACAAAGAGAAATTGGAATCACATAAGTACCTCTTCAATCTTATCCTGTTATTGGACTCCAATTTTGGTTTTTGTTATAGACATCTCTAACATGCAGCAATTAAGCAATTTTGCTTTGTTTCATTAATGGGAACCAACACAAAGAGAAGTTGGAATCACATAACTACCTCTTCAATCTTATCCTGTTATTGTACTCCAATTTTCAACCATCTTGAAATTTCCCAGCAATTGCACAAAGCATAAAATTGAAAAGCCACATAAACCTTTTCTTCCCTTCTTTTACATCATCACTCATCAGTCAAAAGTTGAGAGGACATGCATTATATTCTTAAAAGGTGAGGGATGATTAGGGTTTTTGTACTGAGCTATTTCGTCCTATACCAGAACAAAATTCTACTAGAAGCTCATTTTAGTTGAATATGTTTAAAAGAATAACAGGACTTTTATACAATTTGACACTGGTTGTTGATCCATTAGCTCTTAAAACTTGTGTGTTTTTTGCCGCAGGAGCACCCTGGGATCAGCAAGAGTGAGAAGAAGAGGATATGTAGGTTGATGGACTGCAAAAAGTTATCTGCAGATGCATGCATGCATGCCGTACAAAATGAAAGACTCCCCTTGCGTGTTGTCGTCCAGATCCTATTTTTTGAGCAAGTCAGGGCCGCTGCATCATCGGGCTGCAGCACACCCGACCTACCTAAAGGCATGAAGGATCTAAACAGTGGGTCCCATGGGAGCTCAAGATCTGCGACAACTAACACGGAGGAAGAATGGGATGCTGTGGCCACGTCCGAGGAGCTCAAAGCCTTGAAAGCCGAGCTAGCTGCCTTAAGGTTGGGGAATGGAAGCCGAGGGAGTGACAGAAATGGTGGGGATATTAGAACTAATGCAGACAGGGCTGCCATTAGTAAAATGAAAGGGTTGCTCATGTCGAAGAAAGTATTTACAAAACTCTGGTCCAGCAAAGGGGGTCATAGTGAGAATGGTGGCTCAGATTCATCAGACAGTCCTAGTTCTGCTAACCATGAAGAAGCCAAATCTACGCCTTCAAGAAACAGGCGGTTTTCGGTTTCTTAGTTAAAAAAAGTCAGAAAATGTAGTTTTTGATGGGTTTTTTGTTTTTGGAATGAAACTACCAAGTCAAAAAAAAAAATAGTCGTTATCTTAAGGGAACAAAAGTGAAGCATATAGGTTAGAATTAAATTTGCAGCAAAGTATCTCATGAGAAGATGTTACTTGGGAAAATGCCAAGCACACTTTGTTGAATGCCTACTTGAGTTTGATCAATGAATCCTAGCCAATGGAGTAGAAATTTTATTACGGGCTTGGACATGTCTGCCATATTATGAACTTGTTTCTAGGCCTACAATATATGCTCTTCTGCAGTAGCATGGCATAATGGTAATTTTTTGGCTTATTAATTATTGTTGTCTTAATTCTTTTATAAACAGGGTGGAGAGTCACTTGGTTAATCCTTGTTTGTTTACTGCTTGCTAGGGAAGAAAAAAAACCTTGTTAGATGTTAATATGTTGTGATTAACCAGTGGGATTTTATTTTCAGCAGTTAATTGGATATTTATATAGTTTTATAACAAGCTTCTTAGATTATTAATATTTGATGAAGAGAAGAATATATAAATCTCAACAAATCTATGCCAATGATCAAAAGGAAGAAAAGAAATGGTGAAAGATTGTTATCAATCACTTGATTGAAATGGAATGAAGTTGGAAATGAGGTGGGGGAATGGGATGGGAATGGCAATGGAATGATTATTCTTGTTCTATTGTTTGGTTACAAATATGAAATAATGTAGGAATGAAATGATAATCACCATTCTAAGTGAAAGTGGTGGAAGGCTAAGGCGGAGGCTATGGCAGCAACGAGAGACGGTGGTGGTGGCAGAAAGTGGTGGCAACGGTGGTGGAAGTGGAAGGCAGTGGCGGCATCAGAGGGCAGTGGTGACGACGGTAGTGAAAGGCAATAGTGGTGGAAGGTAGGGACGGTGGCCAAAAATTTCATTCCATTAATTTTAGATGTGAAATGGATTTTCACTCCAAGGGAATGATCATTTTCATTTTTGCTTCGTTTGGTAAAAAAGAAGAAAGAGGGGTTGAGGGAAGATAGGAAGGAAGAGGAGTAGAGGTAAGGAAAGAAGAGAAAAAATGATGGATTAGACATCCTTCATCCTTTACAAATTTTCGTCTCCAAATATGGACCGAAGACACCAAAAAAAAAAAAAAAAGAAAAAAAAAGTCAAGCCTATTATAAAAGTTTTAAAATTACAAAATTTTTAGTATAATTAAGACGGTCTCTTCTATTCGTTTCTCTCGTAACAAATAAAATATGGTACTATTTCATTGTCTTCTCTTCCTTTCAACCAAACAAAAAGAGGGAATGATACAATCTCTCTTCCATAGGCATGTCTAATTTATCACTTTTTTTCTCCCTTACATCCAATTTTCTTCCTTCATACCAAACATCGAATAAATGTCATACCAAATAAGGAAATGGTTGGAATAAAATACCCATTCCATTCCGTTGCTGTGTACCAAACTACTCCCCAAAAAATTCAAAGAGTAATATTTTTTGGACAATAGATTTAATTTTCGACATGGATGATATATAAACATGAGAAAAACATCAATACTTGTATAGTTTCAATTTGCCAATTAGATCATCAAGCAAGTAGGGGAATTACAGTAAATTAAGTAGAGACGTACATAAATTTGTGACTCCTAAACACGTACCTACAATTATTGATATATTAGTAGTAATTAAAGTAGTGTAGCTAATAGAGCTTGCATTTTGTAGACTCACCCAACATCGTCCCTGTTGTTGCATTATGATGAGAAAATCGAACCTTCACATCTCCACATCTCACCATCATCTCTTCGTAACTTTCACTACTCAAGAAAACCATAAAAATACCCTTTATGGCAATGGTGAGGTTCACAACCCCATTTGACCTATCCACCTCAATAGCTTTGGCGACCTGTTCGGTCACCGGCACCGATGATGTTCCGGTACTCTTGCTCACCATTAGAGACACATCATCGGAGCTCATGTACTCATGGAGAAGCATGGACGACAGCTTCACCTCTTTGTAGAATACCGAAACTACGGCCTCCGGTTCTTCCCATAACATTAATTCATTCTTCTTCTCCACATGGAATCCGATGTTCCAATTTGAAGTTACTGAGTGATTGGCCGTGGACGAGTGGACGGAGAATGAAGAGACGGAGACTGAGTCAACTCGGATCTTTGGAGTATTGGGAGGAGATAGATGGATCGCAACAACAAAAGGAATAAAAACGAGGGAGGCACAGAAAATGAATACAATTGCCTCTGCAATGCATTGGTGGCACTTTTCATTTTGTGGTGGCGGCGGTGGAGGCGCGTGACGTGCTCCACGGTGGTTGTAGTGGGTGGGTGGGGCTTCCTCCGCCAAAGGGTAAACGGCGGCGGGGCGAGTGTTGGTGTTGGTGTTGGTGTTCATGGGTAGAGAAAAACTGAGAGTTCTAAGAATACAACTTTTGGGGGATGAACAGAGTGTGTGTGTGAAGTGTGTGAACACGGAACACAGGGGAGATGATACATTGCTTTCTTTTTCTATTTTCCGGTGAAACAAACGACATAAACTTCTCTCTTTTGAAACGAAACCGCATATGCATTTTAGGAAAGGCAATTAGTTACTAGTAGTTTATATGTGATGATGTTTAAGATTTATTAATTAATGGTAGTATTTTAAAAGGTTTGGAAAAATTTGAATTAATAATTTTAAACTGGTTAAATTTGTTTCAACAGCAGTGTGTAAATTTATTAATCAGTGACATTTTTTGAGCCAACTTTGATTGGAAAATAATTTAATCTGGTGGGCCCCACACCTATAATGGTGTGGGGCCACCAATCCTATGTGATATTTTGGTAAATTGCTGACTTGCATTTATGTGAGAGAAAAATGACATTATTAATGACATTCTCAATTTGAATAATATTATCAAAACATCATTTTCCACTAACATAAATATTAATACAGTGAGTGAGAATTTATACGTGTAGGGTCACCAATCCCTTTATAACATTTTGGTACTTTGCTGACTTGCATTTATGTGAGATCACTAATCCCTTCATAACATTTTAATATATTGCTGACTTGCATTTATTGATATATTACTGACTTGCATTTATGTGAGATTGAAATGATATCGTACGTCATTTTTTACTAGCATACATGTTAGTTCATTGATAATAGTATTTATGATAAAGGATTTTAAAAATGAAAATTTATTACATGATCTTCGGATTATTGATCTCGACCAAATATATATTAACACATAAACAAAAAATGAAATAAAGCTGACATACGTGTGTATGTATTAGTGGACCCCAAACCAATGGTCTAATATAATTGGGCTAGGTGGGCACTCACTAACCATGGGCAGCAAACGATTGTGAACTACATTGATTCCTTTAAATTGCGAGATTAAAAATGATCTTAAGGGCATAATCAGATTGTTGTTAAGAACTATCAACACTGCATACTTTATCAAGGGAGGGCAGGGGAGTTGTAGATTTCATTAGAAAATGCTCTCTTTTGCCAAGGATTAATTTTGAGTGGATAACATTTGATTTGAATTTTGCTATAACTCATAAGATATATTCAATTGTCTTTCGAATGATCCATCTAACCACTATATGATTTTATTTATTCACATCGACCCCATCATGTCGGTCAAGAGCAACATATAAAACCTTTAAAAAGCAAGAATTTGTTTCGAATCCCTTGGGGCCACTCTTAGGAAATTTGCATGTGGGGATGTATGTATCTGATGGTGAATTATATGATGTTTTAAGAGGCCCGACAACACCCTCGATCGACAAAAAAATAAAAATAAAATAAAATACAATGCATTGCATTGCATTGGACCGTCAAGTGTCCCAAAGAATATTTATGTTCGTAGAAGCAAGCCCATGCCTCTCGAGCCCGGCCATATATATAGCCCATTTCTGTTGGGACCTTATGATCCATGGGGCAAGGCCGGTTTTTATTTGCATTGGACCATGTGGTGTCTGGGGGACCCGGAATAGATTGTGAAGGCTACATGACATAGAACATATTGCATTACTATTTATTAAACTAAAAATGAATGAACATTAGTAATATATAGCTACTTTAATACTACTCTGTAGTGCGGCTGGAAAGACATTGTTCAACACACGCGCCAAGCTATATACCAAAAATTACAACAACAATATATATATATATATATATATATTCTATTTATTTTTAAGAAAATGTATTTATAAATAAAAAAAATAACTAAAATTCCCTAAGGCTGTGTTTGGCTGCATGGAATTGAAGTCTTAAAATTAGAATTGGTGAAATTGGAAAAAATTTTGTAAGTTATTTTTCTCTAATTCTACAAATTTCAATTCCAGAACTCCAATTTCATGTAGCCGAATACAGCCTAAGGTATTTGGGATTTTTTTTAAAAAATAAAATGGTCTAATTTGTTGAACAGGGGCAAATTGCTAAAAAATTTTAAAATACAAAAATTTATATTCACATTTTTAAAAGTGGTTGAATCATACCTACATTTAGCATTTGGGATTGAAATTTTGAGAATTCAGAGAGAGCTGTTAGAACATGCAAATGTTTATGCACAAAGAGAGCAACACCCTCTTTAGAAATCCCCCTATAGTCTAGTGGGCTTGCAGAAAATTAAATGGGTTTGCAGATGCCTCGATAGCGCAATGGGTTAGTGTTTTCGGTGAATTTTGGTGTGCTAAGTTTCGACTCTCTGCAGCTACTAATATAACTTCTAACATTTCTTACCTTATAAAAAAAGAAAATTAAATAAACTTGACTTGTAAGTATAATTTATTAATGAATTCTATTCTCAATTATGTTTTAAATTGATTATCAACATATATATATGGAACTTACTTCACTATTATTATAAAACAATTATATATATATCATGGCTAGCACTCTTGTGAGCCCAAAGCATCAACTATCTGTATTCCATGAAAGGACACTTAAATTTTGCCGTACTTGGAAGGCAAAATGTCCTCCAAATATAGCTTAGGAATTTGCATGACCGAAAAAGAAAAATAAAAAAAAATTGGATGACCAAACTCAACTTACATAGTGGTCCATTCTCTCTCTGTGTCTCTCTCACTAGTTACTAGTATCTATATATATATATATAGAGTGAGAGAAGGAGAGCAATATTAAACCACATTTTTAGATGCATGAAGCCAAAACTTTCCGGTTTACTAGTTAATCCAAAGTCCATTGACTGGAATTCTATTATCCACTCAAATAATTAGATCAAGTATTGGAATTTACTGTAACTTAAAATTTTTGTTTCCAAGTTGAAACTAACTCGAGTTAATTATTAACTTTAAAAAAATAATAATAATACAAATGTTTTCTTGTGGGAGCAAAAATTGGATGTGATCAACATTTCTGAATGTCCCAATTATGTATATGTTGATCCACACATACAATTATTAAGGCTTTAAACTTAGGTGACACACACAGCTTTTAGCTAGCTAGGAATGAACATAAATAAATAAATAATTTTGGGATTGCTGTTTTTTATGGTGGTGAAAAAATGACTCATATACTTCAATCACAGAGCATACATGAAAAAGGAATCTTACCTAAATGTTGTCACAAAATAGAAAATCTCTCCCATGTTTATTGATAAATGAACAAACAATATTAAAAATGATCATAAATTCAATTCAAATATATATATATATAGTTTCGATTTGCCAATCAGATCATCAAGCATGGACATTACAGTAATTAAGTAGATACATACATAAATTTGTGACTCCTAAACATGTACGTACACGTACAATTATTGATAGTAATTTAAGTAGTCTAATAGACTCTGCATTTTCTAGACTCGCCCAACATTGTCCCTGTTGTTGCATTGTGATGAGAAAATCCAACCTTCACATTCTCACATCTCACCATCATACTACCATATATTTCAGTGATTTCACCCCTCAACATAACCCTAAAAAAACAATGAATGGTGATGGTGAGGTTCACAACCCCATTTGACCTATCCACCGCAATAGCTTTCGCCACCTGCTCGGTCACCGGCACCGATGATGTGCCCGTACTGTTGGTCACCATTAGATACACACCATCGGAGCTGTACCCGTGGAGAGGCATGGACGACAGCTTCACCTCTTTGTAGAATACCGAAACCGTGGGCTCGGGCTCTTCCCTTACGATTCTTCCATTCTTCTCCTCGACATTGAATCCGATGTTCCAATTTGAAGTTACTGCGTTCATGGCCGAGTCCACGGTGAATGAAGAGGCCGAAACTGAGTCAACTCGGATCTTTAGAAGATCGTAAGGAAATAGGAGGATCGCAAGAACACAAGGGATAGAAATGAGGGAGACACAGAAAATGATTGCAATAACCCCTGCAATACATTGGCAGCACTTTTCATTTTGTGGTGGTGGTGGCGGCGCGTGAGAGGCTCCATGGTGGTCGTTGTGAGTGGGTGGGGCTTCCACCTCCAAAGGGTAAACGGCACGAGCGTTAGTGTTGGTGTTGTTCATCATGGGTACAGAAATTTGTAAGGAAGTCCACCATGTATGTGTGAGAACTTGTAAATTGTGAACACAAGAATGGTTAAGTCTACTTTATGCGACTGAAAAATGATAACATTAATGATTGATAACGTTATCAATAGTGTCATACTCCACTCACGTAAATGTAACCAAATTCTTTTATGATTCTTTCCAGATAAATTAAGTGTTTTTTGTTAATGAGCAATTTTAACCACGTGAAAAACCTATGTCTTTATGGTAGTCAGATCTACAATCTTGGAATATATGAAAGAATGATAATGATATACAAACAATCTAAGTAATCCAAACAATTCTTTCAGCATCGCTTATAATTATTGTGAAGTCGTTCTCGTAATAGTATTCTCTTATTTTTCTCTAATACTTAAACTAAAAAGCTCAAAAAAAAAAAATGTAAGCTTTTTGAAGCTGTAATGGTTAACATAGAATTAATCACTAATTAATTTATGTTGAGTAGTTGTGTCAGCAGGCCACATTACATTATTAAAGTAAAAAAAAAAAGTGACCATTAATATCTAGCAAAGGTCAATCAATAGATATTTTAATAATCATTGGGGGAATGAAACTCACTAAGCCGCAAAAACTGTGGTGTGGCAATAAATTATCTTAAACATTATTAATTAACTAATATAATCTAATGGTTACAATGCATTTTTAACAAATGGACAAATTTTTAGTAGCTTTCACAAATAGTTGCATAATTTGAGAGCTTGTACCTTCCCATGCGCAGCGTTTGTCTCAATGACAGTGTTCAACTCACGCGCCACTTCAGTTGCCTAAACATGATTTTGAGAATTCTTTCGTATATATTGTGTGTGACGCTGTGGTCTGAATTTAGTGTCGGATTCTGTTACGATTAACTTACAATATGATGATTCGTCGAATGACCCGTTTTACTTATGGGTTGTGAACCTTAATTAATCTCTTGTAACTCGATATATAAGGATGCTTAGGATTTGGAATAGTGGACTTTGAAATTCATCCAAAAATAGAGTGAGAGGTTGAAAATTTATAATTTCTTATTTTACATATAGTAAAGACTTTCGCCAGATTTCAACCGTGAATGTAGACTATTGCCAAATTACGTATAAATTTTGTATTCTTTGTGTGGTGTGTCTACTTTTATGTCGTGATTCTTAATTTTGTCGTGAATGTAGACTATTGCCAAACTACGTATAAATTTTGTATTCTTTGTGTGGTGTGTCTATTTTTATATCGTGATTCTTAATTTTATTTTGAGTTTGTTGCGTTTGTCATAACATATATATATATATATATATATATATATATATATTACTAGCTAAATTACAATGATCTCTTATGAGGTTTAAAGTTTTTTATTTTCACCTCTTCTGAACTTGTTCGGCGATGACAAAAAGTGATTTTGAGTATCTTTATCTAATAGTATTGCTCTTGGAGAGTGATTTTGAGTATCTTTATGTAGTGGTATTACACTTGGAGAGCGCTTCATGATAATACTGTTCAAATTCAACAAATTATTATTAGGTTGTATTTGGCTCCATGAAATTGATATTTGGAATTGGAGAATTTTTTTAATTAATTTTTTAAATTGTATTTCTCCAATTCCAATTACATGCAACCGAATATAACCTTAAAGCTTTTTTCACTTACTTGATCACAACTCAAGCACTATTTCTCTAAACAAACACTAATCCTCTTGGGAGAAAATAGAAAGAATATTGAAGTCCATAAATGGGCTTGGAAGGAGTATAACTGGATCATTAATTATTAAGTAAATCAATTCTATTCTCAATTATGTTCTAAACTGTTGAGTATAATAAAATTAATGGAACTTACTTCACTATATAAAACAATAATCATGGTTCTCTCTTGTGAGCGCAAAGCATCAACTGTCTCTCTATCCCATGAAAGGACACTAAAAATTTGCCATGAAGCCAAAATGTCCTCCTAATCTAGCTTAGGAGTTTGCATGACCAAATCAACTTACATGGTGGTCCATCCTCTCTTTCTCTCGTAGTATATATATATATATATATATATAGATAGACGCATACATATATACATATATAGAGAGAGAGAGCATTTAACAACATTTTTAGATGCATCAAGCCAAAAGTTTGCAGTAAAACTAACCCAAGGTCCATGGACTGGAATCTCATTCTCCATTCAATCAGATTAAGTATTGGAATTAACACTAAAAATTGTGTGTGTGGAAGCATTCGTGGTCCACATGTTAAAGACGGCCATGAATTGGATAAAGATGCCACGTACAGACAGTCGTCAAGACTGTAACTTCAATGAATCTTCTTCATCCCCCTTCTTCTTAGTCCTCGTGAATCACGCGCTGTTTTTTTCATTTAAAATTTGTGTTTCCAAGTTCAAAATTAATTAAAATTAAAATATTCAACCAAATAACTACAAGTTGGGAGGGGGCTCTTTTTGATGGTGGTGAAAGAATGAGTCATGTATTCCTCCTATCAAAGTGAAAAAGGAATCTTACCTAAATGTTGTCACAAAAATGAGAAGACGTATGACATGTTTATGAATGGAGACAACCATATATTAAAAATGATCTTAAATTTAAATTATTGGTCTCCACATTGTGGATGCCGATGAGCGCTGTGTGTACGTGTAGCATTCTGAATGAGCACAAGTCATGACATGTTAAAAATTGAACTATTGTTGGAGTTTGTCCAGAAGACAAACGTTCCTGGTCAGATTGATGGCTTTTGGGATGAACCCGGAGTGTTTTTTTTTTTTTTTGGGTAAGTAAAAATAAATAAATAAATAAATGGCCTCGCGGGCACACCAAAGATGAATTCTGAGTTAGGGTTAGTATATTAATTTTATGTTCTTTATATGCCAAAAAAAAAAAAAAAAAGAAAAAAAAAAAGACATTTACATGAATGAAAGAAAGTAGGAAAAATAAAATTAATTAATACATGTACTTTTAGGCAACAAAAGGTGAAGCAAAATAATTCCCTAGAAAAGGGAAGAAGAAAAAAAAAAAAAAAAAATCATTCAGTCTTGCCATGATAATACTTCTGAAAAATGGTGTGACATAATGCTTGAAGCCCATAATTGAGAAATGCTTTTTATTCCTCTTCAGAAAGAGACATCAAAGGATGATGGCTTCAAATTAATGTCACAAAAAAAATTCACCTCTTCAATAAATGGGGAGGAGACTCAAAATTTCACTTTTAGGAAGCAAATTACCTTTTTACATTGAGGAACAAGAATTTGGGACATTCAAAAATTTAAAAATGGCCAAGAATTTTGGAAATTTGAATCTGCCTTGCTTTTTTATTTTATTTATTTATATATATTTTTTTTTGCAATTTGGAAATTTGGAAATTTGAATCTGCCTTGCTTAATCGATCTAAATTAATTTATCTTCCTATAATCAACAAAGGCTACGAAAAACTTGTACCTCTCACCCTTACACTACAATCAAATGCTCAAACCCTATTTATAAATTTGAGTTTGAAAATTTTAAAAGGGATGATAAAGAAGATATCATACCTCAAGTTGCTCCCCTCGCCGGTTGCATTCCAAATTGTGACTCACGCGCTCCATGAAAATTGAAATCAGATAGGTGGGGTCCAAACAGTCCCCGAAGTGCGGGCCAACAAAAGATTCCATCCAGCAAAAGAATCCAACGGTGGAAGTGGAAAGAAGGAAGGAAGAAAATGGAACCGCCCATTCGCGGAGACACGGAGCCGCTATTGCCAAACAATTTGGAACCCTAAACCCCGACTCCCACTCTCACTTTTTTAATAGTATCGAACCCCAATGTCACGTACCACTACCAACAACAACTGAAGTTACTTTAACCATAGTTACATTAACCCAACCCCACTCCATTCCCCCAATAATTTCGCACTCCCTATATATGTTCTCTCTCCTTCGTCAACTCCATTTCTCTAGTATGATCATCGTTTTCGCCGGAATCTGAGATTTCATGTGCCGCCGAGCCGAGTAGTCTGACGCATACGCCGAGGTTTGAAGATGAGTTGTAACGGTTGTCGAGTTCTTCGAAAAGGTTGCACCGAGAATTGCATATTGAGACAATGCCTGCAGGGGATCGAGAGCTCTCAAGCTCAGGCTAACGCCACCGTCTTCGTCGCCAAGTTCTTCGGCCGCGCCGGCCTCATGTCCTTCATTTCCGCCGTCCCCGATTCCCAACGGCCAGGTCATTTTCTCTCTCTATATATACACATATATACTTATATATATAATTAGAATCTGATAGGGCTTTGGTTTGCATACAGCTTTGTTTCAGTCGCTTTTATTTGAAGCGTGTGGAAGGACGGTGAATCCGGTGAGCGGAGCGGTTGGACTTCTATGGACGGGGAACTGGCACGTGTGCCAGGCGGCGGTGGAGACGGTGCTGGGAGGCGGCACGTTACATCCGATGCCGGAGTTTCTGGTTGGAGCTTCGGTTACGGAATACAAGGACGCGTCGGAAGCCAACGACGTTGAGCTTTGTAGATCGCAGGAGGATCTGAATTCGCGATCGAAGGCGTACGATAGGAAGGATTTTGAGGACGTTGTGGTGAGATCGCAACCGAACGATCTCAATCTCCGATTGACTCAGAGTTTTGGAGCGAGAATGACGGCGGGTGGGAGAGTGAACCGACGGACGGAGAAACGGCGACGAGCAACGCTGTCGTTGAATTCGGAGGAGTCTGAAACGACGACGTTGGAGAGCGCCTCGGCTTTTCATCAAAGTCTACTAGGAGGAGGAGAAACGAAGCTTTTGAGATTGTTCCTTTGAGGAGAGAGAAGAGAAAGAGAGAGGTTGGTAACAGATTTACCGGCAACCTGAATCCATGTTTTTTTTGGAATACCTGAATCCAAGCTCAGGATAGCTACGTGTAATAGTATTTTTTTTTTGGACTTAATTTTGATCATTAAATTTTGCCACTTTTGGTACTCAGGTGATCTAACACCGACGTGTTTGGACATAAAGATATGCGAGTCCCCGACTTTCTCTTTCCATGAATTTTCTTTTCCTTTGTTTTGATGAAATGAGGAAAAGAAATGCAATGATTTGGTAAAAAATATGTTATGTTATGATTAATTACTCCAGCTTGTTTTGTGAATTTCAGTTTTGTCACTATTATTTACAATATAATATAATTATTATTATTTATCTAAGAAAGGTTAATGAAAAATTTTCTTGCTTTTCTTCATTAATTGTAACTACAATGAAAGAAAATAAAAGAGAGTCTAGCCACAATTTAGAGTATAATTCGACTTAAAAAATGATACCATATAAGAAGAGAGAGGTTATTGGGTGGAAAGAGTGAAAAGAAGTTGAGTGGGTAAAAAGAAGGAAAGGAAAGGAACAGAGAGTTTGCAAGGAAAGGGAAAATAGAGAGAGGCAACAAAAAGAAGGCTAACAAAATAGTAACAATCACCAAACCAAATCAATGGCAAGTCTGACCACCTTGTTTGAGCTCAACCAACAACCAGTTTGAATGAAATGAAGGGTAATTTAAGTTTCTGATCAAGGGCTGGGGTTAATTTAACTTTCTGATAGGAAGAAGTCTGAATTTGATGTTTTTTCAACACTAGACTTTGAGGAATGTAATTGGACATTGACATTGATAAAAGAGGAATTTTATGAAGGTTGACTTGTTGGAATGGATGAATTGGTCCTCACCTCCGTTACTTAAAATATTTATTTTGGAAACATTTTTTTTTTTCTCACTGTAAAATATTTATTTTTATTTTTCTGTTTTTGATAAAAGTTTAGGTCAAGTTTATAAGGCGGACCATGTAAAATAATTTGTCAAAAATTGATGAGTAAATTATTTTTATTAGATTTTATTTTTTTTCTTTATAAATATTTTACGACAACTAAATATCAAAAAATAAAAATATATTTTTTAAAAAATATTTTTACATTTAAACAAACGAAGCCGAAGTGTTCACCAAACAGTTTTTTGAATATTGACAATTAAGTGAATGTTTGAATGTCTTCTTTTCTTTCAATTCTATGGTCCATACTTGGTTTTTTCTCACTTGTTGCTAATAAAAGTAGTGTAAAATGTACTTATCAAAAAAAAAAAAGTAGTGTAAAATGCAACTAGGGTTTTGTAACCTCGTCAGGATGTTTATCTTCTTTTCATATGTTTTTTTATTACTATATTTACTACCGAATTCATTTATGTTAAAATAAGTAGATAATTGTTTTCGGAGGCATGATGTCGTTGGCAGAAATTTGAGAGATAAGTGTTTTAGGTCTCGCTTTCGAATTACACTCCTGATTTAAGTAATGCGTGTGTTGTGGGGCCGATACACATTCTCTAAAAAAAAATATTTCTCTGAATTCTACCTAACTATTTTTTTTTTTTTTTTTGACAAATTAGAAAGCGAGAACTCGAATATAGGTATATCTGCTTGGAGAGTTAAGTACCATGCAAATAAAGACATTGGATAATACCCACCGAACTCTTCACCCCAATTCAAAGTTGTATCTGATTATCTATTTAAAAGAAGACCATCTTAGAATAACTAAGTTCTCTCTGCAATAAAATGGTATGAATCCATATTTGTCTCACCAAAATTACCTTACGTAAGTACAAAGGAAAATGATAAAAATCACATAGATTGTTATTAACTTTTTTTTATTTTTTTATTTTATTGATGTGTTATTTATTGAGCTAAACAGGCCCAAAGAGAGATTATAATCTTTTAAGAAAATGATATTCAAGTCCATTTGTTAAGTTTATTAATCAAAGTGAAATAATTTGAAATGGGGCTAAAATGGAGTCCCACTCTGAAATAGGGCATCTAAAGAACGATTTTCTTATATGCACAGAAAATGGATAGCATTACTCAACCGCAAACTATTGGGAGAGTGAGATGTATTAACAAGAATGAGTTATTACCATTATATTGACATAGTAGTGAAAAATATATATATATTGAGATGGTAAAACCTAAGTTACATAAAGCGAGAGCGGGAATGAGAGCGAATTCGAGAACGTGAGAGCGGCAAAATTATGTCATAAATAGTGAGAATTTAAACAAAAACACACAAAATTATAAGATAAATTATAATGACCTCCCCTGAATTTTAGACAAATCTCACACAAGTAAGCGTTTCAGATTTATTACTTTGATCTCCCTTAAGGTTTGAATGTATGCGCAATAACCTTCCCCTCGTTACTCTTACACTTAATTTTTTATTTATTTATAATATATTTTTTAGGAGAAGGCAGTGGTGGTGAAGAAGAGAAAGAAAGGTAATAAGAGAGATAACATAGAAAATTATATATTTTTAAATTTTATAATATATTTTGTATTATCAAAATATATTATATATAAGAGTAAAATTTACTCTTGATACATTTGCCCGAAAATATATTCCTTATATATTTGACATTAAACATGGCTTTTGGGAGATGTAAAGTATGCACACCCTTTCGAGGCATTTAGACACACTCTCAATATGCAAAGAATGTGTGTGATAGAAAGGGATGGGTGGTGGTGGGTCCTAAAGATGGCATTATCCTTTTATTCAAGTGGTGGCAATGAGTGGGGCCTACGGCATGTCAGCATCAAAGTCTCCTAATTGGACTAATCTGGACTCTCTATCTATCTGTGCACTGCAACCAAAAAAAAAAAAATATATATATATATATATATATATATATAAAGTAATAATAAGTCTTTCGATTTTAATTGTCGACTCTTCCCCTGAATACAAAGTGAGGTAAAGAGTCAATAATTGAGATCGAAAGACTTATTATTCTACTTATATAGTTGGTATATATATATGCAACCACGCTATATTTGTAGGAATAGTCAATAATTGAGATCAAAAGACTTATTATTTTTCTATATATATATATATTCTACTTATATAGTTGGTATATATATATATATATGCACCATTCTGATGCTTTCCTTCCAACCGCTGGGCGTCGCTGCATATTATGCATCTGATGTGGACCCCATGGAACCTTTTCTACACCGTCCATTCCCCATGCACCAAAACATCCCTTCTTTATGAAAGGCCTTGATTGGATTGATTTAAAAATCCACTCATTTACCAATTGGCCAAGTTGCTAATAATTATTGAAAAAGATTTGTTGGGCATGGTTAAAAAAAAATATTCACACTCCATTTATTTTTTACTTTAAGAAGAATGACATAAATACTCTTCAAAAATACATTTACCTTTTTATAACAATAAGTAACACTTCTTAAACACCCCATTTTAATATCGGGATTTCATTAATGAATTTTATCATGCATTTTAACTTTTTATTTGGAATTTTGGTGCTTCGCTTTGTGATTTGCACATACCATTAATATGAATATTTGGGAGCTAGAATTTTTGAATAAAAAAACGTAATCGAACTTAATTCGTTCTCATAAACATTTATATCAGAATAGTATAACACTTCACTTATAGCTCAATATTAAAAAAATACCAGTAATGGAGTATTATTCGAAGTACATCGAGTTATACTAAGATACGAATTAAAAATCGCCTTACATTGTTGACTTTTTTTCTTTTTTTCTTTTTTTCCTTAATAAAAAGAAAAAGTAAGATACTATTTTCTTGGGACATCATCAAAGAACACTTTTTTTTTTTTTTTTGGGTTACATTGTGCAAGGATTGTACAAAGATGGACTAATTTAATTTTTATTTCAAAATCATAAAAAAAAAAATTAAAAATAAAAAGAATCTTTTGACTCATTTTAGTCCTTGCCGATGGTCATGTGTGTTTTTATTTTGAATAAATTGATTAATAAGTATTGTCTCTATAAATAAAAAAATTAGATTGATGTGTTCTTTGCGGTTTGTCACGTGATTAATATAGTGAGTTGAAAGGGAGAGGTACACGGTACCCAACTGCAGCGCATGCTAGCGGTCGGCTGCTGCTCCTTTACTTCCGCATGCGCCGGAAATCCAACGTGAGCTGTCCCCTGTCGGTCAATAATGCAATTTTCATTTTGGATTGTATATAACTACGTGTGTGTGTGTGTGTGTGTGCATATATTATATTATAGTGGTCGCATGTAGTAGATGAGTAATGACAATGTCAAGAGTCGTGTGGGTGGTCGTAGAATTGTTTGTCGACTGTTTTTACCCACAGATGATTTTGACCAATATAAATTCAGTCTGCTTATTGGAATGGTTCAAGAGGTTGAAGAAAGAAAATTACATCTATATAGTCAATATTCACTTTATTTTAAAATGAATGTTTAGACGCTAAACTTGCTAAATGAAAATAAAACTGGTTTTTATTAATTAATCTTTCTAATTTAAATTTATTTAGTCTTTGCTTAACCTTATATTTGGGTTTAGAACCATCTCACTTAGGACTCAAGTGATGCCAACCTTTTCCCATGGTTTATGCAAGCAAAGATGCAAACAAACCAGGGCGCTATAGTTCAGTGGCATCTCATCTACCCTCCGAACTTGGAAGGTGAGCGTTGGAGTCTTGTTAGATACGAATGAGTAAATATGCAAATCTAATATCCAACTCATGAGCTTGGGCAAATGTATGCATATCTGGACACTAAATCTAGTACCATGAAATCAAACTCGGGGTCAGGAATCAATCAGAACAAAAGTGCAAGTTCAAGTGACACACACAGACAAGAATGTTTTCCAACTGCTAAATAACAATAATCCAGATATTACATATATATACATCAGTTTTTGCTTTTTCCTTCAAGAAAGGAGAAAAGTATGCGTATACAGAAAATTAGTCGGAGGAGAAGACCAATTCCTACAATATTTCGACCACGAAGATACTTGGAATACTTGACAGAAAATATGCCTCCACAGGTTCCAAAAATGCCAATCAATATGCCAAAACTAGTCATTTTCATCCTTATTACCTCCAGTGCCACCTCCGGTGCTCTGCTAGGTTGAGAAGTTCGGTGTGATGTTAGCATTTGGAGTAGATAGTCAAGTAAGATTAGTTCTACACACGTGTTGTCAGGCTGTACGTACACGATTATGCTGTACTATATGCGTTCTCAGACTACAGTCTTTAACCTGCCAAAGAAGTTCCAATTTTTTTAATTTTTTGAATAAGGGAATCTACCATAAGTGGACTAAGCATAAAATAGTTTGGAAGAACAAAATAGATGTCACAGTTACCTGCATGGCTGCTAACACGGACAAGAAATTTTTGCATTGTTCAAGCAAAGCACGCTCTTTCGCAGTCACTTTGGCAAGTTCAGCCACCAAAGAATTTACTTCCTCCACCTGAAAATGATTATTTGTGTCATTTATATCACTCAATTAGCCAATCAGGACAAGTGTGTTGTGATAAAATTTAAATGTCTTCTCTATCCTGTGACTTGAGATAGAACCGAAGATTTCAAAATGCATTGTCAATCTGTGTAGAAAATCGAATACATTTCCTACTTTCTACCAAACTGCAATTACAGTGTTCTATGGCATGAGAGAACACATTACAAGGAGACTATGCTACTACATGGACACTCTTGTACTCGTACAATATGACACAACATGGGTAAAGGTATGGAATGCATCCCAGACATTTACTATCAGACAATTCTTTAACAAGACCGTCCAACAAAGGAAAAATGGAGACATATACCTACATCAGAAGTTTCGTAGGCACTCCCACATTTGTTTTTATTTATTTTTAATCACATGGATACATCCAAATAATTACAGATTCTCATGTATAAAAAAATAATTTATAATTTTATGTGTAAAAAATCATTTTACCGCAAGTAACATGCAGATGTTTCCCCCTCTCCTGTGATTTAGGGGAGACGAATCTAAGACCTGGATACGCACTCATAATTAACATGCATGCGAGAGTCAGTCTAACGAAGAACTGGGAAACCAGCAAATACAGCATATGGTGCAATCATTCAAGAAACTTCTATGTTCAAGCTCCATATCCCTTATGAATAACCCCAAATAATGCCACTTGAACCATAACCTACATGCACTAACATATTTAACACTCTTAACATCCCCATTCTTCACCTGTCATTGGAAACCTCACCCTCACTCTATAAAAGCAGCTGGCAAGCAATCATGGGTTAATCAGAAACTTTATAAATTGACAATAGATGAATTTAAAATCCAAGAGCTAGATGATAATTCTTACAAGGTCAATAAAGAGTAATAATGCTTTCTAAATTTGTTTGAAAAATACTATGTCGTAAAGGACATCTCCTCTATCACTCATTTAGGTTTTACTCTTCTATAAGCTGTTTCCAGTTGCAACTGGCAAGTGGATAGTAGTTTGTGAGCGTATATACTTAAATTGTGTTTATAAACTATAGTATCAATCTAACTCAGTGTAAAAGCAGCCAAGTTGTCAAAAATCTCAGGCAAGGAGAAATATTCACCAATTTATTTGTTAGAAACTTGAGACGGTTTTTAGGGAAAAGGTAAGCTCCTGACGCTGTAAAGGCACATATTCCAAATCAGAAATCAGAATGACTTGAAATTTTTTGACAAATATGCTGAACTAAAAATTCTACCATTTGGAGTATAATGAATGTTAAGAAATTGGTGAAGGTGTCTTGCTTGATGCTGGAGATAATCCTACTGGTCGCAGAAATGGTGTCAGAGAAGGACCATGTCTGTGGTAGTCATGTGGAAGGGTAGTATGATAGCTGCTATGGCAGCCCTGTGAGGAAGAGGACGTGATGGTGGTAGCATGGTGGCAGGAGCGACAGAAATGGTAGCTTTGGGGCGACAGCTGTATTGTCATGGTTTGATGTCAAAGGCAGTGTTGTAATGGAGTGGCTAAACAATACAGTAATTGCTCACTGTATCGACTTATGGAAAAACACCTTGAAGATGACTTTTAGACCACATACTTCCCGTAACGCCTCGGTACGTTCATATCCGATACTGTCAGTATTTTCCATCCAAAGATTAAACGAAATTTTGGAGCCAGATCTCATTCCATGTCCCCAAAATCCCTGCTTTCATAATGTACCCAAGGGTGGTTGATGTACATCTTGCGTCCCCATTATATTGTAATATGACTGCACCGATTCGGCGTTTCCATAAAGAGAAGAGTTTTGTTGACCCAATGGTTCTCTTTATAGCTTTAGTGTGCTCCTTTGGATGGACTGAGCTTGCCAGTATTTGGTGTTCACCACAGGCTATGCGCATAAAAAAAATCATCCCATCAAATATCATGAAATGCAGTTGGTAACTGAACTGTACTGGGGAGGGCCTTAAATAAAGAGGAATAAAATCCATAGACTGAATTTCTCAGTTTCCCTACAGGCTTGAGTTAGTTCGAATACCAAATGCCACAAGATGAAGTGGTAATCAATCAGATCCTGTGTAACTTGTCAAATGATGAAACAACACCTATCCCACTGGCTTATAGCATCAAGGGCACACCATGCATGTGTCATGTGCAAGCTCAAACATTTACACATTAGACATCTCCAGTAAAAAAGACTTCCTAGCATTTGGTGCATGTTGCAGGTTTTGCCTAGAAGAAAGTCAGATTGCAAGATGACGCTTACAGTTGATCACTTTAACATACAAAGTGGACTTCTCTAGAAAGGAACAAAACCCATAAATTGGATTTTCTTCATTTTACTAAAGCCTTTACAAGTTAGCAATAACATTACATGACACAGGATGGAGAGAGAATCTACTGAGCTCCATGAAAAAGAATCGCTAACAATCCTAATCACTCTGGTTTATTGGCCTTGAGGTATTATGCATGTGATGTATGGGACATAGGATGCAAGTAAGCACCTGAAATCTCGTGTAGAGACCTTCAAGTCTGTGCCTCAAATTGGAGACAACGTAACAAATAGTCAAACAAGTATGCAATGAACATGTCTGCTAATTGAGATTTTATTGTAGGGTAAAGACTAAAGTGCAAAAATAAATAAATAACTAAAATTAAATTAAAAAACCTATTATATACGGAATGTGCAAATACCCCCCGGTGTTCAAAACAAAACCCTATGTTTTCCAAATTGAGCAAATAAGGACATTTTTGTTGATTTGAAGACTGAAATGCCTAAAATGCCCTTAAGACAAAATAAATATCAAAACACTGATTTCATAAAACACTGATTATTAAGGTTATTTTGGTGTATTAATAAAAAAAATATTGATCAAAATTAACGGTCAAGGGGCAATTTGCACATATTTTCAAATGTTAGGGATTTATATGCACATACTAAATAGGAGGGGAGCATTTTTTATATAGCAGGGCATTTTTTTTTTTTTTTTTTAAGCACTTTACCAATTATTGTATAATTATACATACACAAGAAAATATATACAAGTAAATTTTTTTAAAAAGGATATTTAGCCATGCCTATGTCATTTAATACATCAACAACCACCAAAGCCTTTTCCCAACTATTTGAGGTCGGCTAAATGCCTATGCCTTTTAATATGGAGATTACTAAATCCAATGCTTAATGATTCTACACCCAACATACGTACCTGAATCCATGTAACAAATAAATCCTTCCATCTTACCAACACAATCAACAATGATAATTATGGGTACATCACAAAAAGGGGAAAGTAAAGTCATATAGATAGCTTTATAAAGCTAATCGCCGAGAAGGGCTACCATCATACCACATGTTTTACAATTCTAATTATAAGGAAAATATGATCATTCCATGACTGACCACCAAAATTAAATAATCTAACAGATCTAGAAATTCATCATGTGTTATTAATTACCCTAGTAAATTTATTTTGATAAACAAATCCGATTCAAACCACTAACTTCACCCTACCTTTTCAGATACCATGACAGCATTATTATCATTTGTTTTAAAGTGGAATTGACCAAATTTGTTAAATTTAACCGTCCAAGAAAAAAATAAAGGACGTAGTTCTGTTCTCCAACAAAAAGACTCTATGCTCACCTATTATTTGAGGACGCAGACACAGGCCTCAAGTGTTGATATGGACACAGAGTTTGCGAAACGAAAGCCCCTCAAAATTAAGAACACGCAATGAAATTATAAAGTCACTTGTATATATATATATATATTTTTTTTTACAAATTCGTTCAAATCACAATTGTTAACTACATATTATTGTAAGACTCATGCTACATAGCTGTGCATGCTAATTAGCAACATGGGTGTGCACTGTATATTATAGTATGTATTTATGTATATATGTATCATACACATATATATTTCATAATGGCCAGTTGTTAGATAACAACACTCTTAAAAGTGATCATCATAATGAATTGGAGGACAGTATGTTCATCTGCTCCTTGCAAATTTCCTATGTCAGAACATGCCATTCTGACCCATATGGTATTATAAAGCCTAATAGTGTTCACATTGGAATATGGCTACAATATTGCTGGGTTGTAACTTTTAGAATCATTTTGGTGATATTATATCTATGTTTTCTCTATGCAGTCCTGGACCAAAGATGTTATCAACCCTGAAATAAAGGTTTTTTCTTTTTCTTTTCTTTTTTTTTCTTTCGGCAATTTGTAAAGGACAACTTTACCAAAATAGAAACAAAGGTTACAAAAACCTCATTGATGATGTTGACTATTTCATGGATGTCTCTTGGTCCAGAAATCAGAAGCAAGATATTTGAACTTAAGGGCACAGCATGTTGTTACACTGAGAGAATTTTATATTCTCAGGTGCATCATTAGATGAAATGTTGATGGACATGCCTATGCTTCTCTATGAGTGAATGTTGTAATGGGAATGCATTTTGGTGCGTGGAAAGAAAATGAAATCTTTCCCTTTTGTTAGAGTGAGTTGGTTGCAGGTTCTAATTCATGGAAGCTTCTTTCTATTATACATTCCCACTTGACAGCTTCCAACTGAATCCACAATTCACATGTTAATTCAATGTCAAACATATCATCTTTTGAAACAACTTCACAAGAACTGCAATGGGTTTCCTAAAATATCCACTATAAAAGGATACATTATAAATTCTATCTGGCATATGTGATTCATTCATATATAAGTATTCAAGCAGCATTTATGATGCTTTCTCAGTTATCCGTGTTGCAATTGCTTCTACACATTTTCAAATCCACATTGTGCTTCCTTCTTTGAAAGTGGACAAAAAAAAATGGATTTCAGTTTCAAACATTAAAAATTTGAAATGTTTCACGACGGGGAAAAACTCAAAATTTGGAGATCTGACAAACTGCAAAACAATGATGTCGGCAATAAAATACAGCCCTGATACTCCTAGGACAAACTAACTTACCACGTAAGGTAAATGACATCACCATTCTTAAAATTCTTGTTGCATGTATATCTCAAGCACTTCATCAAACAAGTGATCATCATACTAAGTACCAGACAAATTATTTGAGTTATTGCCTCGTCATAACAACATTGCATTTTATATTGTTCACAACAATAATTATATTCAATGAGAAACGTGACAGTTCAAAATGAACAAATGGGATTACCTTCGACAAGAATAAGCATATCGAGGATGCCATTGCCTGCATCACATCAACTGATGAACTGATAGCATCCTTCATGCTTCCGATGTCAGCCTGTTATGTAATTTAACAAAATCCATCATGACTATATGTTGAGCACTTGAGACAGCAGTAATAATTATTTTTATACAGTGGAAATAACACATGGCACTTACAATTGCTCCTCCAACAATGGGAAGACGAAGAGTGGTAGCCTTCAGAGCCTCAATTGCTCCGAGCAAAGAAATTGAGAGGTCTTTATCTAAAGAAGCCCAATCTTCCAAACACATTATCTGAATTCAACAAGTAGGACAGACTTACTATACAGTTAAGAAAATATCATAATACAATAACAACAACAACAACAACAAATAAAAGCTATTTATTTCCAGTTCAAACAAACCCAAATTTTTCCAAGCCTCAAATTAAGTGTGGAAGTAGTGAAGGCTTTGTTGAGTTGAGTTGAGATGATTGAGTTCAATAGCCAATTAAAACCCAATTTGGAATTTCTAAGGCATTGACTTAGTTCAACAACGTACTGAAGACCAAAAAACAATCGCTATTTATTTTCAATTCAAACAAAACCAAAATTTTCCAAGCCTCAATTAAGTGTGCAGAAGCAGTTCAATCAGAGTCCTCAAAGGTTCAACTACTTCCCAATTAACTAGTACAAGAAGTTCACAAACCATATAGGAGAGCTTGAATGACAGTGATACGTGGGCCAAGACAACATATCGAGAATCAAGTGTTCCCTCAGGCTATTGCATAGGAACAACAGAAAATCCTCAATTTAATAACCAAGCCACAAAAGGTTTGAAAATAAAGCAACACCAGAAAGGCTTAAACAAATTTTTTTTCATGAACAGTAAAATTCTTAAGTGTCTGTTCTAATATAATATTTGTGGACCTCCAGTGAGAAGACAGTTAAAGAAATACAGTTTTTTTCGTATGGATTCTTTGAAACGAGCAAACAAAATATTCCTTACTTTAATTTATACTTTATGTAAGTCAAGTTACTCAAAGCTTATTTTAATCTGTATCTAGTGAAGGAACTTTTGCATCAATAAAATCTATAGGCGTACTAATATATTTTTATAAATATAGCTTTGTTCAAGATTTTGTATCCCTATTTACAAACCAAACCAGTGAAATGCAACTGAAACATTTCTTCTGTAAATGAGGCAGATGTGGCATAAACTTGTTCATATGCCTTGTGATTTCCAAAAATGAAGTAAGTTGGTACTGAACTACTGATTTTAAATGTTTTATATTAAAAAAGGTCCAAAAATGGAAAGCGAACTTATAAGTTATTGTGAAGGAGGGCAGATATACTCTCAAGACAAAACAGAGATATTGCACCCAAGAATTCTATCAGGATTTAGTACGCTAATAAGATTGAAGCTATGAATAAATCTTACTTGTCCCTTCAGAATGGAGGCTAGCTTCAATTTTTGCCTCAGCAATTGTAACCTGTGTCTTTTTTTGGTGACCGAATCACGTAGATCTGAGATCGTTATCCATGCATTCCACAGATTTCTCTGGTACAAAGGAAAATATTTAGCTCATAAAAACACTAAAGACTACATACTGCTACTCTTATTCTGATCAGTTTAAAAAAGGAATTTATCTGACTGCATAGTAGGCAAACAGATGTAGCATTTGGCTAAGTTTTCATGTGCAGCATGAACAAGTTGCAGAGTTGAGAACGACAGCCTCACATTGTTAAAACAAACATACAAAATTGGACACATATTATTCAGGTTTCTACAAAATAGTAGTTAAAATTGGAATTACATAGTAAGTTTAAAAGAGTCGATTATGGGCTCAAGCTTGGGTTGGTTGAAGATAAATTAAGCCTGATCAGACTCAGCCGTGCCTGTTAAAGTTCATTTGTTTAGGGCCTTAGATTCGACCAATAGAAAATGCTCACTAGCCTATCCACTAGAAGAACCCTAAGCTATACGGACCAGATTTAAAGAAGGAAAAAAAGAAAAAAAAAATCAAAGAACTTCTCACTTTGAAGTTTTAAGTTTTAAGTAATAAACTAGAAAACCAAGTTTGATCATTCCCTCTCCCACAACACCTTTTATAGCACAACAGCAATTATAGAGTAGACTCACCTAGTGATACGCAAATATTATCAACAGCCTATTCAGATCTTCACCATTCCTCATCAGTGTGGAAAACTAACCACGGTTGTGTTTTAGGAGCAAGGTTAACACAAATCACTGCACCAAAATCTACTCTTCAACAGCTTTAGAATGTTGAGTTAATTGTCCATCTAGATATCATGAGGTACTGTGAAAAGCACACAGTTGTATAACCATATTATAAGCAGTTGTGTCAAGCCAACGCATGCTTTGGGTTAGTACATGAAACATGGAAGAACCAAAGCAAATGTAGACAAACTTTTGATGATTAACTATAATGCCTCACCTAAATTATATGAAGTCGGCTACAACCATCCTTCATTCCCATTTTGCTCTATTTGGGAAGTATCTTTATTTAAATCATAGGTCTTGATGCACCACAACCATTATAATATGGTGGTAAATGTAATGGCATGGGATTTAAAAGGGACGCGGTTTTAAGGTTTTGAATGTTATCACCTATCATACTCATACAACGTCAATTATTTTGTTGCACATTCAAATTTTTGACAAATTTACTCGATGTTTTCTTTGCACATAAGCAATCTAAGACAACTTACCAAACTTTGCCAATTTACGGATCTAAAGCTGGCAAACCTTTAGAAATCTTAACCAAAGTAATAGTATTGGGAAACCAAATAATGAGACAAAATAGGAGATACAAGTGTGTGCGTGTGTTGGGGGGTAAGTCCAGAAGTGGAAAATGTGAAGCAGGGAACAGTTTAGAATCAAAGAAGAAATAATAGAGAAACTTATAAAGAAAGTTCAATGCAAAAAAATAAATAAATAAATAAACACTGGAAAATCTATATGAGAAACCAAAGCAAAACTTACAGAGAATAATTAAATGTTCCGTTATAACGAAAAATGAGAAGGCCTGAGAAATTTACAAATACCTATAAACAATTTTCTATAAAACTAAATGAAAAAGAATTTGAAAAAATAGGGATAGCTTGTCTAGTTAATACATTAGAATGGAAAATTTCAAGAACCTTGCAACTTAAGAGATCAGAAAGAACTCTAGTAATTATATAAAACTAATAAGAAATGTTTATGCTTATTATTTAGCAATATATGTATTCACAAAAGGCCGAAGGGGAAACTGTTCCTTCAGTCTTTCCAAAAATTCTACCAAAACTTTTATCCCATTCTGGGAACAAATTCCAAGGATTATGAATTTCTTGCCCAAATTATGTTTTCTTGCAATTACAATCTTAACAATCTTCATAAACAGTGTGGTACTCATACAAAGGCACCATTATCAAACAAGAGGTGTCAACATTAATGACAAGAGGAATGTATCCAGCCAGAAAGATAAACATCCATATCTACTTCAATGTAATACACAAAGCATCTCCTATTACTTCTTATCAAATCTTACTTGAGATTGATGCATGCAGCATAAACTGCTTTGAAACACTAAGTAATACATCTAGATACCTTGATTAACGAATAGGAATATTTCCTAGTTAAAGGAAATATTGCCCAATTGAATATCAAAAATTCTCTTTACTCTCCAACCCTTGCAGTTGAATCAACTAAATCTCTTTGCAATGCTGAATAAGAGGTTCATTATTAAGGCCAAAAAAGTGGAGGTAGCATAGTTATATTCCATCCAAACTAAATGCATTTGAAGTGTATGATCTAGATAACTTCATTCACTGTTGACATAAACAAGAATCCTTTATTTGTACTCCATAATCTATGAACTCCTACTAAATGTTGCTTACTTGCTTATAACATCAAATGTGCTCAGTAGAAGTAAGACAATCAAGTCCTGCATACTCAACAATTACAGAGATAAAGGTACAAAGGAATCGTCCCTAAAAGAAATAGTTTCAACTTACGACCAGTTTCCTTTATGTCGTTCATTAACTGTTTATCCTTGTCTGACTACGCTAAGGTAGCCATCTAGAATCAAAACTCTAACTCCAGATATTAGCTATCTTCCATCACCTGAAGAACTTCACCTTCCTCAATCATCCTCCTGGAACACTATAATATCATTTACTGTCTTGGAACACTGTAAGATCGTTCCTTCTCTAATCCAACTCACTCTCAGATTCACACTACCCCTAGTTTTTGAAACTAATCATGATCCACTTATTTAATTTCTCTTTGCAGGGGGGCTAAATTCTGTCAAAATCTTCCCCAGCCTAAATTTTGTAAATCCCAAACATAGTTTATTTAGTCAGAAATTGTTTTTAACTTCATCTTGCCTGTTTCTTTATTTAGTCAGAAATTGTTTTTAACTTCATCTTGCCTGTTTCTTTACCTTTCCAAGATCTGAAACCAAGATCTTCAAGCTAGGTTTAGAATCTCAAAGGGTTCTAAAAAGATATTTAGGTTTGAAGGATGACCATGTGATATAATAAAACTATCAATGGGATTAGGTCACTAATATTAATACTTCTTTCAATGTAGCAGCATGCCAGGCTTTAAAATTTTAAACTAAGTGATATAAAACCTTTCATTTTAAAGATGTTGAACACGATAGGTTGCTTCAACTTGTTAATTCAAGTGTTTTATTACAAAAGAGTAACCATTTCATTATTATTATTTTTTTCCCAGGGTAATTAAGCAAACTTTTCATTCATTCCCTTCATACCACCATTTGTTAAAAATATGGGGGAGCTTTTGAGATTAAATAATAGGATAATCTACTCACATATGTGCCTCGAATGATACAAGTGTAATGAGTGCACAAATAATGTGGAATGATTAGTTTTTTAAAAATAAAACCTAGTTACTCCTGCATAATCCCTTATGGTTCCACCATGATCATTAATTAATTGAGGGCATATGATAGATCAGCTCATTTAGTATGCTATCCCCAATGTGTCCACACAATGATACAACCAACTAGAAGTAAATAAAGCCACATTGAGACAGCCATACTAGATCAAGAATGAGGAAACAAATTCAAAATATGCAAAACAACAGAAAATAAGTTGAAAATACCTTACCTCTGCACTATGTTTCTGCACCAACAACGCGGCTTCTGTCCTAGCATTTACAAACCGCCATTGCAAGTGCCGATTATACAGAAGCCTCAACAGGTGTGCATCAACCATGCGATTCTCCCCCACCTTTCCCCTCCGAACATCAACAGCAAAACTAAGAACCGAAGGCATCTCACCAAAATTACTACTAATGGTGCCTGCAATTCCATTTCTGACCCGAGATGGACTAGCAATTCCCCTTGATGGAGATGATATCATTGATGTCATGAGCTTACTGGGCGACGCAGGTCTAATGCCTCCCCTAACAGGAGAAGACATCGTTCGGGGAGAAGACATTGTTCTTGGAGATGACAATGAATTATCATTTGGGAACTTTTTTGATTGAACAAGCCTTGGTGGGATTACCATTTTTGACCCAGGGCTTGTGGACACTGGTGAACCCGGATCCTGCAGCCGCCTCAACCTGCTGTTTGTCTCCTGCCAAAACCTCGCAGAAACAACAATTCCGCGATTCCCACTTCGTCCTTGGCCAACTCCACCACTATCCTGCATTCCTGAAGTACTACCTGAAGAAACGCTATCTGAATCAGATGCAGTGAGATCAGAAGGCACAGATGACTCATTTACCGAATTCCCATCTGGGGCTTGTCGAATTGCTTTCAACATCTCAGCATTGCCCAAATCAAGACTCAATCTTCCATCAAACGATGCCCTTCTACTCTCAACAATCATCGATTGCTGGAATGCCTTAAGGACATTCCCAGATCCAATGGGCATCTTCTTCTCAACAGCACTACAATCTAAACTCCTTGACAATGGATTCGGTCGCCGGGTTCTCCCCGGCCACCGATGCTGATCGACTGGCTTTGAATTCTCCACCTGATCCCCAGCACCATCAACCTTCCCTCTCGATGGGGTACTAGTCCTCCTCCTCTCCGGCGTACCCTTCCTCACATTGCTCAAATTCGGCGACGGTGGAGCCACCTTAGTTTTGCTAATCGGAAGCGAAAACGCTTCACCCTGAAATGAAACTGACAAACTCCGGGTAGAAGTGACTAGCAGCTTTGTAGCAGCTGAAACTTCACCGGCATTACTCGATTTGGAATCGAGAACAGGCGTGAGGGTTCGAGAAGCCACAGGCCGCCTCCTGTCCACTGACACCGACCGTTTGGGCAGAGAAGCCGGCGTGTTCGAGGCTACTGTGGAATTTCTTGAAACGAGAGGAGATGGGCATCTTCTAGATGAAGAAGACGATGAAGATATTGATGTGGAAGGTGAAGGAGACATGTATCTTGAAGGGACCTGTCTCGATTTGGGTCTTTTGGGACCAACCCCGTTGTCTCTCTCGGAAGGCAACAATGGGGGTCTTCTTGGGTTCTCCTGGGTCGCATCTTGCGAGGTGGTTTTGGGGTTTTGTGGGTCAGTCGTCGAAGCTGCTTCAGCAATAGCAGCCACCATCATCACACACACACATACACGAACTAGAGATTGAGGACTCACCTCACATTGTCGTCTCCCACAAAACAGACTCACCCACAAACCCCACTAGTCTCTGTCTCTCTCCATAGCCAGAACCTGCAAAAAAAATCAAGAAATCCCAGTATAACTCGAAACCCCATAATGGATCTGTAGAGGATTCCACATTTTAAAGATACACGCCACACAAAACACTACTGTTTAGAGAGAGAAACTAAGTCCCAAGAGAGAGAAAGCTTGGCAGAAGTGATGTTCTATTTCTCTCCGGCGAAGAGAGAGAGAGTCGTTGGGGGATGGGAATTGGGGGCGTATAATGTTTCGTACACAGTCCTTAGGTGGGCATTTGTGGGTCTATGACTCTATGGGGTTTTGTGAATCTTAGGAGAGACGTTACGCTAAACAAAACCAGTTTTTTTAGTTCAAATTGAGATTCAAGGGTGACACTAATGCCAAACATTGGCTATAACTACCATGAAATGATATTTTTAATAATGTTTACAAGGAAATTTATGAGTTTTGACAATTTGTGTTGTTTAAATTTACATTTTTATAAGTTGGGGAGTTGTATTCCTCTACAGTATACATGACATGAATGCCTTGTTTTGTCTTCTAATGGATTTGTTTTTAATATACATTTTTATTTTATACTAATAAGTACAAGAAATTTATTGATGTATAATTTTTACATGACTTTTAGTGGGCTTTTAGTTATGGATTTGATTGATGAGATCTACCGAAAAAAAAAAAAAAAAAGATTAAGGATTTGATGGATGAGTCTTAATGGTTAATTATACAATTTATGAAAAAGAAAAAAATAGCTAATTCTACCTTAATTAACATGTATTTTTATTTAAGTCATAACTATAGCTCATTTTCTTTTCTTTTTTTTCCTAATAAATGTAGGGCTTTTTCAGGATAAATAAGGCAACCTTGAGGAACCATCAAAAGATCAACATTACCAATAGCAATTAGGATAGAGGAATTTTGATGAGACGCAAGCATAATTGTTTTAAAATCATATTAGACATGTGCCGTTCTTTTTGTAAATTTAGCTGTCATTTTGAGAGATACTATTAGACTACAACGTATCATAGCAGAGGATAGACTATGTTATTAGTTTCATTTTTCTTTTTTTCGTAGTAAGTCAATTATGCAAAAATTAGATTTGTCTATAATGATGGTATAGCATGAAATTGGTTGTCACAGGTTATACAAGTCCATATATTTTTAAAAAAAAAAAAAAATGGCAAATATATGGTATGCTATGATGTCTTAATATAAATTTTGAAATGGAGCATCAGGGGTTTTCTTGAAAGGGGGCACAGAAGGGTGAAGCCGTAAGGTTCTTTTCTTGGCAAGGTAAAGCCACTGGCCCACAGTAGACCATAACTAATAACAGTGCAAAAATATAAATTGGCATGAGAACAACTCTGATATATCTATTTTATTTAATAAGTTGCCTTCTATTTTGTTGAAAACATTGATGAATTGGTAAAAGATGCAAGCTTCAGATAACACTCAAAAGATTCTTAAACTCCCAACTCTCAATATCGATCATATAAATACAGAAAGTTACAGATGAGAGAAGAAGAAGAAATAGAGATAAAAAGAGAATATATGAAGTCCGTGTGTGTATTAATATATAGCTCAAAACTACAATCTCATTAATTTAGCTACTGTATTGATTTGAAACAGAGATTACCTGAGGAAGACATGAGGGAGCGAACACACTAAATTAAGAAGAGCTCCAAGTAAAGCAAAACAGTAGATGATGGTATATAAGAGCTAGCTCCCAATAAATCAAAACAGTATATAGATGATGATAGTATCAAAGTAAATGAAACAGGTTTATACCATTGAAAAACAGAAAAAGACAGCAATGACTTGAAAATTTAGCAAGCTATATATATATGTATGTATGTATGTATAGATGATATGATATGGTGTTATTAGTTTGTGTTTAGCTTTCTATAGGATGGACCGTCCCTCTCTATCTCCATCTCCCTTGCTTTCAACGCATTTTTGGCTTCTTGACCATCTTCCTTTGTCTTCGTGCATCTCCCCCTGTCCAGTTGGTTATTTGGCTCACCATTTATTATTGACTCTCTCTCTACTCTGTGATTCAGATATTTTCAACAAGAACCAACATTCACTGAGTCCAAGGGTGCAGTATATTGCACTTTTTAAGTTAGAAGTAAAGTTGTTTCATTGTTACACGTGAATGTAACTAGAGATGGCAATGGAACTGGGGCGGGGGCGGGGATTTCATTCCCCATCTCGTCCTGATAATTTTTTTCATCCCCATCTCCACCCCCAGCCCTCTTTAAAATTTTACTTCAATCCCTATACCTGCCCCACGCCCTCATTCCCCATCCCTGTCCTGCAATCCCCATTCCCGATTAATATACACTGTAATGCTAGGGACAGGCGCTAGCCACAACTGATAGTCCCTCGGGTGTCAAAAAAACTCCAAGGACATGCATAATTGATTGAAAACCAATCACCCGAGCGGGTTCTTTGACAGCCAGGGCGATTTTTGTTGAACAATCATGTCTAGCGACTATCCCTACATTACTCGTATTAGTTTATACATGTATACGCGCGCGTGTGTCAAACCAAATTCGACAAGCACATTGACATGGGAACATGGCTATATGTCTGCAAAATTAATGTGTATTGAAATATTTGGTTGAGCTTGTTACGAGTATACTGAAGGGCAAGGACAATGAAGTGTAAGATGACAATGAAATAATGAAAGTAATACGCAGACGCATTGAAATACAGAACAAGAAAGTGCAACTCATTCATTTATTTTTGGTGATTCACTCATTTATTATTTTGCACACTGATCACCAAGTAAATTTATCATGGTGGGGCATTTTCTTAGTGACCCATACCCGTTGTTCATCACAGTGGACACCATTTTTGGTCTCCCATGCTCTCAATTAGTTGGTGAAAGTTTCCAATTTCTACAAGTAGGAGATATACACACACACACACACACATACATATATAAATCATATACTTTTATATATCTATATTGTGTATGTGAAAAAGTAGAGTACCAATATTATGTCTTAATTGTAAACTTTGACGAGAAATTATCGATTTGAGCTTAGAAACACTAAAATATTGAACAATTGGAGTCACACGGCCACCCTAATAAGAGAAATTATTAGGTTGTCCAGATCATGTGATTTCGGCTTAATTTGAATATGTAATGCAATTAAATGTGTCAACTTTATTCAATTTTTTAGTTGTCCTACATGGTCATCTCCTGTTTGACGAGAAATTATCACTTAATGGACCAATTAAATATAGACTCACAGATTACAAAATACCATGATTGGAGGTTTTTCATTGAATTAGTCCACCAAATATCAAATAAATCACGATCATTTAATAATTTTTTCCTATTTGACGGAGGTCCGAGACTTTATGATTTTGGAATACCAAATAATTCCTTATGGTCCCGAACTAAATATAAATAATTTCTCACCCCCAATAGACAAAAACAAAGATATATCGAGTATATTAGAAAAGATCCCTAATCACTTTTCTAATAGAGTATAACATTATTTAGATGACTGTAACCATATGATATATATATTTATTTATTACAACATATTATAAGCTTAATATGCACTCCATAGTATAACCGACAGACAAAACAAGTACTTATTATATATTCAGAGAAAAAGAAAAGAATAAAAAGTATTCGAGTCCTCCAATTAGATTAAGGAATGATTTTATTAACAAATGATATATGAAACCATGTGACTTAAGATGCACTCAATAATATATATTATTGGTTCAAAAAGTAACAAACCCCACTAAGTGATAAGTATATGTTTTGTGATGTAAGTATTAGTTAGCCCACTTTTAAAGTGATCACAAACTTAGCATAATGATTTGTGTATTGCTTTTCCTATTATAACTCTCTTCAATGAATGAGGAAAATGTGACTACTCGTAAGTGCTGTGTTTGGATTGTGAATAGACTCAAACATGCATTCCATCATTTTGTTGGCACTCCAAGCTTTTACCAAAAATGATACATAAGTATTTGGACAGTACACCCAAAAAAAATAATAATAATAATTTAAATTAATCGATTTAGTATTATTAGTCCTCTTTTTATTGGTGTTTCAGTGCGTAAAGTTCTAGTTAAAACATGGTCCCAATTTTTAAAAAAAAAAAAAAAAAACTCTATATAAAAATTAAAAAAAATTAGTTTAGTACATACATATAAATCCCTAATATTTAAAAATATGTGCAAATTTTTCCTTAATTGTCAATTTTGACCAAATTTTTTATAAAAATCCCAAAATACCCTTAAGAATTTTTGTTTTATCCTCATTTTGTCTATAAGGCATTTTAGGTATTTCAGTCTTCAAACTGACATAAATGTTTATATTTGCTCAATCTGAAAAACGTAGATTTTTTGTATTTTAACAATAGAGAGTATTTGCACATTCTAGAATGATTTATTTTATTTTATTTTATTTTATTTTTGGGAATTTTACCCATAAAAAATAAATAAATAAAATAAAATAAAATATTTTACTAATGTATCTGGTAGAGTAAGGATCATTTGCTGTTGTACAGATTTTCAACACAACTAAAAATAAGTGTTGAAACTAGATTTAATGGGTTGAAAATCTCTACTGTGCGAGTACAAAAAAACTCCGTTGCAAGAAATGATCCAAACTGTGTCCCATAATAGCTATTTCCTATCTGATACTACTCTAACCTTTATGTAATGAAGATGTTGGAGACAAATGACATCCAAACGATGATACCCTGATACAAGAAAAGCTTAGAGGAAAAGAAATAAGTACTCAACATTGTCAAATAGGTTGGTGGAATGTGTTTTTTTGGGCAAAATGTTGGTGGAATATGTTAATCCATTTGTTAACATATTCCACTAATAAGTTGAATCAATATAAAGTTCTTATTAATTTAATGTTTGACAAGAAGGATGTAAGCCTTTATGTTGAAACGTCAAACATCAACAACTGACCATAAATTCGCTTCGGTCTAACTGTTTTGTCTGAATGTCGAAAAAAGACTATTTGAGTTGAGTATACGAATTTGTGTGTATGTATAGAGAGTTGAGTATATGAATTTGTGTGTATGTAGAATCTATAGATACATTTATACTTTTTATGTGTGTATATATTTATTTAAGGCTAATAATTGAGTAACGAAGAAATTAACAATGTCTGAATAATTACATTGAATAACTAGACATGTTTTTTTAATTAGTCAATTATGTAACGAATGAGGAAGCCAGATCCTCCCTCCACTTAATTGTATTCGATATAAATAATTAATTAAAAATTATTAAATTAAATAACTCACTGGTCCGTGTGTATATATTTAGATGGTACAAAGATCCATGGATGCAATAGTAAGAGAAAAAAGAGATTAGGGCATCAATCGGGAGTTAGGACAAGTACATGAAAACAAACTTAATCACGGTTGATTAAGACATGATTATTTATTTACACCTACAACAAATAAAAATGATTTGATTTTGTTCTTTAACCAACGTTGACAAGAGAAAGGTAAACACTTGCAATGATTTTCAAAGCCATACCTCTCTGGCAGAATTTTAAACCATGAAGCATTGCTAGGATCACGACAAGGTCATCATGAACAACAATGACGGTACAACTAAGAATTATTATTATTATTATTATTTTTATTTTTATTTTTTTTTTAAAAAAAGTTTAAACAAAAATACACCCAAAATATGGTTTTGCCCCGGAACTTATACCATTTAGACTAAAACCCATTGGTCAAAACAATATTAAACAAAAAAACTTATACCATTTAGACTAAAACCCATTGGTCAAAACAATATTAAACAAAACATTTCAATAATTCAAAATTCAGAATCTGTGGAAGACGAAGAGAAAGATAAACGACAAGAACAACAACCTCAATGGCTCATTTCAATAGTTCCAAAGTTCAGAATCTATCTTGAAGACAAAGAGAAAGATTAACAGAAACAAGAACAACCTCAATGGCTTGCAAAAGCCAAGAAGACCATATATTCTAATCCAGATCAAAAACAGAGTTGGAAAGAACAATATTAAACATATAAGATGAGCGTCAAGAAAACATTCCAGTAGTTCAAAGTTCAGAATCAAGACCGAAGAGTACCGTCCGTGGTCTCTCAGCCGTTGGATCATCCATCAGGTAGGTCCCACCACCACATCCAACGGTTGGAAACCTTAAGGGTACGATACCCCTGGAGTATTGTAGACTTTCACCTAATCCGGATCAAAAACAGAGTTGGATAGAATGATATTAAACATACAAGTTGAGCATCTCAGAAAACATTTCAATAGTTCAAAGTTCAGAATCAACCTTGAAGACAGAGAAAGCTAAACAGAAACAAGAGCCACCTCAATGGCTTGCAAAAGCCAAGAAGACCACACATTCTAATCCGGATCAAAAACAGACTTGGATAAAGCCCCCATTTAGCAAGGATATGGTTAAGAATTAAATAGAGGTTGGAGGCCATACATTCCAATCCGTACCAAAGATTATTACATTCTACTTGGAGATACCAACTTCCTTATGGATATTAAGTTCATTAAAAGTTGAAGCTTTTATTATTGAGAGAGATGCATGGACCAAGCAAGAATGACAAATTAAATGTGTGCACCCAACTTTTCAACGTTGGAGGATTTGCCTTGCTAATACCACCACCACACATACAATCCTAAGAAATACTGCTAGTTCTGATCTACTACTAGTATTTCCAAAATCCAATTCGCCAAAACAAATTATACATTCAAGGCAAGACGAGTTAAATAGAGAGAGGTGCACATTTAAACCGCCAAACTGCAGATTTTCCCAAGCAATTGTTTGGCTATGCTTACAAAACTAAGAAAACCTTGGTTCACGGTTTGGTTCACAGATTATAATAAATAAATAAAAATTAAAATACAAAACCGAATCCAAACTGATCCGCTACTATCATGGGGCAGAGGGAGTAGTTCTCATACTAATGGTATAAAAAATCCTATAACCCAACCCTAAAGACCTAATTCCACATCCATCAGCACATCATCCAATTCCGTGGTTGAATTGTTTTAGGCTTTGTTTCATAAAAAGTTAAACAGTTAAACCCAACTGTATAACTACTGTTCAAAACGGTTCGGTTTGGACAGTGTAAACATAAATAAAACTGTTGAAATCATATTGGTTACAAAATACTAATAAACTGGCTAGCACTGTTAAAGGGCTCCCCATAACAGATGTGACAGAAATTTGAAAACAAAATACAGTTTGTACGAGGAAGGGAAGATTGTCAATAAGCTTTTAAACTGATATTACAAATTAGCAACCAATGCCACAAACTAGGCTGCAGTTGTTGGACAATTGCCTTCAGTTTTCCTACCGGGGCAGCCACCACTAACAATGGTGTCTACACAACATGAGCTTCTGGAAGCATTGTGTTGATTACAAGAAGTGATAACAAGACCAATTAGAAAAGCAGGAGCATGTGATTTCAAAATAAGTGAGGATAGCAAATTTTAAGCCACCCAATAAGTTGTAGTTCAATGTAAAGCTAATATTGGTTGTCTACAAAGACAGAACAAGAAGAGTCATGAAGTTCCTTTAATTGTAGAAATTCAAAACCTCTTCTCTTGTGGAATGGCCAGCATAAATTCCCTAGCGATACTGCAAAAACAAGACAAGTTAAAGACAGTGAATGGCCATTCTGAATCATAAACAGAGATTCACATGATTAATACAGCAACCATGAACTCTAAAAATAAGACGATGGAAACAAAAACCAATAATACTTAAAGTGGAGCCATCAAGTTTTCAGCTAAAGTAAACCCAACAATCAAAGAACAAAACATAAGATGGGGAGTAAACTATAAAAGATACACAACAAAAACCAGAAGTAATCTTTCAGAAAAAGTTTATGTGCAAATTAGAGAATTACCTTAATGAAGCCAATCGCCTTGGCGTTACTGTGGAAGCACTGTCTGCAGCACATAAGGCCGTACTTTCGGATCAACCCATGAGGATTCCCACAGACACGGCTGCCAAAGGAACGAATACATCCAATAATCAGCAATAGTTAGTGATCTACTTTCATAAAACCACTTCCAATGTAAAAAATAATAAATAAATCTAAGGGCATTACCACAAGCACAAAATATAACCATATTTCTCTCAAATATTTACAGAATCTCATACAATCCAAAAAAAACCAAATATTTAATTCAAATGAAGTCTCTTTCAAGTAAACGGACTAGCACAATAATATTTAGGAGAAAAGGAAAAAAGCTCCAGAAAGAAATCAATGAAAATCATAAACTGCAATATGAAGTAATTAAATATAGTTTCAAAGATAAAGAAGCAATGGTGAAGTTGGATACCGTGATAACAAAACATTCTTTTGCATCTACTGAAGCACTTGAAATTTTTCTAAACACCTTCAAACAAAACCCATTCCATTCATGAATGTAATCCTCTTAAAATAATTTCAGAAAATGGGACCATTTGTTAGATCATCTAATACAAAAGTTGGCAATGAATCCACGGATCTATGAGAACTTCAGAATTATTTCCTAATTAATAAAGCCAAAAAAAATTCAAAAACAGAATAATTACATTCAGTGGAAATCTATAAATAATAAATAACAAAAAATCTTTAAATATCTGTTTGGCTGCTGAGAGAAATTATGGAAAAGAAATCAAATTGAATTTGGTTTTATCTAATAAAATCCATCCATTTAGGGGGAAAAAAAATAATAATTAAGTTGAATCCCATTGCTTCTATTATTTAGAACTGACTCCCAATAGTATATACCCGGTTCAACTAACATGCTACATAAGATCACATTCTCAATAACTAATAATTGAAGAGACACGTATTAGCATTCCTAAGCAGAAACAACTCAATACAACTAAAATAAAATAGAGTTAAAGAGAGCAATAATGAAAACATATATATTAAATAAAATAGAAAAGGAAAATAATAATAATAAACTTGTGGACAATTCAAATTCAAGATGACTTTTCTCTAACAGAAAAAAAAAAAAAAAAAAAACAAAACAAAACAAAAGTTCTCTCACCCACCACAACCATGGCATCTTTAACCTGATACTACATTGTGCATCAATGATCCCTTTAAAAAAATGCAAAATTTCCACCAATTTTCCAGTTTATGTTTCTAAATCTATCATGCTAACAATAACTTTGAGGTTAAAACAATTGAAAAGAACATTGATATATTGGAAGTAAAGCTTATCTTCATCAATGTTGAATTATTATTGATTGATAGTTACAAGTATCCAGAACAAAGCTTACATTTCTTGTTGCTCAAATTCTAATATCTCCCTATCGTTCAAATTCTAAAACACCTCCATCACAAGTTTCCGTCTTCAACACAGTCGAGTAGAATCAAATCGTTTAAAAAAAAAAATTATATTTTGTGTTCTACCAATAACTCACTCTCTTATAAATATAAGGAGAGAGAGACTATCAGAAGCTCAAAACATAAATTTCAACAGTGATTAGCATTTATGAATATTAATAGCCACTAAAGCCTTATTAGGTAGCTCAGTAAGTGTTCTTTGCACAAGCCTGACAAGGCAACCATTAGATTCTACAGTCAAGTTCTTCTATTTTCCTTCATATTCTCGGCAACCAAACACCAACATAATATGGAAAAGGTGAGAAATTATACCAGGTTCGAGATCCAGGACCGTAGTTCTTGGGATGTGAATTCCATACGTTCGAGTGCCCCATCTTTTGGTGCTCAACCCAATCGAAACGGCAAAGCTACAATGGCCGGAGAAATCGCAATGGCTTTAGAAAAATACAAATTAGGGTAAGTTTTGGTATTTATAGGAGTATGGTGTGCCAAAAACCCTACCTTTATTTCCCATGTAAAATTACCATGGCCTCCTTTGGAGTTCTACATACTTGCAAGAAGAGCAACGACATCTCCAAAATTTGGGTCTCCAAATTTGTCATGCCACCATTTTTTAATAGTTTCGTTAACATTTTTAAGAACTATGTCAATATTTTGTACTCTTTAAATTTTACCATGGCTGGTGCTCTAATGTTTTGGCTCTCCAGAAATTGAAATATTTTTATATTTTTAATAAATTATTATTATTATTTTAACTTTTTCCTAACTGCTGTAAGAGTTATGCCATACAAAAAGTATTAAACAATATAATATTTATTATGGATTAGAAAAATTAAAACAATACAATACTATATGAATTTTTTTAGAAAAAATTATAATAATAATAATACAATACCATTATTAAAATCAACTAAGAAAAAATAACATATACTTTTTTCCTTTTTTTAAAGAACATTCATATGGCACAATCATATGCAATAATTTTTTTTCTATTTAAAAAGCACTTCTCTTTTTTATTTTTTACTTTTTTTGCTCAAAAAAGCTTTTAAGGCACTATTTGTGCCAGTCAAACAGTGCCTTAACGGCTCTTTTGTTCAATTATGTAGAGGGGAAAAAAAGAAAAAAAAGAGAGCCAAAAAATAGGTTTCTGAAATATGTATTCCAACCAAACATGCCCTTAATCCAATTCTAGGCTAAGGGCTACAGTGATTTGGACTTAAAACAATTATAAAAAAAAAGTAGGTGGGCCGGCACAAGGCAGGCCCGCGATCACCAATTGGGTCACTGTTTTCGGCTACTCATTTCGCGACCCAAAATTTGGGCCCACCAATTGGAGACTCTATTACCTGGCTAAATTAGGTCGAGAACCTCTAAAACTTGCAGCAATGGACTTGCTCTAACAAATTTGATACAAAATTAACAAATTTGAGTTAATCTTGATTATATGTCATAATACTTTAACTAGTTTAGTTAATGATATCATATTCTTATTTTACAGCTTAACTCTTTTATCTCAATCAAATATTTTTAATTAATTGTTTTATAATTTTTTAAGTTCAATCTGATTAAAAAGGAAACCAATATTTATTGTGAACAGTTAAAGCAAGTGGACTATGGGCTTAAATAAAGGAAAATGAAAACATATAAACCCCACTCATAGTGGCCCATAGTTGGGAAAAAGGTCTGGGTTATTCTAAAAGTACCATTGACACATTTGATAGGGTAAAGTGTCAAAAAAACTCCAGAATTTTACTCTCTTTCAAAAAAAAATCTCCTAAACTTTTATTTTTATAAAAAAATCCCCTAAACTATTCAATTTTTTGCAAAAAAATCCAAGTGACATAATATTGTATATAATTTTTTTAAAAATGAGCGACAAAATACTATTTTTTTATATTGAATACTGTATATGTCATTTTTTATAAATTATATTAAGAAAGTGATATTGGCGCTCAAAATAATATTTTGTCACTCTACTTTATTACTAGTAAAATAAAATATAAAAAAAGCCCCAGTATCATTACAAACCTCTGCAATTTTTCCTTTTTCTGATCGGTAATTCCTGATTCTTTTTCTTAGTCATATTTTCATTGTGCAAGGAGCATCCCATAGATTGGGATGTTTTGTTCTCAAACAGGTCTTATCGAAAAAATTGTATCATGTCTTCAGGGAGGATTTAGAAATTCATATGAGGGAACAGTGGGGGCAATTTCAAAATTTTATTGGCATAACTAAACAAGATGTGTTTGTGTCAAAGTGTGGTTGGAGAATGGAAAAATGAATGGAAGAGAAAGGGAGATGGATGAATGAGGCATTCATAGGGAAAGGAAGATGTCACTTCCATTTTTTGTTTGATTGAATGAAATGGATGGTAGAAAGAACGGATGGGATGATAACTTTTTTTGTCACCTCTATTTTATTTTATTTTTTATTTTTTGGAAAAAAAAGGAAAGAGTGTTTTATATTCTTTTACCAATATATACTCACTTTATAAAATTATAAAAGGTACATCTATTTAATTTTTTTTGAAGAAATTGATATTTGCAGGTTTTTATTAATTTTATCTCTCATCTCTTCCCCTAAAATTGGAAGGATAGAAAAACATAAAGAAATGAGGGATGAAACATCCTCCTTGTTTCCTCCCTCTCTTCCCTTCCCTCAAACAAAACACAAAAAAAATTTATTCATCCTTCTTTTCTTCTATCCATCGTCAATCTTTCCCTCCAACCAAACATATAGTAAAGGGTTACGTCTGAGTTTCCATTTCCATGTCCGACACTTGCTCCTCTATTAGTTGGAAATATATGAAATATATATATAAATATATATCCTTTTTTTTTTGGTCCCGAAAGGTGAAGCTAAATATATTATAGGAAAATGTACACGACCTTTGGCCCAAACCACCCTAACAAATCTTGGGGAAGCACAGAGAAGCCCACAATAACTTACAATTAACATCATGCCTTGGTCCAAGGTCCAGCCCTTAAATGTGAAGAGGCATGACCTAAGTCACGTAAAGCAGGAGCGGGAGTGAGAGTGAATTCGAAAGCGGGAGCATAAGAGAAGCATAATTAAGTCATAAATAATGAAAATTTGAGAAAAGAGCGCGTGCAGGTCATAAAAGGAAGAGCGTGAGAGCCCGTTGAGAAGAATTATGTGACTTATGATATAACAACTTTTATTGAAGAAAATGTACATATTGACTCCAACACACCTTTTTCTTAGAAAAAAGTCTAAATTCTACTAGAAAATTTTAAATTTTTTTTTTTTTGGAATTGTAAGTATGATGTATTTATATTTTATATTATCACGTGACTGATTTTAAATCTTCATATTGAGTTTCACACAAGGCAGGGGAGAGATCCCTTTGAGGCTCATTTTTTGACACAACGAAAAGACACAATTCTACTATATAATTTAAGTTTTTTTTATAAAAAAAATACTTAAACATTTTTTTAAAGAGTAACAATACTTACACCTAACATTTATAATAAATTGTCTAACCTAATAATTTTTAATTGGTTATTTATGCCAAATACAACTAAGTGGAGGGTTCTACTTACTTATTTATTATATAATTGGCCAATTAAAAGAATAAATCTAATAATCCACTTCAAAGATTGGTACAAGAATCATTTTCCATTTTAGAAAGTCACTCTTGAAGGTATAAATAACATTGGTTGAGAAATAAGAGTGAAGATTACTTGTCTTTTAAAATCAATTTTTTGATTTTTTTTAAAGAAATCCATATGTATTTCAGTGACTCAAAATTTTTTAATTTTATTTTATTTTTTTTTCTAAATCACTCATTTTGTGAATATATCAGTTTTTGTGCGGTATAAATAAAATTACAAAACAAATTGGGGGCCATGGCGCCATAACATTGCCAATATGTCCTTAAACAAAAATGGCCATCCTCCTTCATATACAGAGTCCATGTTACTCCGCACGTGTGTAAGGACGATGTTTGAAAGGCCAATCTTCTCAGTTCACACCTTAAAGCCAATGTTTTATGACTCCGTTAACGTTAATAGCATCCGAAAATAAAGGAAAAAAAAAAAACAACAAAACATCGATCGAACAGGCAATTAGGGCAGAAAAATTACATCGAAGTGAAAGGGCAATTCATCATCAACATTCTCGAATCAGGTGAATATACATACTTATATATATATATCTATATCTATATCTATATCTGCCCTATTCGATAGTTCAATTCGCTTATTGGGTTTTTGCGAAGAGTCGATTTCAATTGCTTTCAGGATCACACTATTGACTTTCCCCAAATTTGTTCGATTTTTAGTTTCCGTAGCTTTCTCTCTCTACTTGTTTCTTTGTATACCTTATTCGATTGCTCATTCTGTTTTTTGGGATTTTGTTTCTTATTGAATTGTCAATTGGGTTTTCAATTTCTTTCCTTAATCAATGCTTGAGCTTCTGGGTTTTGCTTAATTTCTACTTCCGATACTTTCTCTCTTTGATTCTTGATATTGCATGAAAAATCCATCTTTCTTGTGTAATTTCTACATGGACTGAATTAATCACTATTCAATTCGAATCTGTATTTGCTCAATTTCTAGTGGAATTTGTTTAAAATTCAAAGTTTATGCATTGTAACTATGTGTTCTTGTAATTGTTTTGAAATCATACAGGTGAAATTGATTTCTGGAAATTAGGTTTTCCTTGTCAGGTTAAAAATTGTGCTTTTCCGCGCGTAGATTTTGCTGGAAGTTTGCTGGAAGTTTTAGGGTGTTTGATATTGGTGAATGTCAGGTAGTTGGAAATAAAAAATGGCGGCCAATCAACATTATACCCGAATTGACACTTTAGATCTGAAAGATCTCATATACCAAAAGATTGGGCATCAGAGAGCTGATAAATACTTTGGTCAGCTCAGAAGATTTCTTAATTTCAAGGTTACCAAGAATGAGTTTGACAAATTTTGCATTCAAACACTTGGGAGAGAGAATATCTCTCTTCACAATCGTCTTATTCGATCTCTTCTTAAGAATTCCTGTCTTTCTAAGGTGCCTCCATTGAAAGCTCCTCAAAATGGTAAAGTGGTGAATGGTTATCAGAGAAATTGTCTTCAGTCCATTTATGGTGATGTCTTTCCTCTTTCTCCTCGGAAGGGTAGGTCACCAGTAAACAGGGATAGGAAGTTCCGAGACCGTCCCAGTCCTCTCGGGCCACTCGGAAAGTCACATAGTGTTACGAGTGACGAAGTGGTTCCAAGAGCACAAGAGCAGCAAAGTGCGACGGAGCTGCATTCTCTTGGTAGCAGGCCCCCTGTTGAAGTTGCATCTGTGGAAGATGGAGAAGAGGTTGAACAAATTGCTGGAAGCCCATGTGTCCAAAGCAGGAGCCCGGTTACAGCTCCTCTCGGTATTTCCATGAATGTGGGTGGTGCTTGTAAGGCTCTTTGCAATGGATCTGTATATAAGTTTCATCCTGAGACTTGTCAGAACATTGGTGAGTTACCTAATACTGCATCTTTAAGAACGCGTTTAGAGCGGAAGTTGGAGGAGGAGGGCCTTAGCATCTCAGCGGATTGTGCCAACCTGTTAAATAATGGTTTGGATGTGTTTCTGAAGAGATTGATTGAACCTTGTATCGGACTAGCTGGGTCAAGGTCTTCAAAAGAGGAGATCGTACCTGGTTCAAATAGGATGCTACCTGGGAGATATATGCAAAGACCATCCAAGTCCATTGACGCATCTTTTTTGGATTTTCGTGTTGTGATGGAGTCAAATCCTCATATACTTGGCAAAGATTGGCCAATGCAGCTTGAGAAAATCTGTTCTCGTGCATCTGAGGAATAAGAACCTAATTGGCATCTTCAATCCATAAGTTGAATTTGGGTGGGATCATGGGACTTGAGTTCAAAGTACATATAAAGCGTTGAAGATTCTCTCTGACATGAATCCTGACCTTCACTGCTGTGCAGTATTCACAAACATTGCCGAAGGGAACAAGTTGTGACTACTATAGGAAGTTTTGAATTAGTTGTGTAGGTTGCATTTAGATGTCATCATTGATTATTGTTGGGTATTGGAACTTGTTTATACTGTCACATACACCTTTTGATGCAATTCAAAATCACCCCACAATATTTCTAAGTTCCAACACTAATTTTCTATTGCGACCTTGTTGTTTCTTATTATCATGTTTTGCATGAAATAAATCATTATAAAGTTCCAAATTGGTTACAGTGACTAGAAATGTCTATTATAATTTGTATGGAACTTGATGTTGCAGTTTGCATCAACTATTCTTATTGGTGGTATTTTGTTGAACTATTTTTCCTCTGTCACCATGAGCATATCAATCCATTCATTCTGTATCAGTTGGAACTTGGAAGTTCCTTTTCTAAAATGGACTTAGTTGCTTTTCTGTTAATTAAGACGATATGACCATACATGTATTCCTCGTCTCCTTGAGATAATTCTTCACTATAGATGTGATGTACTCGTGTCCTGATATTGCTAGAACTACCTGTTTTTTAAGTTGAAGTTCAGTAAGGAACGTTACTGATGGAGGACTTCAGTTTTTTCTTATTGGTGAAATACACTTCAGACAGTAGTTGCAAAGGGATTGCACACCATCAAAGGTCAGTTTGCTTCTGATTCTGTCAAGCTTTTCTATAATTTAATGTGCTGCTACATCACTTTTGCTCTCAATTTTCATTTTCGGGAAGAAATTGGATGAATTTTCTGCAAGTGCAAAGGTGCTAGATAATTCTTTCTTTTCTTGCAGATGTGATGTACTCAGAATGCAATACCTCTATTGCTAGTCAAGTTTGTGGATGGCTGAAACCAAAACTAAAGGGATGCACAAATTGCTACATGCTCTGGAATTCCACCTTAAATGGCACATTTACTCGTACTGTAAAAAAGTTTCTTCTTTTATAGCGAAAGGAGTGATCTTTGATTTGGTTCAGGTGTTAGAAGCTTTTTATTTATTTATTTATTTATTTGATAAGTAGTTCAGGTGTTAGAAGCTTAGAATTACATTTTGTTGATTTTTGCATTTTTTTCTTTTGCTCTTCACCGTGATTCAAGCAGACCCCAAAAGTATTCATACTGATAATTCTAAGTTTTTTTTTTTTTTGAATGGCCCTGCTAAATGTAGAAATATGTGATGTTGCATTGAACCATCACAGGACTACATGCTACTTGTTATGTGACTATTTTCAGTTTTCCTCCAAACTGCAAAATAAAATTCCTCTAACCTCACGTTTGCTACCATTTGTTGTAATGGCTCCACCAAAAATGTCAAAACTGGTACATTTTTATGCTAATGAATCTCAAATGACTCGAGTAACCATAATTGAGAGCAGAAAATAGGTGGATACTGAACGTGTAGGTATTGTGTATTTGCGCCTCAGTTTATGTATCAAGGATACTTGGGCCTTGCTTGGAACACTTTTTTTGGAAACTAAGTTACATGAGTTAGAGATTTTAGAGAACTGATAAAAGGTGTTTTGGGAGTTTTGTAAACAAGGCGCTGGGAATTTAGAAAACACGGAGAACTGATGGGCTACTTAAATCTGATGGACTACTTAAAACGTACGGACATCCACCGCGGTAAACCCCATCGTTCAAAACATCTCTCATTGTCTCTTTTCTCAACCGCACAGGTCTCATTCTCTCTCTAACAGAACATAGCTCAGCTCTCTCTTTCCAGATATCTTCGTCGATTAGGTCTCAACATCTTCTCCGGATTTCTCACTCATTTGTTGGGCTAACGATCGACTGGAAAAAGGGTCACAATCGACTGGTTTGAAGACACTGTTTGGTAATCCATCTCTCTCTCTCTCTCTCTCTCTAACATTATGTGGGTTTTCTTGGTTGGATGGATTTGATTTGTAGAATTTGTGGTGGATTTGTTTGGTTGGATGGATTTGGTTGTGGAATTTGTTGTGGATTTGTTTGGTTGGACGGATTTGATTGTCTGGTGTGTTTTTCAATTTCATGGATTTATTTGGTTTTCTTTGCTTTGTTTCAAATGTGGTGTTGGGTCCTCATTTGATATCTGCTAATTTCTTTTTGGTTTATTTGCTTTTGATCTTCATGGTTGGGTCATGGAAGATGTTCATGATTTTGTTTAATTGCCTGATCACCGAAAGATAGATTTTCATGATTTGGCTTGTTTGCTTGGTTGGTGCATCGTTTTAAAATTGGAAAGTGAATCACTTGAATTCATATACATTGATATATGCACTGAGAGAGAGATGTAGATCTACATTAATAAATCCAAATTTATACTGTGTTCTTTATACATGTGTCCTTAATGGGAGAAGTAAAATCTATTGTTAATTGTTCTATTGATCAACTTAGTAGCATAAGTAACACAACTTGATTAGTTGTAGCAGAAAACATTATTATAGCAATGAACTTGATTAGGCCTAACTCTTGCTAGGGCCAAGATGACATGGGAAATTTCCAAATGCAGGCCAGGATGACATGTATGAAGCATTAAAATTCTCCTTTCCAAGGACAATTAACAGGCTAAGAAGAATATAGTTCACTTAGAATTTGAGTTAGTTTATATGAGAAGAACTATTAGATGATAGCTCAGGGCGACAATGATTGAGCAAGAAAATGGTGTTTTTTTAAAAAGAACATTCCGCCATCGGAATGGAGGAGCCTTTCACTCATATTATATAGCTGCTGGGAAAGGTAATGAAGATGAAAGGGGAGGGCTGTTGCATGATTTGACTATTATACCTTTTGAAATTGCCATTTGTCTTGTATAATATATTTAAAGTCTTTTTTAAAATTAGACCATGGACTTTTCCATGGTATTTTTGTTCTTAGCAATGGTGCTATATCAGGTTTTTATTGTAGATTTTGGTTCTGCGTTCATTCGTTGTCTCAAAATATATATGTTAGTTAATGATTGTATTGATTGATTTGGTACTTTGTACGTGCAGACTTAGTTGACAGTAATGTGACTTGTTATTGTGTCATTGCAAATTTTGGTGGAATGCTATTATAATGTATCAATCAGGAATGTGTTCATTGGGAATTGCTGTTGTTTTGAAGACAAAATCCATCTTTATAATGGATATATACCGAAGGAGTCATGGCCACAAATTGTAGGAAAGACCTGACAAGATTGGTTTAGGTTGATTCAATGTGACATCAATAAATAAACTGGAATAAGTCTGAAACTATTAGTATAAAAGATACAGTATTATTTTGCTTGCTTGGCTGGATTTTAGGTTGACAAAATCCATCTTTGCTTTGGTACATAAAAGAAATTATTTTGCTTGCTAGTCAATGTAAATCTTGTTATCACAGCCTATTTTTGTACTGGCGACTCACCTTTTGTGTATCTTGTTTTTGTAGAATGAACATGATAAAATCCGGGAACTATTCCAGCACCTTGCCATCAAGAAAAAGTGAGCTGCAACCTATGAAAGGCATTTGGAATTGATTTTTGAGCACAATCAGAGTCTATAAAGGAAGATCCAAGACTTTTTTTTTGATGGAGTCTAGAGAGCAGCAAAGCCATAGATAGTTTTGACATTTTTCAGGGCTTTTTTTTTTAAAAAAAAATTTTTTTTTTTCGGAATGGGGTATGCAAAATGCTGTTGGACGTGGTGAGGATTATTATAGTTATAGCTTTGGATAGGATGGGATGGTCAAGTCACTGTATATCATTGGTTTTAGCTTTTACATCAAGTGATAAGATGAATTGTGTATTACTTTGAGCTATGTATGAGGCTCTCATAAAACTAAACTTGGTCGTATGCCTCAAAAGAAGCTTACATTTTGCACCAACTTAGGACAGCCCAAAGTCTGAATGCAGAGCTCTGTGTATCTCACGCTTGTTATAAGTATTGCATTAGTGGACTTGGGGAAAAGGTTCTTTGCAATTGTACATAACATCTCAAAAGAAAATAAATAAGAGTGATGTGCAATTTTATTTATTTTTTAATTCAGAAAACTATTTTCACTAGATAAAATCAAGCAAACTGTTTTGTAGTTTTTGTAACCAATCAGATTTTCAAGCTCAAAAAACTAAAAATTGTTCTTAGTTTTGATTATTCGAAAACTAAAACCTGAAAACTAATCCAAGTAAGTTCAGTGTTAATCTGTAGCATTTAGTTATTTATGTCAAACTAGCGGGTTTGACCAACTACAACCTCAACCTCATGTCACATTGCAGCGGGTCTTGGCGCAACGTAAGATGTTGTGGACTGAAGATGGATTGAAGGTCATAAGTTCAAAACACAAGAAACAACCTCTCCCAATCCGAAGGTAAGGCTCGAAGAGCCTGACACAGCTTCTTCCCCACAGGAGGGTTATTATTGTGCAAAATTTATTTTTGTTTCAATTTTTTTGCTATTCATGTGCAGGCTGATGACTTCCAGTCAAAATATGTGAGATTGAGTTGAAATAATACAGACCGTGTGAATTCACAATGTAATGTGACATCAAGCGCGTGCTTGAGTTTTTGAAACAAAAAACCATCTCTCACACAAAATTTCCGAGTGGACTTATATAAACCACCTGTTTTGGAAATCAGGTTTTTTCTTTTAATTCAGCATAGGACGCAAAAGGAGCATGCTTCAAATGATTGGTACAACTTAAAAACTTTCTGCGTACAATATCTCTCCTTGAACACCAAACTGGAAGTCAACCAAAATAGAAAGATAGCACAGAGTGCAAATGAAAGTTTTAATTGAAAACCACTAACCTATTTCATGAAACCATTGGAAGCTAAATCTAATTATACAGTTCCTGTAAACATAGTCCATTTATGTAGTTCTTATAAACATATAATTGAATTGATAATATAACCGCATACAATGTTTGTTTCTAACTCGAGTATTTTGGTTAGGCTCCAAACCATGCTTCTGCCACAACGTCACATGATACTTCTGCAAATGCATCAAGATGTTTGTTTGTGTGATTCCACAGCAACTACCATCAGGAGTTGTGCAATCGGAGAACGCGGTCTAGGGCATTAGTAAGAAAATTGGTGGACTGATTATCAGCACACATTTTCTTACTCGGTGCCTGCTTTCTCTAAACTAGCCATGTAGGTAATGTAAACAGTCCATAGAAATGCGAACGAGTTGCTCATCAATGTCTGCATTGTGAAAACACCAAGAACAAAAATCACAAGTTAATAAGCAAATTATTTAATTAGTAAGCCCTAGACATCTCTTGGCATCACAGCAATGACTATTTGAGTTGTGGTCCTTCGGAATTAGTCTTTATACCCATTCAAGTGTAATTTCCTCTTAAGTAGATAAATGAGATGTCATGAATACCTGTAAGTGAACGGGGATGAACTTGAATGTCACAAAATCACACATCGGCCAGTACATAACACCATTTATCATAGTAGGAAGCAAGTCCCGTTTCAATCGAGCAGTGATCTCTGCACCATTTTCACCTGAGTTTGGTTGGGATACCCATCAAAAATTTGAGTTAAACAGCACAAAATTAATGTAAATAGTTCCAGGGAGAAAATAATTGCTCTCACTTTTCAGAAAAAACTAGACATTTTTCCCAATCAGAAAGGCAACGGGTGTTTCAACAATATATTTGAATAGTAACACACCAAAGAGTAGCACCATTACTGTTTGATGTCGATGTTAAAACACTATACTGTGAGGGAAAATAAACCAACACACTATGTGATCAATTGTGATTAGTGAAGTTTACATACAGATACTGGTGGTCTAATACATAGATGAAATCTGAAATTATATATAATAAGAAAAGAACATTAAAACATTAATTAAGCAAACCAATTCTTCACATAATATTGACAAGGACTTTACCTTCGGGGAGAAAAGAAAAAAAAAACATTGATAAGGACTACCTTAAAACCAACAACCATGTCAGAAGAGAATTTGATTTCCATATAGAAAATAAACATAAAGAAAGACAGAAAAATTCTTCTGCTAAATATGTCTGAATCAAGGAATTGCAACAGGAGTTCCATCATTCTAATCCCAATACTTTCTCAAGCAGTTTATCACCTTCATTACTTATCCAGAATATGGTTTTCCTATTTTTCAGATGGGAAGCATTATCATCCCTGTGAATTGAACTTCGAATAATCATATATGTAGTTGAGTGTTAAAACCGTTGTAAATGTAGTGGTAGAAGGCAGGCATGGAATCCACAAGAAGAGGTCGGCCTAAGGGCTTATTTCTTACCCTCAGTCTGAAGGGGCGTAAAAAAAAGGTACATTACATATTTGGGTAAAGACATAGATATTAACAATAGAAATGAAGACAGAACTATGTGTCGCCATGACAATTATGGTTTATTTAATAACATGACAGTGCTGATTAGTAGCTTAATGCAAATTCAATCTGCCGATCTAACAAAAGAGAGAGGGGAGGCAATGATGTGTAATAAGTCACCAGGAGTTGACAATACCCAAATAAAGGTGAGCAAGGACAGCAGTAACTAACAATTTTTTGGTAAACTTCAAAGCATGGCTGAACTTACTAGGCCACAGCCTACAGGAACTGCTAATGAGGGGAATAGATCAATTACTATTTCAGGCAAGCCCAAACTCAATGACATGAATATACCAAATAAATGAAGCGGACAAAAGTCAATAAAATATAGATAATCCAACTGACTTAATTTGTTCAAACATATAATCTGGTTAAACCAAGACAATATTCCACTCCAATCAGCCAATTGGTTAACTAGTTTGATCCAATGAAGCAACTTCATGGTGTAGATGAACATCGATGATAACCAGAACAAGACATTCATGTTAAAGTTTCTGCTTGATTAGTAGGACTAAGAACAGCATTCAATCTTCTTCCTAAGGTATTGATAAAATTTATAAACTTACAAAGAGTAACTGTAAGACCAGATTAGAACTATTTGTTAGTCTATTTACGTTTGGGTAGATATTATTTCTGAATTATGAATGTGTCATCATTCTGCTTACTAGACTAATTGACTACATTTTTTTTTTTTTGTGTTGAGTGACTAATTGACTACTTTTGCCCATAATTATTTATTTATTTACTTTTATAAGTGATTGACCACAATTTAAAAGCTATAATAATATACTGTTGATATTGTATGCTCAAGAACTAATGCTCTAATAATATTAACATTGTCCATGCCGTATTCTACAAAAAATAAAAAGCTCTCTCTATATATGTATATAATAATATATGCATTAATATAGGCAATAGCACAACTATTTCCAGTAAATATTAATCATATTAGAGTCTCCCATTACATAGTATGCATAAAATACAGAAAAGCAGAACTCAAATTAAAGAACGATAATTAAATAAAGAACAATGAGTACCTTGTAAAGCCGCATTCACGGAGAAGAAAACAACAGTCATAACAGGTCCATATAGTGTCTGCCCCATGACAATTTTTTTAATTGTCGACATTACATCACGTTTTGGAAGAACTTTTGACACAAAGTTGAACCAAAAATGTAGTGATGGTCCTAAAATTAGCATTCCATATCCAGCCATGCGTGATGTCCTCACAAGATCATAAGGTTCTGAAGATGGCAGTGCAATTGTCTAAAGAGAAGTAGTAGTAATGATTAGAAATCACAACTCCTCAAAGACTGAAACTCCCAAACAATGATAATAGATGTATAATGACTCCTCAAAACAAAATGAATAAATAACACACATGTACACAGTCACCTTGCACACAAACAGAAACAACACACACACACAGAGAACTGTGTGCAACATTTGCGTTAAAAACTGACCAAATTTTTATTTTCTTGACAAGTGTATGGTAAGAGAAAGACCAATGGACAAATATATGTACATATATAAAATATATATATAGTTCACATCAAAATATAGTATAAGCAAGCAGCTGTTAGCTTGAATAGTATATCCTGCCACTTCCAACTAGGGGTTGCAAGGTCAAGCTTGAGTTGGAAAGCGGGTGCAATGTGGTACTTAAAAGAAGATGATGAAGAAACTGACCATTTTTTTTTTCTTGATAAGTGTATGGTAAGAGAAAGATCAATGGACAAATATATGTATATATATATATAGTTCACATCAAAATTCTATTTTCTAGTATTAGCAAGCAGCTGTTAGCTTGAATAGTATATCCTGCCACTTCCAACTAGGGGTTGCAAGGTCAAGCTTGAGTTGGAAAGCGGGTGCAATGTGGTACTTAAAAAAAGAAGAAGAAGAAGAAGATGAGTGTGGGTGCAATGTGATGCATTGAACCCCCAAATGATGCAGTGTTGGTTTATTGGCTTTAGACTAGAGGCAGATTCAGATAAGAAAATAACAGTGCAGCAATGATTTGCAAATGTAAGGACTGAAAAATAAGCCTTGACTTCATAAGAACTTGGCAACTTGAGATTGTAGGCAAGGATGCCTCAAAAACACACTTCTTTTGACAACTTCACCTTATCCATGAGAGAGAGAGAGAGAGACCCTATAGAACTAAATCTGGACATTCATGTAATTGCATGCCTCTGAGATGTCACGTGATCATGCATTTAAACATATAGGAGGTAGAAGGGAAAATTCAGTAGACAATTCTAGAAGACCAGCTTATAGGAGATGTGGCTAGACATGTTGCGGTTGACCGATCCACCTTCTCGTTTGCTGATGATTATTTTCAGGGTTAAACTCACAACACTCCCCTCTACTTCCATTTTTTGACACTTTACCCCTTGAACTGTTCAAACCACCCCATGTACTACCCAAAAGTTTCATTTAAGGACGAACCACTACTTGACTGATGAAATTACCAAAATGGCCTTACTTTATTTAAATAAATTCAAGGGTTAAATTCATAAAACCCCCCTATACTTTCATTTTTTTACACTCAACTCCATGTACTATCAAACCAACCTTGTACAATGCACAAATATGATTTTGTATTTGCATATTTTATTAATTATCAAAATATCATAAATTATTGTTTATTTTTAATATAACAGAGTATATAGTTTGCAATATTATTCACTCCCTGTTATTTATAAAAATATGTTATACATATTAGCTAATAGTAACAAAGTACATTATATACATTATATTGTAATTGTCATTCTCGTTGCTTCTATCTTGTGGGGTCGTAAATATACATCATATTATGTGATAAAATAAAAATACTATATATATTACATACCATACACAAATATTAGACTATTCTTTCATATTATATAGTTTATATTTTATATTTAAATAAAATCTCAAATATCATATTATGTGCTTTATATAGGTATATTATTTTATATAAAAAAAATTAGTTATTATAAAATGTATTTCTTATACAATTACTAATTTATTATATAATGGGGTCGCGTGTGGATAACCCCCTCTAATATGCATATTGTGCGTATAACCCCCTCATGTTTGTTAACCACCCCTCTATCAAAAAATATGTGCGAATTAGTCCCTTTTGCTTCTTTTCCGGTACCGGAGCTGCAAATATACTAAAATACCCCTCTCTCACACTGATCTATTTCTGTTTCACAGCGACCTGTTCTCTTCTCCAGCACCATCTTCATCAACGGCGGACAAAACAGAGCCCACCCCTGTTAACAGAGACCCACAAGTCAATCTTCTGACTCTATAGGACTTTTCTGATTGTATAAACAGTGCTTGAACCAAATAAGTGTGTATGAGTACAATACTGTGCAATACCCATGACATAACTGAAGGAATATGAAATAGTGAAATTAAGAAATGCAATGTAAGATTTCAGAATTTCATAAGAATACTAAAGTGTCTTGCTATCATGTCTTCTTCTTCACATGGTCGAGAAAAGCTTGTAGAAGTCAAAAGGGTCTAGGCTAGCAGAAGCAGCTGTACCTTGGAAGTGACAACCTCTGAAACTACGTGAAGGGAATAGGTCTGAGCAACAGAGGGACGCTAAATCATTATGGTAATTCTTCAACTGATAAGGAATTTATTGCACACAACTGTATAAATATGTAACACGGGTGCATAGTCAAGGCTAGGTTGTTAGGGAGCAGCAGAGCAAACATCAGAGGAACATGAATGAGGGCTTTCACTTCTTTTTTTATGATGATGAACTGCTCGTTTTTTGGAGTTTTTTTTATTTCCCAACACACAGCTTTGTGAATGGTGTGGGTGGCGGCGGTGAGGAAGAAGAGAAGTGAGGGCCGTGAATATGGTGAGGGCAATTACGGAATATGAAAGGGCAATTTTGGATTTTTTTTTTTTTATGTTTTAGAATTGTCATGAGCATGACACATGACCTACTAACCCCATTCTCTACCGGAAATCTGACTGGAGGTGGTTAGTTGCAACATTTTAGTATCTAGTTTGGAGTTATATGCACAAAATAAACTAGAGGGATGTAATCTGCACAAAATCAAAACTAGGAGAGTGTTTTCTAGACTTTACCCTTATATAATGTAAAGTATTTAGATAGTTTTAGTTATCTTCAACTTTTAGTATAAAATAAATTATATAGTGTAATATTATATTTTATTTATGATTTTTTACAGTATCAGGGCTAAAGTGTCAAAAATTGAAAGTATAGGGTTTTTTTTTTTTTTTCTTTTTTAATGAATTTAACCTTTAAATAAATTTTATATGCAAGGGTATTTTAGTCATTCAAAACTATGACACAATGCACCCATCATATTACCGTCTACTTTAAATGAGAACTAATGGGATGGGGGTGATTTGATCAATCTCATAGTAGTGTAAAAAAATGGAAGTAGAGGGGTTTTTTTTGTATGAAATTAACCCTTATTTCCAAGATAATTCATGCAAGTCCCTTTCATATCCCATCTTATTGTGACCTAAGTCACACAAAGCAGGAGCAGGAGAGCGTCAAAATCTAAAATTATTTGAGAGTGGGAGCATCTTCAAAGCATCCTTCCTTTAATTTTAATGTCATTTTATACAGTGTGGGATCTTCTTTATTTATTATATAATTTATTAAAAAAAGAAAGTAAATAAGCAAGTATGTGTAGTTCAAGTTGGTTGACTCTCTTAAATAAATTAAATAAGTATCTTGTGATAAAACTGATGTAGTGGCAAAGTGGTAACAAATCAGCTCCATCTCCACGTGGCTTCCCTAGCCACATCACCAGTGCATCTACTGAGATGCCTCCATGTGCCCAACCTAACCTCCTACCATTTGATCATTCTCCATCTACAACAATTGATCCCAAATCTGCCCGCATACCAAAAGCCTTTGCTGCCAATTGCTATTCTAATTTCTGCAGCACCATCTCCAATGAAATTGAACCAACTTGCTTTGCTCGAGCAAGAAGGCACCAAAATGGCGTGAGGCCATGCAATACAAGTTCACTGAGAAATAGCACATGAGTTCTCACACTGACATCATCAAAACATTATTGGGAGCAAAAAGTTATTTTAGATGGCTATCTAAAATCAAAGAGCATGAAGATGGGACTGTTGGGAGGTAGGTACAAGGCAATAACTATTGTTAAGTGAAATGATCAACAACCCAGAATTGACTAAAATGAAACATTAAGTCCCTTTTGGTGGTATGGGAAACCTTATCAGAAATTCAAAATTCAAGCTCAGTTTATATGTGCAATTTCAACCAGGCAAACCTTCCTTCCAACACGATAGACACCATCGGTGTTTGTGAACTCTTGGGTAATGATTTCAACATTATAACAATAACAAGATAGTAGGGATAAATAATTTCAAGATGTCAAACATTAACTCTGACAATTGTACTTCTCTCTGTATCACTCTAAATTACCTTTACTTTGGAGTGATGAGTCTTTTTGGGGTGAAAGAGAAGTTCTTTCTCCTGATCACTTGATTTCTCTTCTTTCCACTCCTTAATAAGTGAACCACATTGTGGCAAAGGGGAGATGTTTAAAATTTTCTCATATATTCTCTTCGATTTTCCTAACCAATCAGTGTGTATGTTCTCAAAACCGCAAAGAAAAGAGAGTAAGATACATGTTGAAAGAGGGAAGATTCTATCTACTCAACTTCAATTTCCCACAATCGTTTCTTTTTTAATGTGAATGAGTTAGGAAATCTAACAGATTAAATGAAGTAAAACAAACCATCTGGCCTATAGCTATAAGAGGGGGGAAATGAAGCACATACACAGCTAAAGATAAAAGAAAGTAACCCCAGTAGAGAAAAAGAGGCTCTTCACAATATTAAACTAGTCCAAAAAAACAATAAACTACCAAATCCACACACACATATACAAGCACAAGCGTATACACATGCAATCCTTGATATTTCTATAACATAAATAAATAAACCACCACCAGAAAAGCTTAACAGACACATAATCTTCAGAACAATCCACCAACATTAATGGTTTGCTTGGTTCAGTTTTATGAGAACTGAAAATGGAGAACTGTGCAAAAGTATGCTCGGTTTACCTTTTCCAAGAACTTTTATCTGAAAACTCGTTAGAAGAAAAAAGCATGTTCTTGGAGAACTGTTTCTCTAAAAGAAGTTTTCTGTTTTCTAAAATGGAACCCTTGCTTTCTATGCCAATATTTGAAAAGTAACACCACAGTAAAGTGCTTCTCTTCTTCTTCACACATATTTTTCACACATATTTGACCCATTTAGGCATTCTATGACACTGACACCATAAGCTTTTGCCAGATTAGACACACACACCTCGCCATTTCCATTTTAAAATTTAACACCAAACATAAACAAACTCCAACACATACATTTCAAATCAAGAACAACCCAGAACACAAATTTTACAATTCCTAAAGAAAAACATATTCTTTAACCTCATTACATATATATGGTAAAAAAATTCCCAGAAAATACTTTCCATAGTACAAAGGGATTAGGGCATTTTTACCTGAGCTGACAAGTCGGCGATAGTGTAAATAAGAGCAGAAGTGATGCTTTTAGTGAGAATGGGTCGAGATTTTACCATCCCCAAATACCACCCAACAAACCCAAACGTTGAAGACGACGATCTGGTTGAAGAAAACGGAGAGGAGAGTATATTGGGAGGAGACAAGTCGAAGTTTTTGACTTTTCCGTAAAAAGATTTGGGAAATTTCCCATAAGCTTTCGATTGTTGCTGGTGTTGGCTCCGGAAAATCGGAGCTCCAACTGAATGCCTCTGCGTTAACAAGTTCTGCAGTGAGTTCTGGCTTTTGCAGCCATTTCTTAGGAAGGCGGCCATCATCTCTCTCTCTCTCTCTCTCTCTGTGCTTTGTCAGGGTTTTACTCTCTTGTTGTTTTTTGGGGCTTAGAGAGAGGTTTTGGGAAAATATACGAAAAACTAGAGAGAGAAACCGTGGCGAAGGGTGCCGGTGGGAAATTTGCTTCTTTAAACGTGTGGTGTGGATTTTATTGTACTTCCTCGAGTACCAAACTTGATTTGTACTCGCTCCATTCAAATTCAATAATAGGTTTATGATTATGGTTTGTTTATGCTAAAATTTACATAAAAAAAAAATTATTTATGTTAAATTTCGGGAAAAATTTATTTATGTCAGCAAAACAAGTCTTTGAATTATCATTTTTTTCCCTTCAAATTTGTATAAAGATAGTATATATATATATATATATATATATATATATATATATATATTTAAATGTAAGGAAACTAATATTCCCTATTAAAAAATAACTTAAGGATATAAAGAGTCATAACTAACTTTTATTAATCACTATATTGTTGGGTCACTTTATTGATGGGAGTTAGATATATATATATATTTAAATGTAAGGAAACTAATATTCCCTATTAAAAAATAACTTAAGGATATAAAGAGTCATAACTAACTTTTATTAATCACTATATTGTTGGGTCACTTAATTGATGGGAGTTAGACAGTAGAAGTCTATTAGAGCATCTCCGGCTCCAACAATCTATTAAAAAAAAAATTGTGTAAAATATACACAACTACATATGATTTATAAATTTTTTTCATCTCGAGTAATGTGTTAAAATATACTATCACATCACTAACATGTAAAAGAATTGTATATTTTACACATCTTTTTTACACAGCCACGTAACATATTTTCTCTCTCATTCCCCTTTTCCACTCGCTGTTCCCTTTATTTTATCTCATTCCTTTACGCCTCTTTGTTTCCTACTTTTAGAGCGTCATAAAAAATAATTTGCAACTGGCGAGTAGGTAAGAACTTTTAACCATCTTTTACTTTTATTTTTTAATAAAAATAGTTTGATTCATCATTTTCGTTTCATATTATCTTCTATACGTCGTGGATTCTAGATTTTTTTTAGATTTTTTATCCTTTTATATTCTATTCTAATGAGATAAATATATACTAGCCAAAGATTAGATATATATTTTAATCACGATTTTATATAATTGTTATTTGATACAGTTTACAAATTGTTTTTTTTTCTTTTTTCTTTTTTGGTGATTAGTCAATTCAATCGCAATTGTTGTTGATATTTTTTGTTTCTGTATAAAGTGAAATATAGGGGGAAATTATTATTTTTTTTCCTAATTGAGGAGGATTGGGACGTGAAGTTTAATCGCGAAAAAGTAAATGAATCAAGTAAGTTTGTAAAAGTTATGTAGGGCTTTGGGTATGATACATGGTTGGTTGTCATTGAAGGATATTTTTTACACAAAAGGTATAAAACAATAGTTAGAGCTAAAAATAGGTGTACAAAATTTTTGTATAAATATAATCTGACACATCAGATTTACACAAAAATATATACACAACGGTTGGAGATGCTATTATAATAAGACATTGGCGTAACTTTTATTAATAACCAGATTTAAATATGAGAGATAAATATGTAGTATTAATTTTCTTTGTCACGAGCTTACTTTTATTCACACTAGATTTAAATAAAAGAGTTAAGAACTTTTTATACTTATTGATTTTCACTTCGCACTTCACACTACATTTATCATTTTCTTTTAAGGGAAATAACAAAAAAGTTCTTAAATTTATTAATACACAATTCCTTAATTTATAATATCATAGCTATCCTTTATACAACTTAATTTATTTATTTATTTATTTTTTTATCTTCTTCACTATTTTTGTTTTTTCCGGAGGTCCTCTCAAAGAAAATAATTTATTCTATACTAATAATTTATTTTTAGCAGTCAAAAGGGATAATTTATTCAATAGTGATTTTTTTTTTTTTTTTTGGTACAATCCAAAGAGATATTTATTCAACAAAATTGACTTTTTTTAAAAAAAAAATTGTCAAAAGAGATAACTTTATTTTTTGGTGATTTTTTATGGGTTTTGTCAAAAGAAATAATTTATTCGATAAAAATAAAATATATATATTTTTTGGTCTTATCAAAAGAGATAATTTATTCAATAGAGATAATTTATTTTTAATCATCTTCCTTTTGTACTTTTTATCATTGTTATTTTTTTGGGATCTTGATAATTGAGATAATTTATTCAATAAATATATTTTTTGGGTTTTTTTATCTTCATGTCAAAAGAAATAATTTTTTAAATGGTTACTTTTTATTTTTTTATCTAGCCAAAAGAGACAATTTATTCAACATAACAAATCCTTTTTTTTTTTTTTCTTTTTTTTTTTTTTTTTTTTTGATCCCTTAAAAAAAATTATTCAAATTTTATTTTATTTTATTTGTGTTATCAAAAGATACTTAAAATATTAAAGATTAGAGATAAGAAGAGAAAATATGAAAGGTTAGTTGTGTCATTTAAAAAGTAATAATTATTTACTTGTAAAGATAAGATTATAATTGTTATTTCATTTAAGATTGTAATGTAAATACTGGAAAGTGGAGTGCGAATATTGCCTCCTTTATATAATTGACAATTTGTGAAATGAAGAACTAAAATTGTGTTGGTTATGCTATTACTTTTAATACTTTGAAAATTTCTTAAGTGTCATTATAAATTTATTCTTTTAATCATTGAGGATATTTTTCATTAGAATTAAATAAAAATTATGGGTATGTTTGATTGAGTTTTCCAAAGTATTATTTTGATATCTAAGAAACAATATAAAAAATAATTTAGTTGATAGTTTTTAAAAAATTGAACTAATTTTATTTTGAATTTTGAAAATTATTTTAATTTGCACATACATAATTCATTTCAAAATTGGAACAAACAGTCCAAAATCTACACCGTCGAGTGCCAGCGAGTACTTAATTTTTTGTAGCGCCGCGAGTAGCATATTGTCAAACAAACTCTTCTAGAAGTCTGTTTCAATGATCAAATGAAATTGAAATTGAGTTCGGGTACACCGACACACCGGGACACGCGTATAGGCCTCCACCCTCTTTCGGCCACGTGTCTTTCCAGCCCTTCACGTTATAATTAAAACTCTTATATAAACGTTTATTGCATTACGTCCCTGAACCATTACATATTTTATTTCACTCCCATGTTCTCATTTTAATATTTACACGCGACACACATGCTTCATTTTGCCCGTGACATTGTATAAAGTTGACCAGTATTAGTCATTGAAAAAAAAAGGGAAAAAGTGACAATTGGTGACCTGTTATATATATATATATATATATATATATCTATGTTTGTGTGGGATCCATAATAATTTAAGTCATTCATGATGGACACTTTTTGGCTTGAAGAGAAAAATCATAACTGAGGCTTAGTGAAAGCTTCATATTAAGACTTACAGTAAAAGCTTCATTTTAAATCTTACAAAGGAAGTCTCATTTTGAGCCTATAAATAGGCATATATGTATTGATTTGAAAACCATTACAGAAAGCATATAAATGAATTCCTCTTGATTTCCTTTCTCTTGTTTTCTTTATCTCTCTTAATCCTACTATATATATATATACATATATTTATTATACGTTATCAGCACGAGCTCTATCCATCTCAGATTTGAAATAGAAGCTCTCTCTCCCTCTTTCTATCTCAACTATATATCTTTTTTGTGATATTAGTTTTGATAGATTGTTGGGTTTGTTTACTTTATTGAAGAAAATTGTATTTTTGACTCCAAAGGGTAAGAAAATTTTAATTATTGATTATTATTTATGAAATAAATTTGTTCACTTAAGTAATATATGTGCTCACGCTGTGGTCGGTTCTACCGCCTTTATTATTTAATGATTTACTAACCATGGTCGGTTCTATCACCTTTATTCTTTAATAATTTACATGGTCGGTTTTATCGCCTTTATTATTTATGGCTTGTTTTGCCGCCTTTATTGTTTAATAATTTATTCACTATGGCTGATTTTACCGCCTTTGTTGTTTAATTATACTAAAATTATAATACTTCATATTAAGTTATATAAAGCGAAGGCCATGATTTTCATTCGTTGCCATATTAGTGAGGAACTAAAAACTGAATACCTCACTGAAAGAGATTCACTAAGTTTGTGGAAAAATTTGAAAGAAAGATATGATCATCAGCTTCCTTCCAAAAGCTCGGGTGATTGGCAGTAATTGCGGTTACAAGATTTTAAAAATTGTGGCTGAATACAACTCTGCCCTATTTAAAATCAGCTCTACACTAAAATTGTGCAGTGATACCATCACTAATGAATTTTTGTTGGAAAAAACATTCATCACATTTCACGCCTCAAATGTACTCTTATATTGAGAGCGTAGATTTGAAAAATATTCAAAACTGATATCTTGTTTACTTGTGGCAGAGCAAAATAACGAGCTTTTATTAAGAAACCACCAGTCCCTGTCCAACTGGATCGACACCGATCCCTGAAACATATGTTGCCTCATCACATGGACATAGACATAATAATAGACATAAACGTGATAGTAGAAATGGCTACAATAATGAATATGGTTGTGGTAAAAATCACTCCTATTACCGTGAATGATATCCATCCTAAAATTTTTGCAATCAGAGATTCACACCATATCCCAAAAGAAGATATTATAATGAAATAAAATAAGTAAAAGGGAAGGATGTGGCTCAACCTCCCAAGGCACATGATAATCGGTGTGGAATGATAGGGCATTGACAAAGTATTTGTCATACACTTAAGCATCTGGCTGAACTTTACCAAGCCCCAATAAAAGAAAAGGGGAAATGGAAAGAAATGAATTTCATTGATCATGATGAGCTAGTTGACATCACAAATCTGGATGTATCAGATTTTGAGGACCGTGATGGAAAGATAAACCACCTGATTGGTGATGAAAATGTCCACACCAATTAATCCTATTTTTTATTTCATATTCTTTCTATTATGTTATCTTCAACATATTTTTATTTTCCTTATATTAAAGTTTCTTTTGTTATAACTGTTTCTTTTCTAAATTTGCATGAATAGGAATGGAACTGATTAGTCCCAAAATAAATGGTGAAGATATATGTCTTGCTGATAGTGGAACAACACACACAATCCTTCGGGATCAAAAATATTTTTCTTACCTAATTTTGACAGACGCTAGTGTCAGGACAATATCAGGTCCCACCGACTTGATTGAAGGCTCCGGACGAGCTAACATCATTTTATCACGTGGAACAAGATTACAAATCAATGATGCCTTATATTTTATAAGATCTCGGAGAAATCTGTTGAGTTTTAAAGACTTGCGTCGTAATGGGTATCATATTGAGACCGCAAATGAAAGAAATGTGGAATATCTCTACATTACTTCCATTACCTCATGCAAGAAGCTGATATTAGAAAAACTCCCTATTTTCTCTTCTGGGTTATACTATACAACCATTATGACAATTGAGTCAAATGCTGTGATACATAAAAAATCTTATTACCCAAAACTTTTTATATTTTGGCATGATCGACTTGGTCACCCGGGGAGTACAATGATGCATCGAATTATTGAAAATTCACATGGACACCCACTAAAGGATCAAAAAATCATCTTACCAAATAATCATCCATGCACTGCCTGCTCCCAAGGTAAGTTGATTATCAAACCATCCCCTTCAAAAGTCATTCTTGAATCTCCCCCATTTTTACAACGAATTCATGGGGATATATGTGGGCCAATTCATCCACCCTATGGACCATTTCGCTATTTTATGGTCTTAATTGATGACTCAACACGATGGTCTCATGTTTGTCTGTTTTTTATCCGTAATGTTGCATTTGCTAGACTTCTTGCTCAAATCATCAAATTACGGGCACACTTTCCTGATTACCCAATTAAGATAATCCATCTTGATAATGCCGCTGAATTTTCTTCTTAACCTTTTGATAATTATTGCATGTCAGTTGGAATTGATGTTGAATACCTTGTTGCACACATTCATACTCAAAATGGTATGGCCAAATCTTTTATTAAAAGACTTCAGTTGATTAGTCGCCCTTTGCTTATGCGAACAAAATTACCAGTTTCTGCTTAGGGACATGCCATATTACATGCTGTATCATTGGTTCGTATACGACCAACTGCTTATCATAAGTACTCACCACTGCAACTTGTTTTTGGTCAACAACCAAAAATCTCTCACATACGAGTTTTTGGTTGTGTTGTATATGTTCAAATTGCACCACCCAACACACTAAAATGGGTCATCAACGTAGACTTGGAATTTGTGTTGGTTTTGATTATCCATCTATTGTTAGATATCTTGAGCCTCTGACAGGTGATGTCTTTAAAGCATGATTTACTGACTGTCATTTTGATGAGACTGTTTTCCCACTATTAGGGTAAGAAAAGGTACAACAGCAACGTGATCTTACTTGGAATGCCCTGGAATTGTCTCATTTTGATCATTGCACGAATCAATGTGAACGAGAAGTTTAGAGGATCATTCACTTGCAAAATGTTGCAAATCAATTACTTGATGCATTTACTGATACAAAGAAAGTAATAAAATCACATATACCAGCTGCAAATATTCCAGCACGAATTGCTGTCCCTGAGGAATATTCTGTCAGTAATGCAGCGAATGCATTTAAAACATACTTGAAGCATGGCAGACCAGTCGGTGCAAAAGATACTGTTCATCATAAGAGGAAATCACAAAGAAAAATTGGCACTCCTGAAGAGGCCACAAAGGAGCAACAGATATTATTGATCAATTTGAGATTATAACCTTTGATAAGACAGAGGCTCTTGATGAGGCCCAGATACCTAAAAATGATGAAATAATAAATATTGATGAGGCAAAGGAAATAGATGATGATATGACCCTTGATGAGACATATACCCTTGATGAGGCAAAGGTACCTGAAAATGATGAGATCTCACTAAATTATGAAATGAGATGGAATAGAATGAAATTGTTGTCGACAACATATTCTCATATGTCGTTGCTTTTGATATTGATAATCAGGATCCAGAACCTCAAAACGTCGAGGAATGTCGACGAATAAATGATTAGCCAAAATGGAAAGAAGCAATACAGGCAGAGCTAAATTCATTAGCTAAACGTGAAGTATTTGGACCCGTAGTCCAGACACCTGAGAGTGTTAATCCTGTTGGGTACAAATGGGTATTTGTACGAAAGCGTAATGAGAAAAATAAAATCGTGAGATACAAAGCCCAACTGGTAGCTCAAGGTTTCTCACGGAGACCTGGTATTGATTATGAGAAAACATACTCCTTTGTGATCAATGTATCCACATTTAGATTCATAATACATTTGGCAGTCACAGAAAGATTGCATATGCATATAATGGACGTGGTTACAATATATTTATATGGATCACTAGATAGTGATATTTATATGAAAATCCCAGAAGGATTTAAAATGCCTGAAACAAAACCACATAGTATGTACTCGATAAAATTACAACGATCCTTATATAGATTGAAGCAATCTGGACGAATGTGGTACAATCGCCTTAGCGATTACTTACTTAAAGAAGGGTATGTGAACAATCATATTTGTCCATGCATTTTTACTAACAAATCAGAATCTGGTTTTGTTATTGTTGCAGTATATGTTGATGATTTGAATCTTGTGGGAACTTTGGATGAGATCGAAAAGACGGCCACTTATTTAAAGAAAGAATTCGAAATGAAAGATCTTGGAAAGACAAAATTCTGCCTTGGGCTGCAGGTTGAACATTTTTCGAGTGGTATTCTCATCCATCAATCAATATATACAGAAAAAGATCCTGAAACGTTTTTATATAGATAAAACATATCCATTGAGCTCTCCAATGGTTGTCCGATCACTTGACATCAACAAAGATCATTTTCGTCCTCAAGGATGATGAAGAACTCATTGGTCCTGAAGTGCCCTATCTTAGTGCGATTGGTGCTCTTTTGTATCTTGTAAATTGCACAAGACCTGACATAATTTTTTCAGTCAATTTATTAGCAAGGTACAGTTCTGCACCAACCCGTAGACATTGGAATGGAATCAAACACATATTGCGATATCTTCGTGGCACAACTGACATGGGATTATTTTATTCAAAAGCACCAAATTCTCAATTAATTGGATATGCAGATGCCGGCTATCTGTTTGACCCACAAAAAACCTATTCACAAACAGGATATACGTTTACTTGTGGCGACACAGCTATATCATGGCGATCTATGAAACAGACAATGATTGCAACTTCTTCAAATCATTCTGAGATACTCGCACTTCATAAGGCAAGCAGGGAATGCATTTAATTGAGATTAATGATCCAACATATTCGAACAACATGTAGTCTTTCATCAATAAAAGATAGCCCAACAATATTATATGAAGATAGTGCAGCATGTATTGCACAGATGAAAGAAGGGTATATTAAAAGTGACAGGACCAAGCACATCTCACCAAAATTCTTTTTTGCACATAAACTCCAGAAAAAGGGTGATATTAATATTCAGAAAATACGTTTATGTGAAAATTTAACAGATCTATTCACTAAAACGCTTCCAACTACAACATTCAAAAAGCTAGTTCACGACATTGGAATGCGTCAACTGAAGGATCTTCAGGGATGAACTAATGCAACAATAAGGTGGAGCAATTGATCGAAGAGGTATTGGCATATTGTACTCTTTTTCCTTCGTCCAGGTTTTGTCCTATCGGGTTTTCCTGGCAAGGTTTTAATGATTTAGTTTTAATCTATGCAATATCATTTTCAGATACACAAGAATACTGTACTCTTTTTCCTTCGCTAGGGTTTTGTCCCACTGGGTTTTCCTTAGTAAGGTTTTAACGAGGCATATTCTTAGTGTAGTATTGTGGATTCTAAGAGGGAGTGTTATATATATATCTATGTTTGTGTGGGATCCACAATGGTTTAAGTCATCCATGATGACACTTTTGACTTGAAGAGGAAGATCACAACTAAGGCTTACAGTGGAAGCTTCATAAGGCTTACAGTGGAAGCTTCATTTTGAATCTTACAGAGGAAGGCTCATTTTGAGCCTATAAATAGACATATATGTATTGATTTGAAAATTATTACAGAAAGCATATAAATGAATTTCTCTTGTTTTCTCTCTTAATCCTACTATATATATTTATTTATTTATTATATGACCAAGTTTGATTTTGTTTTATCAAAACAGTTTTCAAAAATTTAGATTTTTTTAAAAATAATTATATGAAAATAAAATATTTTTAAACTGAGTTTTCAAAAAAAGTTTTTAGAAAGTGTCAGCCAAATAAATTTTTTTTCCCTTAAAAGTTTTAGATTAGATGATCCACTACTTCCTTGATTTAATGTTCATAAGTGGTTCCGTTCAAATTCAAAAATAATGTTATGGGTATATTTAAAAAACAAAAACAAAATGTTCGAAAATTATTTATGTCATCAAAATAGCTGTTTGAAATATAAATTTTGCCCTTAACAGACAAATAAAGTAAGAAAAAAAAAAGAAACTAATAGATTGGGACAATTTTTTTAAGATTGGTTAAAAAGTCAAATAAATATTTTAATAAAACTCTAAAACAAACGTCAATAAATAAAGAATTTGTAACTCTCTTTTAATTAGAAGGCTCTCTCAACAACAACTAGCAAGTCACCATTAAGAGACGTCTTCTTTTACTTAAAAAAAAAAAAAAGAAAAAAAAAGGAAGAAGAAGAAGGCAGGTTTCTTTTTATGCTAAAATAAACCTTTATTCAAGCTAAAAGTAGTAATTATTGATACATACCAATTACTCGCAAATTACACGATTAAAAGAATCCAATATCTAATAAAATCAAACTATTATCTCAACCAAAAAAAAAAAAAAGTGACCACAGAATGCAAATGATTATTATTATTTTTTATTAATTTTAATCTAAAAACCACAAACCAATTTCTTGAAACCAATGGAAGTTAAATCAAATTACACATTCCAATAAACACAGTACATCATTGAATTGATACTACAATGGTTGCAGCTTCAAATTTGAGAATTGTGGTTAGAATCCAACCAAGTTTCTGCCACAAAGTCGCAAGATGTTTGTTCGGGTGATTCCACAGCAACCACCGTTCATTAGAAGAAATGCAATCGGAGAGCGCAGAGCCATTAGAAGAAATGAAAATTGGTGGAGTGATTACCGGCACGGCACACATTTGATTACTCGGTGACTGCTTTCCCTAAGCTCGCCATGTATGTCATGTAAATAGTCCATAGATATGCAAACGTGTTGCTCGCCAATGGCTGCATTGTGAAAACACCAAGAACAAAAATCACAAGTTGATAGAGCAAATTATTTCCATTACTAAGCATGGACTTGAATCTCTTTAGTCCATGAGATTTCACCAAGACATCTCTTGGGCATCACAGCTATATGATTACTTAGAGTTGTGGTTATTGGAAATGAGTCTTATTTTCCTCTTTAAGTAGATAAATGATGAGATATCATGAATACCTGTAAGTGAACGGGGATGAACTTGAACGTCACAAAATCACACAGCGGCCAGTACATAGCACCGTTTATCATAGCAGGAAGCAAGTCTCGCTTCAATCGAGCGATGATCTCTGAACCATTTTCACCTGAGTTTGGTTGGAATGTCCATCACAAATATTTTAGTTAGAACACCACAGAATTGAAGTAAACAGTTCCAGGGAGCAAAGGCCTACTCTCACTTTTCAGAAAAACTAGATATTTTAATATTTTTTGTAATCAGAAAGGTAAGGCATGTTTCAATAATAGCACAATAAAGAATAGCACCATAACTGTTTGATGTAGATGTATACTGTGAGGGAACGAACCAACACACCATGTGATAAGAATTCAATTCCAAGACACAGGTCTAATACAAACGTGAAATTTGAAATATATATAATAAAAAGGAACACAAGAACATTAATTAAGCAAACCAATCCTTCACATAACATTGATAAAGACTACCTTAAAGGCAACAGCCATGTCAAAAGGGAGGATTCGACTTCCATTACAGAAAAATAAACGACACTGTTAAATATGTCTGAATCAATGAACTGCAGCAGGAGTCTATCATTCTAATCCCAAGACTTCCTTAAAGTAGATTATCAGCTTCAGGGTTACTTATTCAGAATATAGTTTTCGTATTTTTCAGATGTGGCGCATTATCATCCCTATAGTTTGAACTTTAAATAATCAAATATGTAGTTGAGTGTCAAAGCCATTGTAAATGTAGTGGTAGAAAACCAACAGGCCAGTGGTCTAGCGGTTCCAAGCCCCTACTTCTCAAAGAGAGGTCAGGGGTTCGAGCCTCAGTGGAGGCATGTGTGTGTGAGTACCACCAACTAGGAAAAAAAAATGTAGTGGTAGAAGGCTGGCATGGCATCCACAGAAAGAGGTGTGGGCCTAAGGGCTCATTTCTTACCCTCAGTCTGAAGTCTGAAGGGGTTTAAAAAAGTAGTACATTACATAGTTGGGCAAAGAAATAGACCTTAACACTAGAAATGGAAATATGACAGAACCATGTGGTGCCATGCAATTCTGCTATATTTAATAATACGATAGTGCTGATTTGTAGCTCAATGCAAATTCAATCTGTTGAATTTAACCAAAGAGGAGCCATGGCCACCACTGTGACCGTCTTAACTGGTGGTGGCCAGTCCCTTGCTCTGTTGATGAGAGAGAGAGAGCAGTGCCGTGTAATAAGTTGCAAAGAATTGACAATGACCAAATAAAAGTGAGCAAGGACAACAGTACCCTAACACTTTTTTGGAAAACAAAGCATTGCTGAAATTACTAGGCCACAGCCTACAGGAATTGCCAATGAGGGGAATAGATCAATTGTTTTTATTCAAAACATAATTTAGCCCAAACATGATGACTTGAATATACCTAACAACTGAAGCGGCCAAAATTCAATAAAATATGGATAATCCAACTGATTTAATTGTTCAAACCATATATTCTGGTTAAATCAAGTATAGTAATCATGGTATACAAACAGCATTCTTAGAGGATTCAAGTGTCACACCAACATAATCGGATTTCAGCCGTATCAACATTAACTTATAACATTAAAAGCAAAAATGATGACAATGAGTCATGTAATATTGATTTGCTCACATTTTGCTTTTCTATCTGAAATTATAAGTTCCATTCATCATGATAGTAATAAGATCAACATTCACTATAGAATCGAATAATTGCACTTCATTGGCTACCTTCAAGATGTACTTGATGCCTTTCCAACAGGCCCATTAGGATCATCAAGTATCTTGAGCTCATCCCATATAAAATCTAGATGCATTATCTTTCTACTAGTATGCATGTGTTTAGCACAGACTTGAGTTCAATATTAACTGAATTATCCATAAAATTTTACATTTCAGCTTGATTAGTAGGACCAGGAACAGCATATAAACTTCTTCCTATGGATTTGTAAAATTTGTAAACTTGCAAAGGAGAATAACTATTAAGATTGGATTAGAAGTGCCGAGATCTATTTGTCAGTCATTTACATTTGGAAATATATGTTATTTATTAATTATGAAAGTGTAATTTTTTTTGTTTACTAGACTAATTGACTACCTTTGCCCACAATTTAGAGGTTATAAACTAGATTAATAGCACCATTATAAAAGATATAATAATATATTGTTGATATTGTATTCTATCAAGAACAAATCCTATAATAATATAAGATGGTTCGTGTCGTATTCTAAGAAAGTATATATATATAACCTCTCTCTATATATATGCATTAATATGTATAGGCAATAGCATAACTATTTACAGTATATATTAATCAAGAAAAAGTCCCCAATCACATAGCACACATAACATACAAAAAAACAAAACTCGAATTAAACAATGACATTTAAATAAAGAACACTGAGTACCTTGTAAAGCCGCATTCACGGAGAAGAAAACAACAGCCATAACAGGACTATACATTGTCTGCCCCATGACAATTTTTTTCATTGTAGTCACTAGATCACGCTTCGGAAGTACTTTTGACACAAAGTTGAACCAAAAATGTAGTGATGGTCCTAAAATTACCATTCCAAATCCAGCCATGCGTGATGTCCTCACAAGATCATAAGTTTCTGAAGATGGTTGTGCAATTGTCTGAAGAGAAGTAGTAGTGATGAGTGACATCAAAAAATAATGATACCTCAGATATCAAAACTCCTCAAATAATGAAATTCTCAAACAATGATAATTATATACAATGACTCCTCAAAACAAAATGGATAAATAACAGACACGTTTGCAATCACCTTGCACACAAGCAGAAATAAAACACACACACTCACAGAGCTGCGTGCAACATTTTGTGTTAGAGATTAACCAAATCTTTTTCTTGCAAAGTTTATTGTAAGAGAAAGAACAACGGGCAATACAGTGTGGTAAAATGTACAAGAATAAAAAAGTAATTGGTTAAGCAAGCAGACAAACTTGTCCTCGGAATGCAAAGGGAAAATGAATAGAAGAGAAATTGAAATATAGAGAGAGAGTTCACATCACATAGGACAGATAAAGCCAGCATATATGACTTTAAAATTCTATTTTCTAGTACAACCAGCTGTTAGCTTGAATAGTATCTCCTTCCACTTCCAAATAGGGGTTGCAACGTCAAGTTTGAGTTGGAATGCGGGTGCAGTGTGGTACTTAAAAGAAGAACATGAAGAAGAAGCCAACTATTTTTTAGACCATTCAAAATTGTTTTTCTTGATGCATTGAACCCCCAAATAATGCAGTGTTGGTTTATTGGCTTTAGACCAGAGGCAGATTCAGATAAGATAATAATAGTGCAGCAATGATTTGTAATGGAAGGACTGAAAAATAAGTCAAGGCTGCATAAGAATTTGGCAACTTGAGATTGTAGGCAAGGATGTCTCAAAAACAACATTTCTATTGACAACTTCACCATACCCAAGGGAGAGAAAGAAAGACCCTATAGAACTAGATCTGGAGATTCGTGTAATTGCATGCCTCTGAGATGTCACGTGAACATGCATTTAAACATATAGGAGGTAGAAGGGAAATTTTATTAGACAATTTTATAAGACCAGCTCATAGGAGATGTGGCTAGACATATTGCGTTTGATGGGTCTGCCTTCTCGTTTGCTGCTAATTATTTTCAAGATAATTCATGCAAGTCCCTTTCACATGACTTCCTAGCCACATCACCAGCGCATCTACTGAGATGCTTCCATGTGCCCAACCTAACTTCCTACCATTTGATCGCTCTCCATCTGCAACAGTTGATCCCAAACCTGCCCGCAAAAATACTCAACCAACATTCCACCCTCTAGAACCCACCATATGTTCACTATAATAGGTCTCAAAACAAGACACCACAATGGCATGAGGCCATGCAATACAAGTTTCACTGAGAAATAGCACATGAGTTCTCACACTCCATCCAAACACCATCACAACATTGTTGGAAGGTATAAGGCAGTAACTGTTTCTAAGAGAAATGATCAACAACCCAAAATTGACTAAAATGAGACATTAAGTCCTTTTTTGCAATGGAAACCTTATCAGAAATTCAAAATTCAAGCTCAGTTTGTATGGGGAAGTGGAACCATATCACGATTGTAAATAGATAACCGTCAGATGTAACCAACATTTAAGTTTCAATTGTGCAATTACAACCTGGCAAACCTCCCAATTGCATGAACAACCATGCTTCAGCTATTGGTTTTCGTGAACTTTTAGATTATGATTTCAAGGTTATAACAATGACGATTAACAAAATAATAGAGATAAATAATTTCAAGATACTAATAGCATGTCAAACATTAACTGTTACAATTGTACTTCTCTCTGAATCACTATAAATTACCTTGATTTTGGAGTGAAAAGTCTTATTTAGGCCCAGAGAGAAGTTGTTTCTCCTGATCATTTAATTTCTCTTCTTTTCTCTCCTCATTAAGTGAACCACATTGCGGCAAAGAAAAAGGTTTAAAAATTCTCATCTCTTCTCTTCAAGTTCCAGGTACTTATTAATTGTGCACGGTCCTCCTTTTATTATTATTATTATTATATATGAAAGAACTTTATTCTTTGGAGGAACATTGAATATGAATGAGTTAGGTAATCTAATAGATTAGATTAAGTAAAACAAACCCAGCTGGCCTATAGCTATAAGATGGGGGAAATGAAACATAAAAAAGTAAAAGAAAGCAACCTGAGTAGAGAAAAAGAGGCTCGTCACAATATTAACTGGTCCCAAAAAACAATAAACTACCAAATCCACACACAATATACATGCGTATAAGCAAGCAATCCTCGATATTTCTAAAAGAAAAACAAATAAACCACCACTAGGAAAACTTAACACACACACAATTTTCCCAACAATCCACAAACACTCACTTTTATTTTCTTTTCTTTTTTAATGCCTGAGAGCTGAGAAAAAAGTCTTGTCAACGGATCGGATCAACCAAATCCATAGCCGACTTGTTTAGCTAACAGGTTATTGATTGAATGTTCTGATCCATATCCTAATTAGCTCAGACATGTCTAGGTTAGATACTTAGATGGAGTGAAAAATTGTTAATATATAGATGGGCAACCAAATAAATCTAATGATAAAATATTAACATATATAAATTTAATAGTAGACAACTAATATATATATAATATTCATATATAGTATATTGTAATATAATAAATATATATAATTTTAAGGAAAATGATTCTTGCACCTAATAGTTGCAATAAATTGCTAGTACTTTTTTAATTAGTCAATTATGTAACAAATAAGAAAGCGGAGCCCTCCACTTAGTTATATTTGGTATAAGTAGCAGATTAAAAATGATTAGGTTAGACAATTCACTATAAGTGTGTTCGGCATGACTATCACTACTCTAATTTTAATCCAATTAGATCAGGATCTGATTACCTCTAATCCATATTCGATTATTGAAATATTTATTCAATTCGTATTCGGATAATCAGATTGGATTCAGATCGGATTAGAATCCGAATCCATTGACAGGTCTATGAGAAAATAAAAAAAGAAACCATTCTTTTTATGCCTAAAAGCTGAGAAATTAAAAAGGAACACATACAAGCTAGTTGAAAATTAACAGCACAATAATGTGCTTCCCTTCTTCACAGCAATTTGACTCCATTTAGGCATTCAATGACACTGACACCCTAAGCTTTTACTAGATCAGACCCACCAAACAAGCTCCAATTACATATATTTCAATTTAATAACAACCCAGAACTCAAATTTTACAATTCCTAAATAAAAACATATTCTTTAACCTCATTACATAAATATAGTAAAAATTTCCCGGAAAATATGAAGGCATTAGGGTATTTTTACCTGAGATGACAAATCGGCGGCAGTGTAAATAAGAGCACAAGTGATGCTTTTAGTGAGAATTGGTCGAGACTTGACCATCCCCAAATACCACCCAACAAACCCAATCGTTGAAGACGACGAGCTCGTTGAAGAAAACCGGGAAGAGAGTATGTTGGGAGGAGACAAGTCGAAGTCTTTGAATTTTCTGTAACAAGATTGGCGAAATATGCCATAGGCTTTCGATTGTTGCTGGTGTTGCCTCCGGATAATCGGAGCTCCGATTGAGTCGGCGATTGAAGGTCTCTGCATCAACAGGTTCCGAACTGAGTAGTGGCTTTTGCAGCCATTTCTTAGGAAGACAGCCATCTTCTTTATCTCTATCTCTATCCGGATCAGTGCTTTGTCCGGGTTTACTCTCACTCTCGCTCTCGTTCTCTCTCTCACTCACTGCTTTTTCTTTTTCTTTTTTAACTGTAGAAAGAGAACTTTTAAAAACTTGAGAGAGAGAACGTGCAAACCAGTGCTGGTGGGAAATTTAATTATTTAAATAAGTGGTGTTGATTTTATTGTACTTCCTCGAGGACCTCGAGTGCCAACTTGAATTGTACTCGCTCCATAAAAAATTCGAAAATAGGTTTAAAATGAAAAAAAAATAAATTATGATTTATACTATTTAAAAATACACACACATTTAAATATAAAAAAATAGGTTTATGATTATATTAGGGCAACTATTTACGGGTTTTGTAAAAGAAGAAAGTTGTTTAACCCAAAAAAAAAACGATATATGGGTTTTTGTGACTGGGTGGGTGTAAGCGATAATTTCATGTCAAGGGGTGGATGATCATGCATCCACTTACATTGCTTCATTTGCATCCTCGAAAGAGGATTTATCATTTTTTTTTATATTAAAAAATATGTTTTTGGTTAATGATAAATTAAAAGTTTGCCTAGTAATTCTCACATTCCAAAAGTAAAAGTAAGCTTTCAAGTTTTAAAGAAGAATGTGAGTATGTTGTTTGTGAAAGAAAAGAAAATAAAATTATTTATGTCAGTAAAATGAGTTTTAAAAGTATGGTTTTTGCACTTGAAATATATGTAAATGCAATATATAATAATAATAATGAATAAAATAGTGTTGGTTATGCTGGTATTATTTTAATATTTTATGACCTTGATTGTTGAATTGTTATATTTATAAAATAAAAAAAATAGAAAAAAATGAATGACGGCCTTAGTAACAAACTCGTTATGTTATTATTAAGAGACATTTTCTTTTATTAAATAAAAGAAAAAAAGAAGAGAGTTTCATTTTATGCTGAAATAAATTATTATTCAAGCTAAAAGTAATCAATGTTTACAAATAAACTCAAGCACTGATGCATGTTTTTATAATAAATGTTTCAAGTTTGTTCAATTCAAAATTAGTTAAGCAATTAAAAGAATTACATTATCATGTCATTATGTAAGTGCAAGTACAATAACGATACTTAAATGAAGTGTAGAGTTCAACTAAAAATAATCAAGTTAAATATAGAAGAACTACAGTGAAAAATATGAATATGTTTAATTCAATCTCTTAGATTAATTTTTTACCATCTTAAAAAAAAAAAAAAAAAAAAAAAAAAAAAAAAAAAAGAATAATTGGAAATTTAATTTGGTTGATAGCTTTCTAAAAATTCAACTAAAAATATCTGAATTTAGGAACCATTTTGTATGATTGTTGAGATTTATTTATTTTTCGGCATAAATAATGAAATTTGTTTATTGGAAATTGAAACAAACATTCCAATTTTGATTGATATAAAAATATATATATTTTTTCAATTTTTTACGATTCCAATTTTCCCTTTTTTGGTTGGTAAGGCCGTAAGGGTAACAATTTATACTCAAACTCATCAAACCGTCCAACGCCACTCATTACAATTAAATTATTTGGATACTCAATTTGTTTGAGTGGATAATTAATGGGTAAATAAATGGGCACCATACAATTAATGGGTAAATAATGGGTTAAAATGGGTACCCAACTTAACCCACTCATTCTATCTAATTTGGAAAGTTTCTACTTTGCTGAGAAGCTTTATCATTATTGAACTAATTTGAAGATTACAAGAAGTTGAGAGACAATTTTATTTCAGTGTTTAATCTTATATTTTATCCTTTTTTGTTTGCTTTTTTATATGTTTTAATTTATCTTTTTTTTTTTTTTTTTTTGATAAGTATATATATTTGTGTGGCTTTTTAAACTTTTTGTTTCAAGTTTGGCTGACTAGGTACGTCTTCAATTTGAACAGTCTTTTTATATGAATCAGTAGATTTACAATTTACGAACTTCACGCAAAGAATAATTTGTCTTATATTTAATATTTGCAATAAATTGCTTCTCCCGGTAATTTCCTTTTTTTTTTTTTTCATGCTTATATAATGCGCAATACCCCATTTTATCTTTATGTTTATATCCTAGAGAGTATGCAACTCATTAATAAAAGTTTGGAAGAACAAAACTGTTTATAGATTTTTATTTTCTTTTATTTATTATTATGGTGCTATTGGCTGAAGAAATGGGTATAGGACAGTGACAGTCTCGTGTGTAAATTTTGATGGCATATTTAGTTAGAAGAGCTGAATTGGTATTAATATGCTGTTTATATTATGTGTCATTTTCTGCATGCTCTTTGAATTTGGGTAGATGAATTTGCTGAATTTGGAGCCTTGTTGTTCCTCGTCAAATTAAATTAAATTATTTGGGCCTTAATTCATTAATAATCCACTATTGATGGATTAGTAATGAATTATTAATCCATCCACATTTAACCCATTCAATACCCGTCCAAAACCCAATCAACGGAACTTTTGGTAACACATATTTTCGCCAATCTCTACCACATCAACAAATTGATTCGTCTCCCTTTAGTCCTTTAGGTACACCGTCGCATTTTCGACACGTGTCTTTCTGGTCCTGAAACTACTTACAAAAACGTTCATTGCAATTACGTCCCTGGACCAACACAAATATGTATTTCGCTACCAATTTTCTCGTATTTATATTTATATGCTTTATTTTGCTCTCGTGACCTTGTATAACCCATTAAACCCAAAACCCACCTTACTTTTTTTCTCTTCCTAGAAGACGAGAAATTCCACTAATCTACAACTTCAAGGGTCAAACCAGCCAGCCTTGAATTATGGGCAGAAAATAAATCATAGTATATCATCTGAACTAAAAAAATAAAAAAATCAATATAAAGTAGCGTACCTGTTTTGTTCACTTTTTTTTTAGGGTTTAGTGTAGGGCCTGTTTTTGGTCTGGTTGGAAGGAAGGGCACAAGAGATTTGTTATATATTTTTTCCTATTATTGTTCTCTCATTAAGTGGTTTAACAAAGTAATTATGTAAATAATTGTAAGGTAAAATGGCATTCCAATATTTATGAAACCCAATTCTGAGGGATGAAAAAATGCGGGCAAGATCCCCTACTTGCTCTGTCCCTCTCTTCCCTTCCTCTCAACCAAATGAAAGAAGTTTCTTTTCGTCCCTCCTTCCGCATTCTTTCCTTCCAACCAAACAAACAAAACATTAATTTGCCAGGTAAAATACTCATGACAACTAAATTTGTATAATCCAAGAATGTTTTGCACAAAGATTGATTGAACTTGGGAATTTCAAGCTCATTATTATCGTATTACTCTTGCTAACTTAGGTTGCCACAACGTTTGTCACTGCTAACATATAGAATGTAAAGACACATATAATCTGTCGTTTATAATTTAGTTGTATTCAGCATAAAAGCATACAATGGAGAGTATCCATTAGCATTTCTAGACTTCTTCAGCATCCAAAGTCATAGGGTACCAGTCCTTTCAGCTCAGGTCCATTAAGTTTGTTGTTTTCAAAGCTGCAACAATTGCAATTAAACTCAGATTATTATAAAAGACAACAAATGAGACTGATTTATCACTAGATCAAAATTACATATGTTAAAAAGATTCTTATCTACAAATGCCTTCAACTTCAGATTAGTAATTGATAAAAAAAATTAAAAGAAAAAAATTGAAGGTGGAACTTCTTTTTTAATGAATGTTGCATAATTTAAGAGGGTCAAGTTCCTCTAAAAAAAGGGAAAACCTAGTGCACGAGGCTCCCGCCATTGCAGGTGGTAAGGGTCAGAAGTCACTCTCCATGTAAATTGCCAAAATGTTAGAAGAAAGATGCAAACAAATACTTGCTAAAAACAAAAAAAGGGCCCGAACTAGCCTCACTCATTGCACAAAGGCATTAATCTTTCACACAATTTAAATTTCTAACACAAGATTTCCATATCACAAAAGAAGTAGCTACTGTCACATATTCTTCATCCCCTCTCATTGTAGCTAAATAGCAATTAAAGTTTATGTATGATTTTAGTCTTTCCAGCAAAGAATTAAAGGAATGATCCCATCTAAGCATGAAGGGAAAGCTGATAGAGAAGATTTTATGGTCTTCCCTAAAGTGATGAGTGACTTCAAGATAAACAAGATAGTTGAATAACTCATAAATGATGAAGTTATATCTGCAAGATTCCATAGTGACAAGATAGTTGAAAAACTCATAAATGATGAAGTTATATCTGGCACAATTCCATAGTGAGCATGCAACAAAAAGGAAACGAAAAAGCCCTATCTTAACCTCCTGCGTCCATGCTTACAAGAATTGGTCCGCATTATTTATATAACTTTTGAACTCTTCGAATCGAGCTAAAATTAAAAGTGGGGAAAATATTACGGCTGCTTGGATAAAGAGAACTACATGCAGAGTTAACCAAGGCAGGGGGAGGGTTGTAGGGAAGAGGGGTCTAAGAGTCATTGACCTTCACATACTAGTTATTTGCAGGTAACGGGTAACCTGTGACATATTGACAAATGATAATGACTTGAAAGGATTTCCATAATCCCACCATCACAACTGGTGAGATTTCCAAGAGGCTGCTAATTTTGTCTGCTTAAACAATGTCATAAGAAGCGCCATGAGAAATGAACATACTTGAAAAATGTATTCACTTGGATGGGATTGATATTCCAATTTTCAAGGGACAATTCAAGGATTGATTAGTGGTCAGCACTTCATTTCCCCTCTTCTACTAATCTTCCTCCATTTCTATAATTAGTGACCTAATAGTGTCAAACATTTATGTTATTACACTAATGAAAATTTATTTAAAACATAGGTCATGCAAAAAATATGTATTTAGCTTTTTACCCAACCGCAAGTTGGGCTGGCCCAACCCAGTCCAGTCCCAACCCAACCTCAACCCGAATCGTTTGGGTTGGGCCAGCCCGAATTGTACCCAACATGGGTTATGGTCAAAACCCAGCCCGAATATTATCGGGCTGGCCGGGTCGGGTTGAGGTTTTTTTTTTTACAATTTTTTTTTCCCTGAAAATTTATATATATTTGATTTATATATATATTATATATTTGATTATATTATTATTAAAAAACAAATTAATTTTAGGGCAAATCATTTTAGCCTCCCCAATTGCCTCCATCTTTATACTAGTTCTCAACTCTGAACTTGTATCCTTGAAATTACTTGACATCCACAACATTATGGGTAACGAGGAATTACTTAACATACTTCTAACCATATTCATAAGAGTACGATTACGCCTTTTTGCTACACGCTTCTGCTGTGGCATGCATATTATAGTGTATTGAGCACAAATGCCATACATTTTAAGGAGTTTAACAAATGGTTAGAGTATTAACCTGTTTCATTATACTTTCCATAATATTCACCACCTCTATATGACCTTATGATTTTCCCTTTTCTATCTAGTTGTTTTTTTACCTCATTTATGTATACTTCAAGAGTACCCACTGCCAACCCCCCCTCCTCTCTCTCTGCAACTGCAAACTACAAAATCTACAAGAATCAGAAGTTCAAAACCCATATATTTCAGTTTATCTATATCAAAAGTTCAAAACCCATATCGGCATATGATTTCAGATTATTCAAAAAATCAAAACCCATATCTTTCAGTTTCCATCGCCCGCTGTTCCAGTTCGGGTTCGCCGTTCGCAAGCTTGAGCCGTTGTCTCTCAACTCTCAAGCTTGCCCCCCCCTCTCTCTCTCTGCAACTGCTAATTTGTATGTATGGGTTTTGTTTTAATTTTTTGAAGTGACGGTGGCGGCGGCAGAGGGGGAGGGACGGCGGTGGCAGTGGTAGCGGCAGCAGAGGGGACGGTGGCGGCGAGAGAAAGAGAAAGACCCTTGCCAATATGATGCAGTATATTTAAGCATCTTATCTATTTAATGTAAGAGATGCAAAGAAAATGCAACTAAATGTCCACTAATTTAAGATCATGTCATGCTTGACTTAGAGCATTATCTATTTAATGTAAGAATGATTGCAATGATACCTTTCCATTGGAAAATTCCCGAAAGGACCATCAACGGGAATCGTTCCACAGAGATTATTATTAGAAACATCACTGCAACATTCAAGATCAGAATACAACTTATAAGTAAAACAAAAAAACAAGTAACTTTGGGGTAAATATATACTCATAACTTTACATATATTTCCAACTTACAAAACTTTCAGGTCAGAGAGAGTGGCGAGTTCTCTTGGAATTGATCCTGTTAGCTTGTTGTTACTAAGCCGTCTGTACCATCGAATTACATATTCAATCTTATCAGAATGAGATTATCAAACAAGATGAGAATAGTCCGCGTTGAACGCATGGTTGCTTAGAATAAATGTACTTACAGAAATCGGAGAGACTTCAACTTGGCAAAGGACTTCGGGATTTCTCCTTCAAATTTGTTGTCATACATGTCCATGCTCACAAGGTTTTTCAACTTACCCAACTCCTTGGGAATTTTCCCTCCTATATTATTCCTATAAAGTTCCCTGCAAGTAATCAACATATTTACCCCTAGTCACTACAAATACACATCTATGTGTGTGCATTAAATACTAAAAAATGAAGTTCTTCTCTAATTAAAGTTGGGAAATTAAAGGCTTGCTTTTCATTTCTCTGAAATTGTTTTCAGAATTCTGAACAGAAATATTGAGATTAGGCCTTCTTTTTTCAATTCAGCTTTCAGAAAATTGTCAACCAAACAAAATTTCGAACTGTTTTTTTTGTTTTTCAGTTCTGCACCAAGCGGGTCCTAAAATCCTGAATATTTGGTGACAAATATGTATATAATACAAACAATCAATATTATGGTCTATTTCTTTGGTAATGGTAAGGAAGTAGAAAAAAGTTGAAAAAATTTAATCTTTGATGATAAATTAAAAAAAAAAAAAAAAAAAAAACGAGATCCCAAATTATATGCTTCTTTTATTTTGTTTTTTCCATAGTTGATTATCTACCAAACAAAAAGAATTAAACCAAAACCATATAACACATTATCAATCAAAGAGAGAGATATGAATATTACAAGTATTGTAGGTGCTTGAGTTCACCAAGCTCCGGACCCAAAGATCCAGAAATATTTGAATTGCCCAAGTCCCTGAAATTGAAATTAACATAACAAATAGAATCAATCATCAACAAGAAGAATCATTTGAACAAATAAATATATACACACAGATATATATACACACACTTACAGACGAATTACGTGGTTTTTAGAATCACAGGTGACATGGAACCAGGTGCAAGGATTGACAAGAGTTGGATCCCAGCTCTGCAAGACGTTGGTGGGGTCGGAGAGTTTGCTTCTCAAAGCATGCAAAGCATTTCCTGAAAGCAAAAACAAGTCAAAACAAAAACATGGGTAAGATTCATTCTAAGAAATCGAATTGAAAACCCTAGGAAAAAAAGAGAGAAATCAAATCAACTAAAGAAACAAACACAAATTAGATGGTGAATTGACATCAACTGAAAATTGAAGCCCATTAGAGTGGAAGTTGATGATTTTTAGTTACCTTCGGAGTTGGTGGAGAGGGAAGAAGAGAAAGAGAGGAGGAAGGGGAGGAGAAAAGAGAGGAGGGAGGGGACAGCCATTGTAGAGAGAGAACGTAGAGAGAGAGAGAGAGAGAGAGAGTGGAGAAAGGTGAAGAAGCAACAAATAAAAGTGAAGGAAACGGTTTAAAAGGAGAAAGAAAGGAGAAAATGATGAGCCTCAGTCGGGAATTGGGCAGTGTTGTTAGTCAGGTCAACGTTGGAGCATTTACTTTAGTCTTCGAAGTGGGTGGGTCCCATTGAATGGGGGGAAGGAGCTTGGAAGTCCGGCATTTTGCTGACTTTTCTCTCTCCCCACCTGTCCCCACTGCTGGTGGACCCCACTCTGGAAGACCGTGTACACTGCTTGCTTTACAAAACTAACTGCTGTTGTCCGCAGAGGTGAATATTCAAATTTTCACCGGGGAAAATAAATAAATAAATAAAAATACATTAAACCTCTGTTTTAGTTAAATAAAGTAAATTACACTCACCCTTTTCTGATATTTAGTCAATATATATTTTTCTCTTTTTTTTTAGTCAAATTACACTGACTTCATTTTTGAACGTTTGTAATTACGTTTATATTTTTATATATATTGTATTTTATTGTAATAAATGTCTTCCAAATTCCAATATAGAATTGAATTTAAAAATTATAAAATCAGTCACATCAATATATATTTCATTATTAATGAAAAAAATGTGTTATTTATGTACAAATTTCTTAGAACTTTAAAAAAAATCAGTATAATTATCTAAGTATTATTCTTGAATAAATAATAGCTTTGCATCTTCCAAATCAAAATATTAATATTGCAAAGTAGCTTCCGGATATCATTCTCTTCCTATCTTGCCATTAAAATCATATACTGGAATCCGCATTACGTTTTAACTCACTTATTAATATATGGAGTGATCATAATTATTATGGTAAGGAAGTTGCCTTAATAACATCACTTAAAGTTTATATTGGAAAATGTTTCGACTAAGGAGAAAGAGAGTAAAAAAAACAGGGTAGAGAATGTCATTTGGATTTTCCAACATATAGTGCTTTAAGAAAAACGATAATTTAATAATTAGATTAATGCTTTAACCCTGACAAAGAAAAACGTATATTTTTTTTCAAAAAATAAAAAAAATTCAAAAGAGAGTCCAAATGTTGTTCCTGAAGAAATTCTGAAATTGGTACATTTTTAAGAGGCAAAAACAACCCCAACAAGCAAATTAATATATATATATATATATATATATCAAAACAACCCTGACAGGTATAATATGGATCAACCCTGACAGGTATAAATTTACCTTTAGAGGCAGCAGACTCTGAAGGGAAAAATACAATAAAGTGTCTATGGCTGGCATCACAGCTATTAGAGTTCAATGTTGACAGTAACCAGTGCAAACACATGTCTAGCTCAAAAGCGAAATTGCAGAAACAGATAACAAATCATATATCCAGAAGTTTTCATGTACAAGAGGTTCACTGATATATCAGGTACAATTCATGTGGAAAGAAAAGACACACAAGCATGAGAAAGCTTGTCTGTCAAATGCATTGATCAACTGTTTTAGTACATGTAACATCAAAATCACTAGAGTGAGGGAAGCATTTTTTTGGTAAGTTGTTTACTCACACAGATCATCAAGATAACAACACAAAAAAAAAAAAGTGAGATGCCAAAAAAAATTCACAACTCTCTATATAGCTCTTTCTCTTTCCTCTTCTTCAGCTTTAAGCCACGCAGCCTGAACATAATAAGGAAGAAACAGCCATGTCAGTAAAATTGGAAAAACAGAACTGAAGTGTGGAACATCCAAAGAAATAAATGGAAAATCCCAAAACATAACAAAGGATGGTGGGTTTAATTTAGCAAGAGTAGGAGAGAACTTGCCTTGTCTCGTTGCAGTCTTGAGACATGTGGACGTACAGAGTTTCCTAAACTCAATCCTCCCCATGCTTCTTGCAACTCTCTCTCCCTCGCTTCTCTGCGAGATGCTGAATGTTTGATCTCTTCATGTGGTTGCCGAGCAGCAGCCATCTTTTCCCTCTCAAGTCTTGGCTTGTGTTTAACCAAAATTTGGTCCAAACTACCTTCGCCATTTTCCAAATGTGTGTTTGTTTCCCTCCTCTTCAACTTCACTGCTTCCTCCTTCATACCAAACCCCATTTTCTCTTTCTCAAGCCTTGAAACATGCTTCACTAAAACTTTATCTAGACTTTCACAATCTGTAATGTCATGTCCTCCATGTTTCTTTTGGTATCGCTGAAACCTACTGTCTCCCTGCTGTGATGATGCTTGCATTTTCTCCCTTTCCAGCCGATGAACTGGTGGCTTTACCAGTATATTTTCTAAGCTATTTTCATTTTCTTTGCTGTCATCATCCTGTGGCAACGTTTTTGCTGTCTTGCAAATTTCATTTCCACTTAAGCTTCCCAGGTTTGGGGGAAAAGAATCTCCTGAACAATCTGTGGCATTTTGTGGCCGCAAAGTCAGGTTGATATTTTCTTTCCCCACTCCTCCACCTCCATCAGAACATGGAGAAGCTGCACTTCCCTCTGATTGTGCGGATGGAGTAGATTTGTTCAAGTCAGTCACCACCTTGTTTCCTTCATCCTTCTCAATTTTTCTTCTGTTCTTTGCTTCTAGGACCTCCCTTTCAAGTTTTGATACATGTTTCACCAGAAACTTATCTAGACTAGGAACTTCTGTAACATCTTGTTTTGCACGATTGAATCCTTTATTTTGCAACCTGTCAAAATTATTGCCATTCAGTTCAAATGATTTTCCATGTTTCCTTTTTGTCTCTTCAATCTCCTTCTCAAGCTTTGAAGAATGCTTTGTTAGTATACTTCCCAAGTCAGGAACAACCTCTGACGAAATCATATTGCTGTTATAATTCTTGTGTTCCTTTTCATACATATACCCCGAATCCTTCTTTGCCTCTTCAATTTCCTTCTCAAACTTTGAAGAGTGCTTCACAAGAATACTTCCCAAGTCCGGTATAATCCCAGCTGAACTTGTATTATTTACTAAACTTACCTTTCCATTATCAGTAATATCTAAATTCTCTCTGTTTTCTTCCCCGGCCTCTTTCCTTCTGGTGTTCTTCGCTTCTTGCACCTCCCTTTCAAGTTTAGTCATGTGCTTGACCAAGAACTTGTCTAGACTAGGAACTTCTGCCTCAACTTGCTTCTTTCTCATCTGCCCATCCATGAAGAATTCCATGTTTGAGTTTCTCACCATTCCTGCTCCAAGGGAAGACATTCTCCGGGAGACATGATGAGCTGGAGCAGAAGTAAAATCACCAGCAGAGCCTAAATCACGCTGCTTCCAGTTTTCTGCTTCAGCTAGAGCAGCATTTAAACCACAAGTTGCAACTATAGTGGCAAGAGAAGCAAGTTCATCTTCATGCAAACACATGAGTCTTTCCAGCATCATGTCCACAAGCTTTGTCATATTAAACTTCTCAGAGAGCTGCCTCATCTTGTATTTCCTTTGTCTTGCCTCGGCAACTGCCATCTCACAGTTTAAGTCTTGATAACTCAAACCATCCTCCTTTTGAGATCCCGATTCAAGTTCCGACTCCGCATCAGATTCACATTCAGAGGAAACCTCTGACAATTCCTGATTATTTTCATCTGTATCTGGATTTTGACTGATTTTACGCAGCAACTCTTGGAATTCTTCTTTACTTATAGAAGGGCAATTTGCAAGCCTATTGAATGCAGCTTTTACAGCTGCAGCTACTTGTTTATCTACTTCGAATGCAGTTTCAAAAGATGCGGTAACTCGATGAGTAGTAGTAGTAGATCCTCCTCCATTAGCAGATAATGTTTCTATCTCATAATGCTTCCGTGAGCAATCTTGTATATCGTGCATGATCACTCCAACAGCTGTTGCTGCTTCAAAAGCTTCAGCTGTTCTTTTTTCCGCTTCCAACAGTAGAACTTCTGCATCTTTACTTTGAATCCTGAGAAAGAAAAAAGATGAACCAAGAAATGCAGTTTGGTGTGCTCAGAAAACTTAGATTGGCTGACCGTTTCCGAAATTGAGATATAAAAAAAATGCTGAATTTCAGAGAACTATCTTCTGTAGTTCTCAGTTTTCAAAGCTCTTGAAAACTGTTTTCACAGAATAAAATCAAATAGGCCCATCATTTCCTATACACTCTAATGCTTTGTTCGTTAGGAAGGAAGGAAGAGGGGTGGACGGAAAACAGGAAAGAAGGAACAAACTTCCTTCATTCGGTAGAGAGGAGACAAGGAGAGAAAGGATAGTAGGAGGGATGAGTCATCTTTCCTCCTCTACAAATTTTCTTCCCTCCAATATGGGCAAAAGAGAGGATGGAAGACAAGAGGTGCTATTATGGAAGTTTTGAATTACAATACCCACCTTGCTGCTCGAAGTATTCGACACCAAGATGCTTCCACCATTGCAGCCTTCCGAGCCTCCATTGCCTTCTGTGCAGCCTCTCTAACTGCAATTTTTTCTCTCAAGACTCTTGAGTAGTGGGGATTTGAATCACCTAAAGTCTCATCGAGAGTTTTCATGCCACTTACTTCCTGTATTAAGCGAATCAGTGTTAGTTAGAATGTCAAACCTTGTATTTATTCAATAAGCAGAATGGAATGCATGACGCTTCCTACTACCTGCAGGAGTTTTATTTTCCTCTTTAAGTAGGAGTCCACCTTTTTGCGTGGGAACCAGTTGAGAGGTGAACCTTTTCGATGAGGAGGCTTTTTAATTTGTGATGTAAATTTGTTTAGAGCACTCACATTTGACTGGCTAGCCTCTTTCAATGCCTTATTCTGCAGTATTCATTAAATTAAAAAATGGGCACCAAAGAGACTCAACCATGAGAAAGATGAAATAAAAGGATAGCATTTAAAAAAAAAAAAAAACTTCAAAATTCAAGGTTTTTCTTACAACTTGACTAGCATAATAGCAGATAATTTTGGGCCATCTGATATAAGGAAATGATATAAGCAAGCATTGACTTCAAAAATATAGATGGAATTCCAACTCATGAATTCAAGTTCTCTAGCATCTCATAGAGCAACAGTGCAAAACGAATTTCCTACTAATTGTATACACATCACCATTGGAGCCACACACTGTCTATGACAACAGTATCTTGTTACTAAAAGTGATTTTGTAGACATAACGATCCATGAAGTCAAAAAATTTATGGAACTACTAAATGACATAATAACCAACAACTCTTCCAATAAGAGAAGCTTCAAAAGTGGTTAGGAGACTGTTTCTTCTGATCATTAAAAGTCTGAAACTTTATTAGTGTTGCAACTTGCAAGTGTATTGCCTATTGGACAGTCCAAAAGATCCCATTGAACGTGCTAGAAAAACAAGTGGGCATACTGAATATTCGATAGGTGTTAAGGAATCATATATTTAATCTGTAATTTGCAAACATCCATATGAACACTGACAAAATGAACAACTGTATGTAGAGTACAGTATCTTAGGTGTTGTGGCAAATACCCACTACTAGTGATTCAATTGCCAGAAAAAAAGAGGATGATTGATTCATTTAAAGAAACGTCATAGACTTCTTTCTTAGTAAATGCAACTAATCACGTGTTATAGTTCCATCGAGAACAGAAAATTAATGACTTACTCAGAGAACTGTTTCTTTCACAAATCAAAATAGGAAGTGTATGTACGTCCCTTCCTATCCCAAGGCTGGCATAATTCAAACAGAACTTCGAGCCATCAAACTAGCCAGCTCATATTCAATGATTCATCTAAGTCAAACCTAATTAAATTAGCCATGATTCAATGAGAGGTTTTCTCCATGAGTATCAAGAAATAAATGCCCTGACCTATCTCTTTACAGTTTCTTCCATTATCATAGAACTTCTCTAATCAGATTTCATGCAAAATGTAGACCTCAGTAGAAAGAACCATATAAAATTGTTGCCACTTGTATTGCTGTTTGTTTTCTATACTTTGCCTGTACATAATTGAACTTGTTTTTCAAGACTTTTCTGTGAATTAGTAGTACTTGGGGGTAAATAAATCACTAATCACATGCTTTCACCACAACATCCTTCTCAATCAAAATGGAAGCAACCTCCATAAATAGAATTCAATTTGTTTCCTCGTGATATCTTTTTAATGCATAACTATTCTGTAATTCTCAGAACAATTTAAAAGTCAATAAATTTTATTCTTACACTCGGGAGATTTTAATATTCTGAATAAAATGTAATTGACATCTGAATTTAATGGTTAGTATCTATGGATTCTAAATCCTAACAAAGAGAAAAATGAAAGTACACAAGAACAAGAACAGTGAAATTTACCTGTCAGTGTTTAAGATTCTAAATTCACTGATATGAAACCAAGAAAAGAAAAAAGAGTAATGATACACAAACCGATTATACAAATACGCTTAAGATATCAAATTTCCAAAATTAAAACCAAAACAAAAAAAAAAAGAAAAAAGAAGTGAAAGTGAAATTCAATTGTTAGGGTTTTGAAACGAAAACTAAGTGAGATCCAACAAAACAACAGTGATTCCAAGTGAAACACACATTAACAATAGAATACATACCTTTCCGATCTTCGAAGTCGTCATTACAGACTCGTTCGCATTGTTTTCTGAATCAAGAACCGGCTCGTTGCTCTGCTTTTCAATGCAACCCATGTCCAAGCAACCTAGATCCATCGCAGAAAGAAATTTGAAATTCTGACAATTAATGCAAACTATTTAACGCAGAAATTAATCGAGCGATAATGTCTTGAATGAGATTGAATCGATGTATCGACCAAATCGATTGAAGATCTTGAACTTTGTATCGTTGTGGGATTCGAAGAAAGTCAGAAGAGTAAGAGAAAGTGCTTGTGCTCCGAGGTTTTGTTTATGAGAGAGATGCAAATGAAAGTGAAAATTTTTGATACGTTATTCTTGGAATGGAATGTATTTTTGAAAAAAGAAACTATCCGTTACACGCGATTCTTCAGTCTCCAACGGTTCTTTTTTTCCCTTCCATATTTTAGTATACGAGGTCCAGTAGAGTGACAGGTGGATTTGTATATACTATTTTACCATCGCTACAATAATTTAATAATTTATTATTATTATTAAAAAAAAAACGCTCTCTATTCATTAGATGCAACAAAGTAGGATCCATGGGAGACACTTGTTTTATCCTGATGATTGTGTTTTTATCATGCTTATATGCACAGAAGAAAATGTAGTATATGTTTTTGGGTAAATTAAAATGTTTTACAGTATTTTTTTTGGGTGTGTTTTGGGTAAATTACTGTTGAACTCTATTGTTTTGACCTACTCTAGTTTCGTTTGTGAACAGTGTAAAAAGTTAATAATGTCATTATATTATAATAATTTATTAAAAAAAGGACAAAATTATTATTTTAGAAACTTTTGGTCAAAGTCTGAGCAAATATATTTGCCCAAGTACCAAATGTATTATGGTTGATTCTAGTCTTCTAAAAGAGAAAGTCGAAGGTTAAGGACATTATAAGTGCATCAGTTTTTATTATTTCCAAATCTTAAGGAGGTTAAAGTAGATTAAAATTTACAAATATATGTATATATATAATTTGTCGAACCTCATGAGAGATTAGTATAATTTATATTAAATTTTTTTTAAATATGTTAGGTGAAAATTTAATACCAATTATTTCAAAAAATCACCATCATTACGTTAAGAATGTAATGTGAATTGCTTTGAAGATGCAATAGTCATTATTTCAAAATAAAGAGTTTTTGATGAAATAAAGAGGTGTGTGCACAAAAAAGAGTACAATAGGAAAAATTAGTATAGCATAGTAGAGAATCTGAGTCCCTTAAATGTAAGAGTAAGACTATCAACAAACAATTACCCTTTTCCTTTAACGTCGTATAAAAATCTCACTATATTTCTCAAATATTTGACTCCTGTTAAAATAAATATTGGATGCACCGGGTGCAATGACTCACCCAAATTATACGTGCTTGTGCATGCATAACATGCAAGGCTCGAATGAGCCTGGTGCACACACAATGCGCCGAACACGCCCAATACTTTCTCCTCGAGATGGAATCTATTGTTGCTCCTGCATTGAAAATCTTTAAAATGTTCAAATTGAGGTGGTAAGAAAATGCACAACTCCCTAGAGTATTTTAGAAGGTTATAATATATCTTTTTTTTCATGACAAGAAACACTCAATCACTCACATTTTTTTTTCCACAATCTAGCTAGAATCATTTCTCTCTCTTTGACAAAAAAAAAAAAGTTATACCATTAGACTAAATGCCTATTAGCCAACGAAAAAAATAGATAATTTTAGCAAACATGGAATTGGGATGATGAAACTTGGAAAAAATTATTTCACACCGGACGTTTAAAAAAAAGATGTTCATCACCATTGCAGCAATTAAGGTACTCTCATAAAAAAGACTTTGGAAAAGGAAAAAAACAATCATGAAACCGTGGGCAAATAAAGCGAGAGGCTTGTGAAGGGTAGGGAGTAAGAAGGCAGAACATGAGTACTCCTTGGCATGCAAATGCAGTTCAAAGGAGATTTAATAATAAACCCATATGTAAAAATTTAAAGTTTTGCTGTTGCTTGCTTGATGTACTACTTATAATGATGGTGACAAATTTTCCATTTTTCACACAAGGAGGCAATCTTAATGCTCAAAAGAATATATGAATTTTGAACTAGAATGCCTTCTATATGTCACTATAGAAATCAATCCCCTCGCTCTTGATCTCGGATCCACTTTGTAGCCACCCATTTCTCCCCTTTAATCACTGGACAGCTCCCATGAAGAGAAGTCTGAAAAGAATAGTAAATCAATTTGGAAGATGAGAAAAAAAAAAAAAATCATTACAATCAGTGAAACAAAAGATACCAACAAAGTCTTCCCTACAATGCCTCGTTTCATCAATAGCTAAAAAAAAACAAACAAACAAAAAAAAAGAAAAGAAAGTAAAGGACCTTACCTTGTTGGTCACGCCTACTCGGGATCTAGGGAGGGGCAGGCCGGAGTCAAACCTAATCTATCAATTGTCTTTTGCTAAGTGAGTGCTCTTAGGCTTGAAGTCGCGACCTTACCCTAGTCAGCCCTAACTTTCACTATTGAACCAGAAAATGGCCTCTAATGCTTGAAATATAGTGGTCAAATGCAAGGGAAATTAAATTAGTTACTGACTTGCCGTTAGTTTCGTCCACCTTTTTGGCAATCAAATGAAGCCACAAGGAAAAAACAGACAAATAATTCAGTATCCCACTCAACTATATAGGCTTTACGGTTTGAACATTTTTCGGATAGAGGAGCAAGGAGTAAAAAATTGACTAATGGACTAAGCAAAGTGAATATGAGGAAAGCAGTAAGTTTTTGTGATCTTACACTTCAACCAAGAAAGCTTTCCCGGTAAAGTAAAGACGGAGACTCTAAATGAGGCTGAATGATCCAAATGATGCCAATTGGTCCGTCTTAGTTATCAAACATTCAAAGGGAGAAACTTCAGTGGCTGTTGTTCCATTAAAAAGAACCAGAGGGGAGACACATAAATGCATGTGCTCCTTACCTCATTCTGTCTCTCACTCCCTATATTTCCCAACACCTGTGAGAGTTACCTCAACTTATATCACAGTACTCTCTAATAGCTCCAGGTTGCAGAAGTCAAAAAAAGTCAAATCATCAAATCAAACATTCAAAATGAAGTCATATAGTAGCCTAGATAAAGGAAGCATCTCTTGTGGGGCAGACAAGGTACCAGAAACGGGAAAAAATACCGAATGCCATGGGGGACTGACTATATAGTACCTTTGGCCAATGAATAGTCACTACTTTCCTTGAAAATTGGAAATAACTATTCACCATTGGCCGAGGGCACAACATCGTTGGTACTCCCGGGGTTACCCAATACATTCTCAAGAAACAGGAAAGCCTAGCAAGCAAGCATATATTAGGAAGTGGTGCTGACGAAAAAGGCTGCCAGGTTGGGAGGTATAGAGAACCCCACTGAGAATGTTTCTAAAGGGGAATTTTTAAATGGCAATTGACAGCAAGAAACCATAGATAGGTGTGAGGATGTTATAGTGGAATTGGAGGAAAAATTGCACGCCGTGTTCTTCTGCTCCACATTCCAGAATTTAGTAGGGAGTTGGTGATGCACTTTGATAGCAGTTGATCAATTCTCAACATGTTTTAGGAAATTCAACGCCACTGTTTCTTTTCCGAAGGCCATACTTTATAACACAACTGAAGTAGGAGTTTTAGTCAATTGTATCCTTGAACAAGCTCTATATTTACTAGAATAAAATCAATATTAATATTCATAACAATTCAACAAGGTAACTAGTCCGAGAGAAGTTGAATTGAAAAAAAGAACAATTACCCGATCGATTGTGCCATTTGGAAACAATGAATAAAAAAGAAGTCCATCCCCTTGGCGAGGCTTCACTTTCAAACCAATGCATTTTTGGTAATCATAGCCCACACCCATGTTCGAGTCATTCTGCAAATAAAAAAATTAGGATGGTCGCTCATATCTGTCACTAGTGAATCCAAAATAAATGACAAACACAAAAAATTCGAATCTTACCTCGAAAGGAAACATGGTTTCACCACCTTCTTCCACATCAGATAGATACAGCAAGAAGGAAGCAATCTGCACGTGATTAATAAAGTGAAGTGATGGTTCTTGAGTTGTACAGGTTTAACACTTGACACACATCTATAACAAAAGGAAAGCATCTTCTGAAAATTCTACGTGCATGTTTCACATCTATTTCAGATATGTGATGACTTCTCATGTAAAAATCAATCATTAGGTGTTTCCAACTGACATCTCTTGGGTAATAAATAAATTAAATTGAGATGGAAAGAGTGCTGATCACCCCCAATGTGTTTAAATTAAAAAACAAGATAAAAGAATGTACAACTTGTTGGGAAATACATCCAAAAATGATTCCCTCCTTAAACAGACTCTTTAGAGTAATTCACCAAAACCAAACAAATTGAAAATAAGAGAAAAAGAAATAAAAACAACAACAATACATTACTCAATAGAGAACCAAACAAAGCAACTCTGCATGCCTATAAACCCTCAATACACCAAGTAATGACTCTATAGAGTAAATCAGCTAACAAAACAAACTTCCAGTATGAAGCTTTATACACAGAAGTCTCATTTTCAATTTGTTTGGTTTTGGTGAATTACTCTAAAAAGTCTGTTTAAGGGGGGGATCATTAGTGGAAGCAAATCACATCACAAATATGGAGATCCAATCACAAAACAAACAACACGCAACACACAAAAACACAATATTTTTCGTGGTTCGGCCAATCGAACTTGACCTACGTCCACGGAGAGAAGAGATTCCACTAATCATTGATGAAGAGAAGGGATGTTACAACTGTAGAGAATGCACTCACTACCTCGTAAGAAATCACTCAACTAACTCCACCGCTCTTTTTGGGCTTGAGAGCAAAACCCACTCTATTAGGGCTAACAGCAAATCCACTTTCTATGAGGCTATATCCCTCTACTTTAAACATACTCACCACTCTCTTCTCTTCTCACTCACTTCACCATTCTCTTTTCTTCTCTACCTTCTCCAAACAACTCCCTCTCTATTTATAGAGACTTAAACACAATTCCTTAGAGGCTTAGACTTGCCTGACAACAAATTCCTTAGAACGCAAGACAACTACTTCCTTAAAGGCCGAGACTTTCCAAACAAGAAATTCCCATACAAAATACGACTCAAAAGAAAACCCAAGTATTGAAAGAATTTGAGACACAAATCCTAACAAAACTGAAAAGAAAATTTATTATGAGTAACAATTGTGTCATTCATTTTTGCAAATGTCTCATGTTTGTTGAGGCAGAAATCTTACATGTGATTGTGTTATGGTTGCCGTATAACTGATTTTAGTGACCAGTTAGTAGGATTCAGGACAATATAGCAGTTTTGTGTTACCACAATCTAAATCATCCTAACTCCTTTGTATTCGTAGTGTGTGTGCGTGGAGGGTGAGTGGCAGAGAGAGAGAGAGCAGACCACTATACAAATTGAAGAAGGCTGCCATAGTTCAAGCACTTACCACATCCAATAACTCCAATCAGTAAGAAGTATGGATAAAGTAAGTGGTGACTTCCTAAAATATTAAGACATAATGGAGAGATAGAATAATATGTACCCTTTGGCTCTCCTGTGGACCATACTCAGCCGGGTGGAATGCGTCATAATGAGAAACATATCTCTGCCCAATCTCATACCGCAGAATATTAAATGCCTGCAATATGGTGATATCCTGGCATTACTCAGTCTATCTCAGAATGGACCTGTAATAAAAGATTAGTTCAAATTTTCAATGCAAGGAAAGAAAATATTGAACATTCTATGTTAATACATTAATCTCTTCCAAGTATAAAGATACATGTGATTATTTAAAAAGAAAAAATGTGATTATTTGTAACATAAATCTACACTTGGAAACAAGAGTTAAGCTAAAACATGGTTACATTGCACCATAAAGAACGAAATAGCACTACATGTTGAAAATTCTAAATGTAAAGGAAGGGAGTGCAAATGTGCAATTACTCTTAAGTTATCAAAACGGCCATACTGTTTGTCCCACCTATGCGGGGTATTGGGAGGGGTAAAATGGAAACGGCCAAATCTTTGGCATTGATCTGGACAAAAAGAAAAAGGCTCCTCCCAGACTTACACCCATGTGCTCATGCTTGACAGTCTTTTTTAGTACTGCACCAGGTAACCTCCTTCTAGGTTATCAAAATACAACCACAATGGCCCATAGAAAGTTGTCTTCCTTTTTCCCCGATTTTTCTTTTGCAATCGATTTAAGGGAAAGAGTGGCCTGACATGGAGTTATCGTTCAAAGCTTTTTACAGTTCCAGCATAAATAAGCTTCATAATCATCACTTAATATAAACAGTATATTGCCAAATATAATACCTCTCCATGGATCCTTGGAATCATTGTAGCCCTTGCAATTTTTATCTCAACGTTCTCCAAACTTCCAGTTCCGTCTTCTGATGCACTGATAAATGTGCCAGAGCTGTTGCCAAGGAAAGTATTAATTCAAACAGTCAGCAACCAGACGAAAGTCGTATCAACACTCAGAAATAATGAACACCCTCTCTTGGTGTGCCCATCAATATTGGCATATGCAGCACCACGTATTGGTCCATCCGGAATCAAGAGAGAAATGTTTTTACAATACAAACATTTAACTTCCGTTCAAAAAATGAATACCAAAACTCGAATACGAATGAGTATATAAAACCCTAAAGCAATGTTTGGAAGCATGGAATCGGTGTTTTAAAATTGGTATTGGAGGTAAAATAGTTTCCTCCAATTCCATGTTTGGAACGCAAAGTCTATTAAAGATGTAGATGAGCATATACAAGAGAAATGCAGTACTAAATGCAAATAGAGAGAAATGAAGCTTACTAAGTTCTAAGCAGAATGCATAAGTGAGGAATAATACTTTTTGTGATTCTTAAGTAGAATCTAAAAGGAGTCAACCTAAGTATTAAGAAGACAGATAGTTGTTGCCAGGAGGCTTGATACACGGGTAAGTAGGTGACATTAATTAAAAGAAATCAGGTACCAAAATATATAGATAAACCAAATAGACAGGATCCTGCAAAATTCTGAAAGTTAATCAGGAACAATAACGTTAATACTTTATGCAGATTAAAAGTTGGAAGAAAGATGCAGCAAACAAGCAACTGAACCAGATTTAATGACTCAAAGGCTATTGAAGTTGATTGATTCTCTCTAAATGGTTGCTGCAAATCAGTACAAGAATTTCTAACCAAGATACAAAGAGCAAGACATTTTTTATATACGAATGTCTACTATATGACTTCATAAAGGAAGAATATCAATATATTAAGAAAAGATACCTTGTTCTAATTCCCTTGGTAGTCTCAGCAGTTTCTCCCTTCCGAAAAGCTAGACCTGATGGTTTAAGTTTTGACCTTGCCACATCAATTATGTTTTGGCATTGTTCTGCTGTTGCAAAATTAGGAAAATAAAGAGCTCGAGGTTTCCAGCTCAAAACCTGCAATCAAGCTTAAGTATGTAAACAAATGAACTAATGAAAAAAATAAAAGTAAAAAACCGAAAAATTATGATCTTATTTATCCAATAAATAACGCATCCTGAAAGATTCTAGAGCTGTGCAGCCCCTTTTGATCAATCAACTTCTTAATTCAGGTATTCTTTTTCAAATGTCCAAGTTGGTCGGCCAATAAAGAGTTGTACACTACTTATGTGTCTTTTTTTTTTTTTTTTCCATGCATTTTCTCACTCCAACTTTCTGATGGTAAGCTCAACTCAGAAGTACGCATTCACAGAGTTAAAGTCAGCACTTAAACCACAAAGGACTAAGATATTTTTACATAGTCCTAGAATGGAACTGCATAATCTAATAGAACCCATAACAATATTCATGAATGGTAGAACAAAGACATCTTTACTAGATTCCAGTTACAAAGGAGGAAGGGAGATGAATGAGTTAGTAGCAGGAATATAGCATTCTTTCAGGGCTCAATAGTCACTATATAAAAAATTAAGAAGTGAAAATTTAGCCATGTGATTTATTAAGCACAGTTTTTAAATATTTTCAAGTTAAACAGCAAGTTTCTGCAAGCAGTATAAACTATGCTCAAAGGTCAGAAAGAAAAGAATGATTCCTTCAAGTCAATCATTATATTATATTCTTTTCCCAATTCCAATTTTTTGGACAGCTGGACCGGCATGGCAGCACACCACATCTATGACAAAATGCACTGCCCAAATCACGGGGCTCAAGGAATGAATTATCTGCAACCAAGAGCCAAAGACACGTGATATTCACAACAATAGGATTTTGTGTGACTCAGTCAATGGTTATATGCATGTTCAAAGGTATAAACATTTAATTAAGATTTTTTTCAAGAAAATTGTACATTCCCTATTTTCTTGGGCATAATAAACAAAACCCTTCTCTATCTCTTTTAATGTCTCCAGATTGATGAACTCATTTTTAAAAATTGAAAGAAAGGAATAATTACAAATTTAAAATTATACAGTAGTACAGGAGAACAAAATAAAAGAAGTGGAGTGTAAGAAGTATGCCCTAAGATCTATAATCAGTTCGCCGATCCCAAAGAAACTAAAGGGCAGAAAAACATGATTAATTGCATGTTTCTCAATTTTCAAGATAAAAAAGTTCCAAAGTATATACCAAGGGCTGTAACCTAAAGGTACTTCCTCACTTTCCAAAGTAGAAGGTCCAGGGTTAAAGTCTCCATAGGGGCAAAGTACAAAGTAGAAGGTTGATGGTTAAAGTTCCCATAGGGGCAAAGTAGGTGTGTGGAGCATGCTTCTTGCCAAGATATAACCAAAAAAAAAAAAAAGGTCCAAAGTATAGAATAATCCATATTTAACTTAATAGTCCACTGCCTTGAACAATCTTCTAATAAAAGCATACCAATGTAATTTGATTGTGCAACTTGTATACAATTTAATCTTCATGAACCCATTAATACAAACTTCAACTTTGATGAGATGTGCGTCTCTCTCAAATCCTCATCTCACTCAAAGATAAAAAGAGGCTTATTGCTCAACAAGGCATGCTTTGCATATGGATAACTTCTGCATTATTATGAATTAAATAAATCCCCACCACATAACATTGAGACTTCGATTTTAATGAATTATGCTCCTAAACATTTCATGAATGGCTCAAAGGTGGTTTCACTAGTTAATAAACCATCTGATTTAAACTAAAAAATTGGGAATTCAAAAGGAATTTTCGATGGGCAAACTTAATACAGTCTCTCAAGCCGTCATGTTAAAACCTGGGGGAGGGGGAATCCATCGTTAATTCATCAAAAATCCCAAATCATCATTAATTATGCCTCTACCTGTAATAAATCCATGATTATTGTTTCAAAGATCCAATTCGTCCAAACAAAATCACCAAAATGGAGTTTATTCATTTTATTAATCCGCATAGCCAATCTAACATTATTCGCTAAAATCGACTTGATTAGGTCTACAAAATGCAGATTAACAACGAAGAAGATCAAACACCTGAAACGGGATCGAAGTAACCCCAGATTCTCCAGTTTCTCCATGCGGCATCGAATCATCCTCTTCCCCAACCGATTTGAGCAATCTAGGCCTCGATCGAACACCAATTTCATCCTGCAAACACAAACAACAATATATTCAACTCAACTCAATAATACAAACACATACATATGTATATGTATATGTATATGTATATGTATATATATACATATATATATATATATATATATGCACAGAGAGATATAGACCTTAGAGAAGATGATGTGTCCGAAGAGGCCGGTCAAGAAGCAGAGGGAGCAAAAGAGGAAGACAGAGGGTAACCCTAACTTCGACTTGAGGGCCGAAACTCTTTTTCCTTTGGGTTTCATCTCTATGCAGAGGCTATTTCTCTCTCCTCTCTCTTGGCTTCAATTATCAATATATATATATATAGTGAGATTTATTTATTTATTTTTGGACTGTCACTAAAGTTTATATCTGTAATCTAATCTTTGTCTCTGTAATCTTTGATTGCCGGTTCAAGAGATTACACAACGCGATAATGGCGGGAGATTTTCTTCTGTTGGACGTTGAAATGTTGGCATTTTTGATCCTTTTTGTGGCGATAGTCAATGCGGTTTCTGTTCAGGGGAGGTGGGCTAGGTTGAAGGCCCATTCTAAGAATTCTAGAATGCGTTAATTTTGGAAAGGTTATCCATCCAGCCCATTAAATAAACAAGCCGGCCCATGTTTAACCAACCTTGTTTCTTTTTGTCAAAGGTGCTATTTGATAGTTTAATTTGTTTAAGTTAATGAGTAAAGCGTTTATCCAATTAAATGTAAAATTGACCATTTAAAACGGTAAGTATTGAATGCTGAATGTTGAAAAATAAAAAACAAGGTACCGGTGTGATGCTCTTATTCAAAAGCTAAGTCATAAAAAGATATCACAATTCTTCTAAATGCTATTATGCTTTGCATGCTCTTACTCTCTCATCTTGCATGCGCTCTGGCTCTCCCACTTTACATACACTTTATCGCTCTTAGTTATACTTATAACTTAAATTAATTTACTAAAATAAGGTAATAATGGGTCATTACCACGTAGAGTGGTAAAAATTCTCTAATATCAAATAGCCGGGAAATTTTATAATATTTCACTATATTTACTTACATGGTACCCACCCAGCCAATCATATTATTTTTCTTTTCCTTATAATAGGATTGTTTCGGATAAGCAGGTCATGGTAGTTAATTGTTATCATCTTAATAATGGGAGACTGGTTTGGGATATTCAATTCAGGCGTTTCTTTCAGAACTGGAAGATCGAGGAGGCCATTTGTTTCTTGGCCGAAGGTGTTGTATCACCAGAGGATTATGGAGGAGGATTCAGATTGTTGGTCAAGGGTTGCAAACTCTCAGGGACGGTTTGAGATGAGGTCTTTCTTCAAGTGTCTCTTGTTTGATCCTGGAGTTCGTTTTCCTTGGAAGTCTGTTTGGCGTTCTAAGGCTCTTCTTAAGGTGGCTTTCTTTGTGAGGACTTCGATTCTGGGAAGGATCTTAACTCAGGATAATTTGAGAAGGAGAAGCCAGGTGGTGGTTAATCATTGTTATATGTGTCTTCGTGATGAGGAATCAGTGGATCACCTTCTCATTCATTGCTCTTTGGCTAGAGAGTGTTAGGATTTGATGCTTGGCTTATTTGGTTTTTCATGGTGTGATGACCCTGTGGGCGGGTGTGCCGTGGGCGGGTGCGAGAGACACTGTCAGGCTACCACACTGGCGAGCTACGGGTGCACAGTCCCACATCGCCTGGGTAGAGGAAAGGTGAAGTACTTATATGTAAGTGTGTCACCTCCAATTGGTATGAGGCCTTTTGGGGTGAAGCCCAAGAGCAAAACCGTGCGGGCTCAGGCCCAAAGCGGACAATATCATACCATGTGGTGGAGTGGGTTGTTACAAATGGTATCAGAGCCTGACCCAGCCGGAAGTGTGGCCAACGAGGACGTTGGGCCCCAAAGGGGGGGTGATTGTGATGACCCTGTGGGCGGGTGTGCCGTGGGCGGGTGCGAGAGACACTGTCAGGCTACCACACTGGCGAGCTACGGGTGCACAGTCCCACATCGCCTGGGTAGAGGAAAGGTGAAGTACTTATATGTAAGTGTGTCACCTCCAATTGGTATGAGGCCTTTTGGGGTGAAGCCCAAGAGCAAAACCGTGCGGACTCAGGCCCAAAGCGGACAATATCATACCATGTGGTGGAGTGGGTTGTTACACATGGGTTATGCCAGAATTCGCTAGACTAATTGAGGCGTGGAGAGGCTGCCTTGTGGGGGCTCATTGTCAGGATGCATAGAGGGCTACGTCGTTTTGTGTGTGGTGGTGTATTTGGTTTGAAAGGAATATGAGATATTTTGAAGGAAAGAAGATGTCGATTTTGGTACTTAAATTCTCGATTCTTTCCACTCTTTTTTGTTGGATTTCAGGGGGGGATCATAGTTCGTTGGAGGAGATTGTTGACTTTTTGGTCTCCTTGAAGGCTTGAGGCCTTTATGGTCTTTTGTATTTTTTTCGGGATCCGCACCCCTTTGGAGTGTTTTTTAATAAATTTTATTTATCAAAAAAAAAGAAAAAGGAATATACAAAATATAATTGGTACATTTTCTTAATAATAGGAGCAAACAAAATATAATTCGCCGAGTACTATTATTTCTGGTGTCTTGGGATACCCAAAACTTAAAAGAAGGGTAATAGAGACTTTAAAAAAGAAAAAAAAATTACCAAACAAACAATTTTTCTCCCAACAAAGGAAGTGCTTATAAATTACTACTGGATATAAAGAATTAATTGACTACATACCTCATAACTTCTAGTACAGTATTTGTTTTCAAATGTGAGGAGAATATCTCACAGTATGAGGCGTCAAGTCCAACTCTAGGCTAAACCTGAGAATTAATTGTAGCTTCTAGATTTAAAACCACTAATGACCTCAGGAGAATATTTCACAATGTGGTGTCAAGTCTAACTCTAGCTGGTCTACACTGAGAATTAATTGTACCTTCAAGATTTTAAATAAATAACCAGATCTTTTCATACTTTTTTTTTTTTTTTTCCTGGCACATTTATCACTTTTTTATTTTTATTTTATTTATTTCTCTCATATCTCTAAATGGACATCAATGGCGCACTACGTACATGATTTCTCTTGACATGTTTAATTAAAAATTAAGAATTAGTGACACATAATTCTTTGAGTAACGCTACAAATGTTAATAGGCTGGTACACTATGTACATGATTTCTCTTGACATGCTTAATTAAAAGAAATTAGTGATACATAATTCTTTGAGTAAACGCTACAAATGTTAGTCGGTACATTGCATACATAATTACAAATGTTAATCGGTATTTGAGATTTATGGTGAAAATGATGCGTTCAGTTTCATATTTACCAAGCTGGAACACGCCATATCTCTATCAAGATTCAACAACAAATATTTGAAACGCAATCCATATGGCTCAAATCAAGTGTTCATTTTGATGACCCAGAAAAGGTTTATCACCACTGTAATTGCGAATTTAAAGGGGTGAGAATGATAAATAGGTGGTTGTAGTGTTGTCGTATCTAAGAGTAATCACATTAGTTTAACTTATAAGAATATAATTTCTTTATTTTTGGGGTGTTAAATTCAACTATTGTCACATTAATTCTTAAAAAAAAAAATGATTGACAAGTTTATTATTATTACCTTTAGTTCTTTTTACAATAACACAAGCATGCTTAATTGTAAAAATTGAATCTTTGGCCTTCCGTTTTGAAAGACAGTAAGTAACACAAAACTATACTCTAATTATTTGCAATGCAATAAAGGTACCAATGAATTAATTGGTTCAAACCAAACAAAGCTTTAACATATAGGATTAATCGTGAGTACCATAATATATGTATGTGTATATGGACAATGCTTAGTTACTCACCGGAGAGTAACTTCACCCTACTCACCTCTTATGTGTTCCGATAATAAAATAACACATCAGCTTCAATAACAAATTCAGCAAAATAATAAAAAAGAAAGAAGAAAGTCGAATCGATCCGTTTTAATTGGGTAACTCTTTTCTCTCTCCTCTTTTATCGATTCCCAACCTCTCTCCACCATTCTTCTTCTTCTTCACCCTTTCTCTTTTATTTCTATTAGCAAAATATATCAATGTTTTTTAAAATCGGAATTAGAGAAAAATTTAGTTTAGAGTTTGAATTAAATTTATTCGGATTTCAATTTCAATTAATGTGTGGATTCAAAAATCCCAAACATAGCTTTAAGATTGATTTTTGTACCTTGTTAAAATAATTAATATTGCATGACCAGGAAAACGAACTAACGGGTGATTAGCTTCTTTGGAAAAGCTACACCAGAGAATATGGAAGCACTTGTGGAAGTTGGGAAAAATTTGCTGGGGAAAAATTCTTCATGGGTGTATCCGGACAATACATGAGAAACTTACACCAATCACAAGAGGCACTCGGACATTGATGAGAGAATAAATTTAATTCAAACTCTAATCTAATTTTGCTCTAATTCACTTTTCAAAATACATTGATATATTTTGCTAATAGAAATAAATGAGAAAGGTTGAAGAAGAAGATGAAGAACGGTGAGAGAGGAGGGCGTGGGTTGAGAATCGATAAAAGAGGAGAGAGAAAAAAAACGGGTCGATTCGATTTTTTTTTTTTTATTTAATTATTTTGTTAAATTTATTATTATAATTTACTGATGAATAGCTAAGCATTGTCCTGTGTATATATATATTCTGTAATAACAAAATCGGAGCAGCAAATAAACCAAGTACCAAAACTATTCCATCTTCTTTTGTCCATTTATGGTCGGTATATATATTTGAAAATTAAAACCAACCACAGAAGCTTAGAACCACGAGCCGTCCGTATTTATATTACTGAAAACAGAAAAAGCTTTGAATTTCACTTTTGCTTTTGGTAATGAACAGCTTTATTTAATTGTTGATCACCAATAAGCCTCCACCTAATCACCCTTGTCCCAGAACATATAGCCCTTCACCACATGATCAATTAGAGAATTTATTCTTCATGGCTCATGGTAATTATAAAAATAAAATAAAATAATTAATTAAACACTCTAGAATTTATTCTTCATATATATATGGGAGGACCTAATAGGCTAATATATCTTGCACCCCAAAGCCACCATCAACTAGCTATCCTTGTATAAACACTACTGTTGCTTTCAGTACTGTTTGTTGCCATGGCTGGAACTGGTGTCATCAAAACAAAGACATTGCTTCTTAGGTGATATATAGATATATATTGTTAATAATATATTTGATTATTAATTACGGGCTTAGTTTAATTTAATAATTCTAAGGCACATGCATTAATTTTTTTTCTCAGTACATGCTGCAATGAGGTATCTAAAGCTCATATATAGAGTTTGGAAGAGTGGGGCATTATCAACTTAATTGCATGGAAATTAATCTAAATTTGTGTTGGATAATTGTAGGTCATGCAGGGGAGCTAAGCAGGTTGGACGACGATTCATTAGCAAGGTGTCCTGGATAACTC